CACAGCAAACTGCGACTAAAATAAAAATAACAACTCAGTAAACAGCACAGTAATGCTAGTCTTGAGGTTAAGACCAACTGGCAAATGTTAATTAAGGCTAATCCCCCCGGGTTTTGCTGGGTCGTAAATTAAAACGGACCATAACGCGCGTATAAACTAAGGCAATGAAGTGTGTCACTTTTGAGTTGTCTTTTGCCATTGACTTGCCCCGCGGTCTCGGGAAGGTGAATCCATTCACTCCCCAACCCCCCCCCCTCTCTTAATTCACTCCCCACACCCTCTCTCTCAATTCACTCCACCAAAAAATTAACTCAACCTGTAATGAAAATAAAATTACAAACAATATCTGTTAAACCTGTATATTTCTACGGGAGTGTCAACAACCCGGAGCCTGGTCGACCTAGCGTGTTTGAAGCAGCTATTCTTGTCAAGGCTTTCAACCAATCACAGCCAGCTCGTGTACCAGGTAGCCATAAGCCGTCTAGCACTAAGCTCTTCACCACATGGGCTCAACTCGACTGCCGCAACACTGGCATCAAGCGGATCCTAAGCCCAGTCTATCAACAAGACACTTTGAACTTACTTTGTTTGTTGATTTGTTGGCTTCGTCATTTTTTTATCATCACAAATCGTGTTGTCAGCGTCGAGTAGGCTGAGCTGGTGGAACGTTCACGTTTCCAAATCTTAAACTGTCGAAAAATGGCTCGATTTAAAAATTGTATAGGTGCGTTGTTGGGTAAGGTAACTGTGTTGTTCGTTGGTGAGTTTAATTACATTTGTTGTTCGTTGGTGAGTTTAATTACATTTGTTGTTCGTTGGTGAGTTTAATTACATTTGTTGTTCGTTGGTGAGTTTAATTACATTTGTTGTTCGCTGGTGAGTTTACTTACATTTGTTGTTCGTTGGTGACCTGGTATATTTCAGTTAAATATCTTCAGTTTTCTACTATAAATAAATGCTACAGAACTACAAATTGTCTTTGAATATTTGTTTTTAATAAACTTAAGCGTAAACGTATACTTAAGGTCAAGGAACAACAAAGTCTTTTAACAGGTACTTAAGGTCAGGGAACAACAAGGTCTTTAAGCAGGTATTTTAGGTCAGGGAACAAGGTCTATAAGCAGGCACTTAAGATCAGGGAACAAGGGTTCATAAGGGACATGAAAAAGTTGTGAGTTTATTTTTTACGAACAGGAAAACACAAAGGCCTTATAGATTAGATGTTTATTGAGACACTGAGTCAAAGTCGATTTTAAAATTGTTGAAATTTAGCGCTTATTATTCGCAGACTTTTTTTAAAATAGACCCCCATTGGTTTAAATCAAAACCTGTTTTTTATCACAGGTTAACATTAGTTTTTTATGTCCATGAGAACGTCGCCTAGTCTGCCTGGAATGACTTTGGTGCCTATGAGAAAGTTGTCTATCGTCTGCCACGACTGGACTTGTACCGTCTGCCACTTTCCCACAGGTTGCAGACCCGGTTGGCGAGGTCGAGTTAATCTCGTAAACGAGGAAACCAGTTGGAATTTGGTCGTATCAGACGGAGAAACACTGGCACATCCCATGATTCTGTGGGAAATAAATTTTAATTCCCTGGTAAATTTATCGGGGTATATTTAATGTTAACGTCATTGTGCTGGTGCAGCCTACTCGAAAACAGCCCCGCTGTTGGGTAACGCAGCTTAGTATCAGAATTGTATTATTATTATCATTTAAGTTAAACGTCGCAAATTGGCATTAAAATAATTATCACTTATAACAATGAATATAAAACGTAGTGCTTTTTACTTAAGTACTAATAATTAACATAAATATCAATAGTAAGGTACTTTCTTGTTGTATGTGCAATATTTTTTCTTTAATTAGGCCTATGAGGTATTTTTTTTTTTAATTATGAAAAACTGTGTTGGGTTTAGAATGTTATTCTACTCTATTATTAGTCAATCTTTTTTTAAAGATATCTACAATTTTTTTTTTAAAAATGCACTTTTTATATTAGATCTTTTTCTTAAAACCAACTCCCTCAAATGTAAGGCTTTCCCAACTTTGGCCCTGCTTCTTGCGAGGACGCGCCTGCGTTTCCGCGCGTCCCAGTAGTTCCCAACCACCGCTTCACCGTCGCTATTCCTCCGAGGCGCGTCTCCCCCGTGAAACCCTGTTTCGGCACTGAAGCGGAAAACGGATGGTCAATGGAACCAGGAAGATGTACTGGCCCTGAGGGACACAACAAACGAAATAGCAGCATTAAAAGATCGTTTTATGCTGAGCGGGTTATCCTAACACTGCCGAGGCCGTTGCACTGGTGGTCGGAAAAAATAGATCGGCGCGCCGTAAATGTGATCTTGGACTGAGTGACCTGTGATCAAGTAAACTTGCCAGAACATGGATTTGGACAATTTTTAAAATGCTAGAATTTTTTTTTATTATAAGCTAAATGGGGTTGGCTACCTACCTTTTAAAACAGATTTGACAAAAAAAAGTTTAGCTTAAAATATTTTAAAATAAAACGAAGCCTATTAATTAAATAAACTGTCGTATTAACAAGTGCCGGTAGGTCAAGTAGATGAAGTGGGAATCTCACAGATGGCCTAAACATTTTTCGCAAATTCCAGGGGGGGGAGGGCAGTGGCGTAGGCAGGGGGGTTAGGGGGGGGGGGGGGGGTTATACCCCCCATAGAACCCTCGGTATATATATAAAAAGTATGAGGGGGGGTGCAAATCAAAAGTTTGAGGGGGGTGTAAATCGAAAGTTTAAGGGGAGGGGGTGCAAATCGAAAGTTTGAGGAGGGTGCAAATCGAAAGTTTGAGGGGGAGGGGATTCAAATCGAAAGTTTGTCCCCGGGTAAAAATTGGAAACCCCCCTTGAGACGATCCTGGCTACGCCACTGGGGGACGGTCTAGTTTAATACACCTAAACAATGACGGCTTCTAATTAAGAAAAAACAATAACGGCTTCTAATTAGGAAAAAAATGGAGCCTTAAATTCCCATGCATCATGTGCCTTTTGTTTTCAATATCAATGCAGGAGAGATGCGTTTTACAATTACAATCCACTAATATTTTCCTAAAAACTATAGGGATTTTGTGTGATGTATTTTGTGTGATGTATTTTGTGTGAGGTATTTTGCCTGAGATATTTTGCCTGAAGTACTTTGAGATATTTTGTCTGAGATATTTTATGTCAGAGATAAAAAAAAATAATTTTCTGTGATATTTTTTTGCCCTGAGATATTTAATTTGTCCTTGAGATCAGAGTTTCTTCCAGGCATCTCTTGGGAAAAAAATCTACCGCCACCCCCCCCCCCCCCCCCCCCGAACGAAATGAAATTTATACAATTTAAATAGAAAATATACTTTTAACAGTGTCCGCCCCCCCCCCGAAGAAAGTCTACCCCCCCCCCCCCAAAAAAATTTCAAGTGCCCCCCCCCCCCCCGGAGAAAAAAGTCTGGAAGAAACACTGCTTCAGATCTTTTGTCTAAGATATGTATGTTATATTTTGTCTTTGACATTTTGTCTGAGGTAGTTTGTCCATGATAGATGCAGAGGAGTAGCGACCCTTCCCGGCGCCCGGGCTCAAACTTTCAATTTGGCGCCCACCTTGTTTTATATTTATAATGCAAAACTGCAGCGTAGCAAAACTTCAAACCACGTCCACTACTTATCGGTCCAATTTAAATAGTCTAATAGGGGTGCCCAAAATGCTCATCTTAATAGTTTGGTACGAAGCAAATTAAAAACAATTTCTTCTCCTACAATAAAGCATACTAAAGAGCGATAAAGCTATAAAAGGAATGAATTCAAAATTATTAATATAAATGCAGAAAAAAAACAAAAAAAACAAAAAACATAAGAATAAAACAAACTCGAGAAACCATGCCACTTATCAAAGTTTTAACCGGCTTGCTAGATATTGTTTCTCTTTTAACAATTTTCGACCGAAATAAATTAGATAAAGACGTTTTTAAAATACGATTAAATCAGGCCAAATTGGCGCCCCATTTGGGGTGGCGCCCCGGGCGGCTGCCCCACCCGCCCTCCTCTTGCTACGCCTCTGGCTAACTTAACAGTAACAAATAGGCTATTAGATTATAGTTCCCTTGGATATTAAATTTGAGGTGCCCCCCCCCCCAGAAGAGATGCCTGAAAGAAACACTGGTTGTTGCTGATGGTGCTTTGGCAATGATATGACGTCACGCTTTTTTTGACGATTTTACCCCCCCCCCCCCCTCCGTCACACATCGTCACAAAAAGCCAGACCCCCACCCCTAAAATGACGTCACACCTCAGCCTACAACCCGCCTCAAAATTGCAGTTGAATTTTTTTTAAACATCGATATTTTTCCAAAATCTTGTCTGAACCCTGTCAAAATAGAGTATTTTAATAAACTCCTATTACAATTTATTAAAAGTTTTCTAAAACGCGAAATAACGTCTAAAATTCGTTTTCTAACATTGCTTTTTTTATAATGCAAAAGTGTGACGTCGCACCATCTGAACCCCCCTCCCCCTCATCACACACCGTCACAAATTTACGGACCCCCCTCCCCCCTATGAGTGTGACGTCATTTATGAACGACCCCTTTATATTAAAGCGATAAAAAATAATGAGGCGCAACGCGTTGAATGAAAGGTTGTTAAGACAACGTTTGTTGGCTATCGGAAAATACCAGTTTGGATTCGACGCTAGAATTTATTGAGAAAAAATGTGTTTAGATTTTGTAAAATTGGGCCTAAATGTTAGGCTAACGTTTTTTTGTTGGCCTATTATTCACTTTGTAGCCTAATTAGTAGTACACACATAAAGCAACTACATAACATTTATCGCTACATCTCTATGTTTAATATCAAATACAAATTTCCGTAAATAATGGGGTAGGTGGGGGGGGGGGGGGGTGAAGAGGGGCAACTGATCTAGATTTTTATTGTAGCAGGGGAAACCACTCAAAATAAATTCTTAATTTTATTTATAGCATCTACTCGTGTGAATGAACTGAATGCGTTCTGGATCAGACTGCGGAAAATGTGCATTGGGGATCTTATTTAGAATCTAATATTTATTACTAATTACTAGATCTTAACCTGGATCTATCGTTTTTAAAAACAGATGTCTTTTTGGAAAATTTATTCTACAAGAAGATTATTAAGTCGGCTGTCTAGTTATAGTGACTCAAGTTTTGACACAATACAAATTCCATTGCAACAGCATGCAAATCGCCATTCTATGACTTTCATTGCAAATGAATTTCATAAGCCTAGGATTGCTTCGCTAGTGATTTTGTGTCGCAATTTTAATTACTATAGATCTAGATATAATTATAGAAATAAGCCGAACCATCATTTTGTTTTCAAACCGTTTAATGCTACAGCTGATACCTTTCATTCTGCTTTATTTCAATGTCTGAACAAAAATGTTCATAACAGCAAATTTAAAAGAGTAAATCTGGAAGCAAACAATACCAGAAGTGCTAATAATAATACTGCAGTAACACATGAATCACAACCAGCAACAATGGCAAGACACGGCAAAGGCAAGTTAAAACAAAATAAATCAGAACCAGATGAAGATAAACAAAACAAAGATAAAAATATCTCTGTCACATCTCAGAAGCCTAAGCTGAAGGGTATCAATAAATTTCAACAGCTATTGAAAGTACCAACTAAAATCAATGTTGTTGTTATTGGCACAGGAGGACCAGGCAATTCCAAATCAATTCTCATCACAACAGAATATTCTAGGTAGGAACTCTAATGCTTTTAGGAAATCGCAATAATATAGCCTATAGGCCTAAATGTTGTCATGAGACATTTATTATCAGCAGCCAAAGCTATTCCCAGCCGTCTGTGGAGGCTATTCACAGTCGGCTGTCATTTTATGCTAAATAGACAACTGGTAATAATATCTTACAATTATAAAAGCACAAGCCCTAATACTGCTATTCGCGGTCGACTGGAAATAGACACTTCATTTATCAATTAACAGCTACAAAGTCAGGCTTCAGAAATGTATCATCATATCTTGTCACATTTTCTTCCCTTCACCTTTTTTTTAATACAGCATTAGACAGACTGGACAAAATTGAGAAACAAGATTTGACCACAATTCCATATCTGAACATTGTGATCTAAAATAAATCTTGTAAAAAGATCCTTGATTTTTGTCCTGCTATTATTTTAATAAGCAGAACATTTTCAAACCCAAACCCCCGCCTGAAACTAATACTAAAAGAAAAGTACAACTTAAGTATGCTGGGCAGGCCTAAGTTTTATTTTTATAATTGTAAAGTTGTAGACACTGTGTTTTTATTTTTATAGTATGTTAAGAATATGAACTTCTAACATAGAATGTATTTCTTCAGATACTTGTTCAACTGTGGGGAGGGAACTCAAAGACACAGCGGAATGAATAAGGAGTAAGCAGGATCATTAAATCATTATCTAGATTATAATCTTTATTATTATTTACTTAGTTGGCATAATCCTTGACAAAATCCATATTATTCACCTATCAGGAAAAATAAAAAAAATGATTAGCTTGCTGGTTGATTTATTTAGTGTTATGTGTAATTGTATATTTTAACAATATCTTTTCTTAAAGTGGCAAACATTGCTAATTTTTAAAACATTTCATCTCAAGGTTAAGATCTACAGCATTTGCTAAACTCGCTGGTCTGGAAACCATATTTTTTACTTACAAAAGTTGGGAAAATACTGGAGGATTAATGGGTATGCATTTGTTTGCTGATATAAATTTGTACCTAATATTTTTATAGCTGAAATTTAAATGATTGTTAAAACATTGTTCCAGTATTTTTTAAATGAAAATTAATATTGTTTGTATGGAATTTGAATTTGATAGTTACTAAATATCACAATTTTTCATAAAATGTGTTTAAAGTAGCCTACATGTTATTATGGCTGCAATCTATAAAACATACCTATTTGTTTCAGGTATGACTATGACCTTGGAAGGTCAAAAGAATCCTGCTGAAAAAAATTATAAATTGCGAGGGCAAAATCCAAGTGTGAAACTAGATACCAATCCTCACATTACCATTTATGGTCCTCCTGATGTGGTCAGTCTGATGGGGTTTTGTTTGTTTTTATTTTCAAGATATAATTTCAAGCTAATGATTCATTCAATTTTTTTTTGTTCAACAGGAAAAAATTACCTCAATGGCAAAAAAATTTGCACATTCGACAAACTTAAATATAGGTCTGAACTTTTCATATTTCTAAATATTTATGATAGGGTTGTTTTATTACTGAGGTAAAATTATATACAAATCATTTTGATCTTTATTTATATAGTGAAAGGCGACGGAGTTTATGAAGATTTTTGTCTTACTATTACACCAGTCCCATTTTACGCTGATCTATTAACATCAGAAGAAGACAAAAATGATTTAAGGTCTCCCAGACCTGGTAAGAAAAGTTTATTGAATACTGAACTACAAATTTAATATACATATACAACTCTCACATAACATAAGATCATATTTAATTTTACGAATTATGGTTCAAATACACTAAAATTTTTGTTGGATAAGAACCACATTCAAATAAGTTAGAAACATTTAATTTTTAAAAATGCAATTATATTCCCAATTTCAACCATAACCATTATCTTTTTTCTAACCTATTGTTTTAATCCACAGCTAAAAGAGTAAAAACTGATTCTACCTATACCAGTAAAAGCAGGGATGTTGCCTATGCATACATTATTAAGGTCAGTATTTTACTATAACTATAACATATCTATTACATGCAGGAAGAAATTAGGACTCATACTAAATATGTGCTTTTTTGTTTTTCAGGCAAAACCTCTGTCACCAAAAATTAATGTTGAGAAGTGTCTGGATGCTGGTATCACTATGTAGGTCTTAGATGTTAATTTTTACAACTTAAGTTAGTTTTTAATATTCAAATTTATTTTTTTAAAAACCTACATTGAAATTTACTCATTTCACATTCTTTGTTTTGTTTATGGCATTTATATTTTTATTATATTTTGTTTTCTATTTTTAAAAAAAACTGTATTTGTGTTAAGAAATTATGGAGAGGCAAAGGTTGAATAGTTGACACAGGTAGTAAAATTAATACTTTATTTCTTCAAGTGGCCCAATGGTGGGTAAACTACAGAGAGGGGAATCTGTTGTGTTAGAAGATGGCAGAGTTGTGCGCCCTGAACAAGTAACCGATAATATGATGTGTGATGACCGACCATTTCTCAGTATGTACTTGTATTTGAGAAATAAATCTTCTAAACTGAATACAGAATTGTTTTTATAGTACTTACCTTATAGTATATAAACAAAATAAATAAAAATATTAAGAATTATTGATTTGTTTTATTTCCAGTACTAGAATGTCCAAGAAAGGAGTTTATTGATTCATTGTCTGCTTGTTCTGAGCTTGAGGGGTATCTAAGAGAAAATACAGACCAAGCATTTTCACTGGTGGTGCATATGTCACCTCTCAATGTGTATAACAGCGAGGAATATCAGTCATGGATGAATAGGTGAACACAGCAACTGCAGTTCATTGCTTTTCTTTCGACTTTTATAGGACGAAAAATAACAGGAAAACATTATATCTGTTGATGAAAAATTACTGGCTTAATATTTCTAAGTAACTTGAAAATCTAGAAACTATTTCTTGAGGCTCTTCTGAAAAGTTAAGACTAGTTATATTATGATTTTTGTCTAATTTTTTAATGTGAATAGCCCATATACTTAATTTATTTGACAATTTAAAGCAAACTCTACAGTTTGAATATTTGTGTTCTACTACTGTAATAATGAAACAAGGTAATTAAAAAGTCTAGTGACAATTTTAGCGCAATTTCCTTATGTTATCTAAAAATAGCTCTGTCGTAGCGTAAATCAAGAGCAGGGTTAGTAAAACCATTGGTTAGTTATTAAAACGTTTTTTATTAATTTTTTTCAGTATTTTACATGTTTTATTTACAATAGAGTTACATGATTAAAAACCATTGCGCGCCTACTGAACGTGATGGCGCAGCCATGGAACGCGATGGCGCAGCTATTGAACGTGATGACGCGTGTGGTGTGGTTGGAAAAAATGCCTACTAATTCGGTCCAAATTTTAATTAATTCAAAATTTTTTTTGTGACCGAACGAAAGGATATTTTTGAAAACTTTCTTCGGCAATATTGTTCTAAATTATGGCAAGAATCGATTGGTACATGTTTCAAGTCGCTTAGTGGTCTGGTTGCCGAGATATGGGCCAAAAACTACATTTTTTTGAGGTTTTTTGGCTTTTCCGGGAAATCCATGAAAGAAACCCGTAATTTTTATGGCCTATGTTCATCCTCGTAACTTGCTTAACATAATTGCTTTTGGAACTAGTCATCGATATTGCTTCGTTGAGGAGGAGATACGACTTAAAGCCCGGACACACATTCATCCATTCATTCATCCATCCATTCCCAGAAATGACGAGTTAATAAACGCAATTCTCCAGAATGGAAATTGCGCTAAAAAAAGGAATTGAAATGCTGGACAAAAGCTTCACTATTGAGCCTTATTTAGCTATAACTATGTTATTTAAGTAGTGTAGTCATAGTTCTATATGTTCAATCTCATTGATATATTCAATAATGACTTAATTTGAACATTGGTGATATGTTGTGTTGTTTTCTTCAAATGATAGGTTACATAAGAGCACTGACCATCTGGTGATGAACAAAGATTCTCCCGAGGCTGCGGTGACCAGGGTGTTGGCTCATCAGGCCAGGCTGAACTTGGTTGATACGGAAATCTTTCCTTTGTTACCAGTGAGTGACACTCCTGCTAGTCTAGAGACTCTGAGAGTCAGCAGGGCTTTACTGGACACACAGTCAGAATCAAACACCTCTAGCGCAGCATCTAAGGAGGTGGAGGCTAAAGAGAATATTTATTTAAAAAAGAAAGGAGAAGTGATGTTGGCTTCGTCTGGTCTTGTTTATGTATGCAGAGGAAAGGAGCTGGGATTCCACATGTAAGTGTAAAGTTAATGTTAGTTACACTTAGATGCCCCAGTATTTTCAGCCCTTAAAGTAAAGTTCCCTTTTTGAAGCTGATGGTCCATGGGACAAGTGAAGTCGAGTTCACCTGTTCATGTGACCTCAGCATATGAAGGGATATTGTGGTCAGCACTATGCTCAGCCAATTTCAGCTGTAGTGTGCAACATTCAACATTTGCAAGTTACTTGGATTGTTATTGATATAATCCTCCAATTTACTGTTGCCAGTGATCTGCTAGGCAGTTTATACAGCACACTGGAACATGCACAAAGTTAATTACCTATTTTATGATTTCTATCAGTTCAGGTTAAGTATCAAATTCTAATGTTTTTGATATTTTTCTGTGTTGGGTTTTTGTTTTGCAGGACTGTGCTAATTATTTCTAAGCATCAACAGTATTGGCACCTTGAAGAGCAGAACTAATAAAACATATTTTTAGATCAAATGATTAGAACAATAAGCAGATCCAGAAACTAGTCACTGTTAATTTCTCTATCTTGTGGGATGTAAATAAAGAGGTTATAACTTTATAATAGGTCCGAAATTTGTCCTGTATAATACCTATTTGATAACACATTTCCTGTAAAGTTTGTCTTGTTTTTCACCTCATATTCAGTCTTTAAAAAATATTTGCCTCAAATTTTTAAAATCATTTTTGAGACAGGGACATAGCAGAGTTTAGTATAGAAAAAGAACAGAAGTACTGCTTAGATAATCCAGATATATCAGCAAAGCTTACTGTGTTAAAGAAATCAAGCCTGTTGAAATCTCAAGATTTGGATAATGATCAGGGTCAGTGTCAATGTTTATTTATGTTTCATTTAATTCCTCACTTTTTCTTGTAAATAGTTGTTTCTTTTTAGTATTGTTTTACCAGCTGTAATATTTATGTTAGATATTTTCTTACCATTTTAATATTTTTCTCTACTATTTTATCCTTAGACAACTTAACCAGCTATCCAAAGGTTGTATTTTTAGGCACAGGATCTTCAGAACCCAACAGAATTAGAGCACAGTCATGCATTTTAGTTCAGTTAAGGTATTTGTGTTCTATTATATTAACCAAAGTGATTGCCTTTTTGGAACACTTATTAATTTTGCAGCTTCTTTTTAACCATGTAATTCATTGAAAAATATTAATTATCACAGTTTCATAAGGTCAGTCTTAAGATTAAATTCATTTTTTTTTTTAAACTTTTTTCCTGTTTCAATTTTTTGTTTGATGTTTTTTACTTTCTCGTATATACGAAGTATAGAGAAAGTATTGTAATCGTGCAAAAAAAAAATCGAGATTTTTACACCTCACTGATACAGAAAAACATAATTTTGCAATCTTGTCCGTGTGTCTGTGTGTGTGTGTGTCTGTCTGTCTGTCCGTGTGTAAACACGATTACTTGAGAACCGTTACAGCTAGGTTGATGAAATTTCATATATAAGTATTTTATCAAAATGTAGACCCGTATCAACTTTTGAGCGATTTCCGATAACCGGAAGTGGTACTTTTCCTACTTTGAATTTTTCAAAAGCCTATAACTTGAGTACTATTTCAGATAGATAAATGAAATTTCACATGTAAGTAAAAGATCTAATTCTCTACCTTCTGTTAAATTTTGAGTAATTTCCGTTGACCGGAAGTAGTAATTTACGCTACTTCCGATTTCTCAAAAAACTAATGTAAATTTTTAAAGTACTAATAATATTGCGCACTATTATGCGCTTTTTTATTTGGCGTTCACTTGGTGTGCAATTAATTTGTCTACGAGATTTTATTCTATTTTTAAAACTTTAAGAATTTAAAATGGATTAAAAATCATGTCTATAGCCCGAGTTCCCATCCCCTGTTATTTTATATAAGAATATTCGAGAATGTTTAGGGGAGATCACTCCCGGTTTATTTTTAAAAGTTTAATGAAGCTTTTTTAACAGTAATTGATATTTCTTACACAACCAGCAAAAGTACTATTATTATATTGGACTGTGGTGAAGATTCTTATGGCCAACTGTTTCGTTTTTATGGCAAAGCAAAAGTTAAAAGAATTCTCAGAAAAACCAAGGCAATATTTGTATCACATATGCATGCTGATCATCATTTGGTAAGTCTATTTTTTATTTATTTTTAACATAGCCTTTTTCCCCCTAAAAAAAATGACAGCCTTAACACATGTTAACACGTTATATGACAGCCCTAACACATGTTAACACATTATAAAGCTTTTAATGTAACTAAATTATGAGATTGTCTCTTTCTTCCATATTAAAATCCATTGTTTTTCAGGAAGAGAATAGTCTGTATTTCTTGTTGTGTTTATGTCCTGATTTTTTTTTTTTTTATTCTTACATTGTATTGCCAACAGGGTCTTTTCTCATTAGTAAAAGAGAGAAAGCTTGCCTTTGATGAAAAAGAAATACCTTTTGTTCCTGTTTTACTGATTTCCCCAATACAAATGAAGAGGTGGTTGAAGTTCTACCACACAGAGCAGGAGCCTATCATATCACTTTTTAGGTATATTTGACTTTTTAGGTATCTGTGACGTTAATTTTTCAATATTTGTGTCATTACTTTTTAGGTATTGGTCAAAAACAATTTCTCTTTGGTACTATATTGGCTACTTTACCTTTTTCTTGTTTGGCTCTATGGTGTGCTTTATCTACATAAATAAATTATATGGACTGCATAAGTAGCCTTGGGATTTGTACCTATAACATTCATAAATTATTTTATTTATTAAAAAATTCAGAATGGGATTGAGTAAAACATAAAACAATAAATGACTTATTATAGCGTGTTCTATTAGTTTTCCTCTTGTTCTTTATTACAGGTTTGTAAAAATACAACAAGGTTTTCAAGATTGTGATACATTTTCTGTCTTAACAGCCACCATGGATGATGTTAAAAAAGAACTGGATTTTACTGAGGTATAATTAAAAATGCCCTACAAGGCGTTGGTCTTAAAATTAGTGCAATTTAAAAATATTAAAACCTGGTTATTGTTTTTATGAACTGTTTTATACTATACCCTCAAAAGCAATTTTATTTTTTTTATAATCTCATTTTTGTACTGCCAGGCAACAGGAATTTACAGATTTCCAAAACACTATTAGCTAATAACTCAGGCAATTTTAATTATTTGAATTAATTGACAGATTAAATCTTGATCTATTTTGAATTAAATAGAGCCAATAATCTTGACATTTAGCACTAATGTTTTTTTAACATTTTATGTATTTAACAGTTCACCCCCATTGCAGTTGATCATATCATCAATGCATATGGAGTAGCTTTCAGGCATGCCAATGGATACAAGTTAGTATACTCTGGAGATACACGGCCATGCAAGGCTTTGATTGAAGCAGGTGAATTACATTTTTTTAAAGAAATACTTCTTGTAGAAATAAATTTTCAAGAGGTACCAAACTGTAACATGAATGAAGTGAAAATGTAAATATGCCAAATGGGCAGGTGGTACATACATTTTTTAAAATATTTGTTGTGTTTGATAATTATTCACATGACTAAAACTTTTCTTGGGACTATTTAACTTTTGCATATAAAATGTAATTACTTTTGATCATTCTAAAATCCAAGTATTTGTACTATCTAGGAGCAAATTGTGATCTGCTCATCCATGAAGCCACTCATGAGGACAATTTATTGCCACAGGCTCTATCTAGCAAACACAGGTACAATTTAAACATATGTAACCAAAATTGTTACAATATGTAAACAAAATGTGTAAACAATATGTAAACAAAATTTGTCATGCCCTTATAGCAAGAAGTGACTAAGTAATTTTCTTTATACAAAATCCCTCAAGAATTCTCTTTAGGAAAATCAGTTGAATTTACTTGGCTTTTATTTGCAGCACATTTTCAGAAGCTATTGATGTTGGTAAACAGATGATGGCAAAACACATCATTCTAACACACTTCAGTCAACGTTACCCACATATGGTTCCGCTTTTTGATCTTACATTACCAGAAAATGTTGGATTAGCATTTGATAACATGCAGGCAAGTGCATTTTTATTTCTAACTGTACTTATGCTGGATGTTTTTTTTTTTTATGTATTAAATTTGCTTTGTAAAGCCCATGACAATACTAAATGACATTTAATTTTCATTATTTAATCATGAGTGGCTTTAAAAGATAGATATGGTAATTCTAAAAACCTCCATGTTTAACTAAGAAACAAGCAGATTTTTAAAAATACTTGATTCTATTGACAATGGAAAAAAAAACTTCTGTTAATTCCAAAAAGTCTTTCCTTTATTTGATTTATTTCACTGCATTAACATTTCATGAAATTTGTGTTTTGTAACACTTAGAAAACAAAATCAGGTTAAAAAATTTCTTAATTAAAAAATGTTATTTTTCAGGTCTGTCCTAGAACATTAGGACGCCTGCCAAAAGCTATTCCAGCTCTAGAAGAGATTTTTAGTGATGAACTCCAAAAGTTAGTGATTAAAAATTTAAAACGGCTCAGAGAAAAGACAGAAGCTGAAAATGATGAAATTTTAGAAAGCAGAAGTTAAAGTACAACATAATCTTTAATTAGACTGGATTGAAATTATTGTGTGCCCAGTACTAGTGTGCCGATATTTTGTAATGCCACTTTACAAATACATACTTCAATTATATATATATATACACATATATGAAATGTTTGTTTTTCTTTCTAAAAATATTTTAGAAAGTTGATTGGGGCAATAAAAAGTAACATTTAATTTAAAACCCAAAAAAAATAATTTCCAATTTAAATTCAGTGCTTTCTATCTTTGAAGTCTCGAATCAGCTTCTTCCAACTTCCATCTGTCCAATTCTCCAGCCGTTTCAGGTTGCCTATTGATGAGCCAACATTATGGCAAGCTGTGAATACTACATGTTCCCATGTGGGACACTCCTCAGCTCCTGTTGGGTATAATAACATTCATTCAAAATTAAGAGGGGGTGGGGTAACTGTGATCTTCAAAAGTTTGCAGTTTTGGGGGGGGGGGGGGGGGGGGGGAGGGGTGCTGAAAATAAAACTCCACACTTTAAACTAGTAGCATGATTGTATGTATGTTTCACCTTTGATGAATCTTGAGCTTATTTAATGCTAAGTTAAGTTTGTTGTTTTAAAAAATATATAGTTACCAACCTGTGATTTTTATGGCATCATCTATTAAAAGATGGCCATGAATCAATGTTTTATCACAGATGTGAACCATTCTATCCACCCATGACATCCCAAGGTGTTGATCTATCCACTGACACTTCATGTCCACAGAGAAACAGAAAAATACTGAATGCTTTTAGTACATGTTTAGAGGTTGAACGATTTGTTAAAACACTATGGTGTAACTTCAAACAAGTTTAGCTAACCTTTTCTTTTAAGCCAAATTCATAAGAAACTACAGGGGGTGAGACTATGAAGACCTCAACACTGGATAAAAAATGTTAAAAAGTAATAAGCATACTGTCAATTATGGGTCTAATCTAAGAATTGCATAGTAACGTTTTTGAACTAATAAAAACATTATCTTAGAAAAAAAGCTCCATATCCTAATTCTATTTAAAATAGATTCATAAAAATTAGGTTATGATTTACCTGGACTAAAATATCTTGAACACAACAATTAAATAAAAATATGAACTAAGTTAGTTTGCAAATTATAAAACTTTAAAAATGACTCTTTAATAGTCCATACACATGCTAAAATTTCACTTCCAATGGCTGATGTATAACTCATTTAGTTGATTTTGTTAATTTTTTATTATTTTATAAAGAAGAAATCTAAATCTCACCCTTCCATTTCATTTAATTCTTTTAGTGCACTACAGGCTCCAGGAATTTCAGGTAAATCACTATAAAATCCCAATGCTGTGTAGACTGACACAACTTTATTCTGTAAATATAATTCTATATGCATTGTGTGGCACCTTTTAACATTGAAAATAAAAAACTGTATGATTGCCAGTTGATGGTTTGCAATCATTTCCAATGATGGTAAAAGTAAAATGCATGTAGATGCTACTAGCCTCACAATTCCATTACAGGCTGCAGCCAAAAGAACAGATTGGCCAGAATTGACCTCTATATCATGTCCATGTAGAACAAAATTACCTCATAGCTTGCACCAAACTTGCTGTATTGAATTACTGGATCTTCTCCAACTCTTTTGGGTAGAGGAACGTATTTTAAATCAGGATATTTATTTCTAAAGTCTCTTAAAAAGTTCTGCTCAAAGTCACAAATCACCATATCCATATCAATTAGCACAATCAAAGAATCACTTGCCATCTTTACCTTCAGATTCTTCATTTATAAAACATGATTTTTAAAGAAAGTTAGTAGCTTTTCATTCTTAAAACATTCACACTAATTTCCAAACTCTAACAATACTAACAAAGGTTATGGTTTGTCCACAGTCAATATATCTTAATTCTTTAGAGGTTTAGGCTAGATCTAATTTAGACTCTTTGATAACAAAAAACACTAGCGAAAGTTAGGCTATTTTTTTTTTAAATTGTTGTATTTAGAATAATTAAAACTGGTATTTTCATTTTTTAGATTCTAGAAATTACTATTTTAAATACGTTCTAATAGTGTGCCTATCCCACACGTTGCCGCTGTCTTAGAAGAAAGTCTGACGCAATATTTTACGAGGGTTTTAATCACTTTTAATGAGTTTTATCAATGTGTTACCGATCCTATATTCTTTTATTTATGTGTGAACTTGTTTTCTAAAACTGAGTTATTTAAATGTAAACCCTGCACTTTATTTCTTGGATCATATTTCATTATTTGTCAGGGCACAGGTTTACCTACACTACCACCCAGCAAGTAATTTTTTTAATCGTTTTTTTTTTAATACTACTAGTAGTACTACTTATGGGTCATCCATTTATGACGTCCACAATTTTTTTGGATTTTGGACACCCCCCCCCCCCCCTTGGTCCACAAAAATCCACTTTTTTTCCTTACTAAAGTCCATATGAGTTCACAAAAGTCAGTTTTTTTTGGAACCCCCCCCCCCCCCTCCCCCCCCCCCCCCCCCCCCCCACTCCCGCAGCGTGTGGACGTCATAAATGGATGAACCCTTACTAGAATCTAGACTAGATCTACTATTAGTAGATTCTAGGGTAATCTATAGTTATAGGTACGTAAAATTGCCCGCGGCTAGTAATGTAGGAAAAAGTTACCTCATTGTCAAGGCTTTAATAGAAGTATATTGTGATATATATTTGTGTCAAAGATTATAGATAAATGAATAATAAACCTAAATCAATGGCTAAATATATCAATATAGGCAAGAAATTAACTTTAAACAGCAGTGTTTGCTAGCAGGATTTGCTATATAAAAAGTGGTCATCTGTAAGTTAGAGTGGCTTCCCCTGAATCTTGCGCTATAAGTTTACAATAAAAATAAATAAATAAGATGGCTGCTATAACTATAGTAAATGAGCATGGTTGCATCTATTGGAAACATCTCTAGTCTTCATTTATTATTGAAAAGTTTTAATTCAGTTGTTTAAAAACATTAAATGAAACAAGGAAACATTTTTGTATTTTTCAAAACACCAAATCCTCCTCAAAATGTGAAATTATTATTATAAATTTTAAAATTTAAGTAGTCACCTGTTTTTCACATTACTATATCTAGTCGCGGGCAATTTTACGTACCTAAAACGATAGATTACCGATTCTAGTACTATAGACTATCACTATAGACCTAGTACTAGATTTCTAGATCTAGTAGACTAGTGAGTAGTAGATCTACTAGTAAGTTGTTATTTCTAGTGCTGCGATCTAGATTTAGGTCTAGATCTAAGTAAGTAGATCTACTAGATCTAACAGTAGTTAGAAGTTCTAGATTCTAGATAAGAATTTTTAAAAGGGTCATAAAGACTGTTACTGTCTATGCACAAAATTCAGAAATGCATAAGTATTAGACTAGTAATACTAGTATCTAAGGCTTTTGTTTGTTTTGAAGCGGAAGAGGCCAGATAAGTGAAAAACAAGTTAAAGAAACAATTGTAATTTGTTGCGCTTTTTTTTCTTTCCCTTCAGCTACAGTGCTGGCAAAGTAGTTCACTAACTTTATTAGAATACAGTATCATTTCAAAGGAAAATTAATTATGTATCCAATTAAGTCAAATTTAATGGCAGATTGCATTGTCTTCATGTCTTGACCCACGTGCCAACTTTGAAACGAATCTGTCAGTTAGAAAGTGCCCGAAATTTCGCTCAAGTGTTTTGAACTATGGCGACAGATAGACAGACAGTGTTTCTTCCAGACTTTTTTCTCCGGGGGGGGGGGGGCACTTGAAATCTTCGGGGGGCGGTAAACTTTCTTCGGGGGGGGCGGACACTGTTAAAAGTATATATTTTCTATATAAATGATATAAATTTCATTTCGTTCGGGGGGGGCGGTAAAAAAATTTCGGGGGGGGGGGGGGGCGAAGCCCCCCCCCCGAAGAGATGCCTGGAAGAAACTCTGTAGACAGACTGTCAGCAGACTGGACGAGGAAGCAAGTTAAATAAAAGTTTGTAAAAATACACTTTGACAAGTGTGTCCGCGTACCGCCACTCCACCCCTCCCAGGGAAAATGTCTTAAAGAAATTGGTAACACATTTCATCTAACACTGGCTCGGGGGGCTTACATTAATAATTGTTTGATTTTTTTAAATAGATTTATATATAAAACTCCTCAATATATATGGGTGTTGTAGCAATGCCTCTCCCTCTTCGTGGAAAAAAATACCTTCAAGAAACACTGTCGCCTAGTGCGCCACTCGTTGCCAAGAAGACGAGAACAAAAGTGCATGCTGAACCATGCCAGGCGACATGGTACCCTCCTTGTCAAATGTCACCCTACTTTAACATCTTTAAGTCTGTTGTCATCGTATTTACTGCCCCTCATCATTTCACCGAAAAACAGGTCTAAACTGTGGGCTGGTGTCTCCAGTTGATACCAAGAGTATTAGTGATTAATGTCTAAGTGCTAGGGCCCCCTACCATCAATTCTCTTCCATATTTTATTTTTGGCAACATGCCGAGAAGCAACTAACCAGCGCCTATAATTGGAGCATCTTCATAAGCCAGATAGATCTATATCAAAATGTTTTTTTAATGTCCTTTCCATTTGTATTATATAATTATAATTATTAATATGTGACGGGCCTCTTATTTTGGTATGATTATTCTTAAGGTGTGATTTTATTCGTAATATTCTAAATGATAGATGTTTTAATACATCGTGCTATACTTAATTTTGGCGCTGTACATGACTAACCTGCTTCAATAGGCTATATATTATTAACAATTCTCAAACATGGTTCTGTTTTTATTTTCAAAACTATGTGACAACAACAACAACAAAAACTCTAAAACTATTTTTGTTTGTGCTTTTTTCATTAATTCAATGATACACTATAGAGTCAATTTTTTTAAATTTCATATTTTAATAACATTGGGGAAAAATATTCCAATATTAAAATGCTTTGATGACATTCATTTTGTGCCTTTTTAACTTAGCAAATACGATAGTTTAAAAACAAAACAACCCCAAATAAAATAACATTCCTAAAAAAAAAAAAAACAAGCAAGAGCAAAACTAAAAATTTTAAGCATTCATTTTGAAATGTAATTAAAATGAATCGAAAAATGATAATTTTTGGATCATCCTCCTTCTCTCTCCCACTCCTCCACTACCCCCCCCCCCCCCCAATAAAATAACAACATTCCTCAAAAACAAAAACAAGCAAGAGCAAAACACTAGAGTCTGGAAGCTAGCTGGTTGACGATGTGTCTCCACCGACCATCAACCCAGTTGTTTAACTTTCTCTTGTTTCCACTGTTAGATCGAGTGTTATGGCAGGCCTGAAACACTATGTGTTCCCACTTGGGTTTGTTCACCCCTGAAAAAATATTTTCGTTAACTTTTTTCGCATTATTACTATAAATTCGTCATCGTTTTCATCTTCATGTTTTTGGAATTATTTGAGTAATGAAACGGCCAGTTACTTTTTCAAAAAATAGTGTGAGTGGTCGTCAGAGGCGTGGCGACCCTTCCCGGCGCCCGGGGACAAACTTTCGATTTGCACCCCCCCCCTCAAACTTTCGATTTGCACCCCCCTCCTTCAAACTTTCGATTACTTTATCCAAAATATTGGCACTCCCTAAGGTCGGCGCCCGGGGACATATGCCCCCCCCCCCCCCATCGCTACGCCTCTGGCGGTCGTCCATCAATGAGGCCACTTTTTTCGCCAATTTTTAAACGAATGAGCCACCCCTCAGAAGTAATTATTTATACTCGAAGCTTATTAAATAAACGCATGTTTTATCACAATAGATTCTGTATACTGTGCACTCAACTTGTTTGTCCATAACCACAAAATTGTGTATTTAAAGAGTTCTTACCCTTGATCTGAACTCGGTCATCTATGACAACGTGGCAGTTGATCAAAGTTAAATCCTTCACAAAAACAATTTTTTGTAACCACTCGATGCCCAGATGTTCCTCAACCCACTGGCACTAATGAAATATCATACAGCATAATATGTAAAGTCGGAAAAAAATAATGTAACGTGTATTGCATGTTGTAATATTTCTGTTCTTTGTCAGTGCTTGCGTGTTATTTTATTCCATTCAATAAAAAATGTTAAAAATAAAACCCAAAATAACAACGATCACTAAAATAACAACCTTTTCTTTCAGACAATAATTGTAGGGTCCGGATGTGCTTGAATAAATGAAAACCTCAACGCTGAAAGTAAAAACATTTGAATAAACAGACTAGATATTCGACGATTTACAAACTATGAGTCGCGGAATTGTGGTAGCGAATGTGGAAAAGTAAAACCGAATTTTATAACATTAAAATGTACAGATAAAAATATACATGCATATTATCTTAAAAGTAATTTTTTGTCTCCGGATATTTAATTTTATAATATATATGTATATATATATATATATATATATATATATATATATAGATATATATATATATATATATATATATATATATATATATATATATATATATATATATGATGGATGGATGGATGGATGGATGGATGGATGGATGGATGGATGGATGGATGGATGGATGGATGGATGGATGGATGGATGGATGGATGGATGGATGGATGGATGGATGGATGGATGGATGGATGGATGGATGGATGGATGGATGGATGGATTGGCGATGACATATTATTACTTTAACCTAGCGAATAAGAAAACAAAATGGGTTTTCATATATTTATCTGTGGACTGTGGTTAGGAAGCATTATTGCAATGTAGACTTTAACTTTAAGGGCAAATTTAAGCTTGGTTTACATAAAATGGCTGAAGATTTCATTTTAACATATCTAATTCCCTCTAACATTGACACCCCATCCCATATCTTCCATACAACATTAAATAAATATACAAGCAAAATATATAAGTACAGTGGCGTTACTAGTCGGGTGTCATCCTGTGCGGTAACCGATGGTGCCCCCCCCCCCCTTCAATAATTATGCATATTTTATTTGGTGTCATCCTCTCTCCACCGACTATTTTATTATAAAAATTATAGGATAAAACATTTTCACAATACATTTTGTCGGGTGTCAACCCCCCTCTTAAAATGATGTAACACTGTAGGGACCGCATGTGACACCCCTTTATACGTCTATAGACCTATACTCTTCACATTACTTGACCATCCTATTCAAAGCCTGGAGCGCTTCGCAGCTTCCGGGAATCTCCGGCAAATCTCGTATAAAACCTTTTCTGCTGTAGATATTGAGGAGCTTCTCCTGAAGTATAGTATGAATGTATGCAGGGTGAGTATATAGACAAAAGAAGTCGACAAAAAAACACATGGCGACGGGACTTGAGAGCGGAAACTATTTATAGATTATAATAGATATAGATAAATAGAACCGTAGAAGGATATATCAATCGTATCATCATATACCTCTTACATCAGATAGAGATTACCGTAAATAATAAATTATATTCACACGTGAACTTACACCTAAACCAACTCCAAGTTCAGCATACTGTTGCTTAATGTTTAAACCTTTTCTTTGCTCTAGACTTATAAACGGCTCTTTCGGGTACATTTTGCGATACTCTTTTAAAAGACTGCCTTCGAAGTCACATAAAACATTTTCAAAATCTATAAAAACCTTAAGCTTTTTAATCTTTAGGCTAGTGTTTCCATGTGTACACGATTTGTTGTTTGAATAATTTGAAGCAGCCGCCATTTTTTATCACTCGTTTACCATAGCTAGACCTAGTAATAAAAGAACATACAAATTCAAATATTTTTTGTGTAGAGATCTTTGAAACGGAAGTGCCAGGTAGAACAAACTTCGATTGGTTCATTTAAAATATTATTTACCGGCTGGAAAATAGTTCTGAAATTGCAATCTTGGCAAATAAGCTTTTAAGGGGATAGGCTCCCGAAAAAAACAGGGAAAAAAACTTTTTAGTTAAAAAGCCTTTTTCATTTATTTGTGTATGTATAAGTTAGGGTACTTAAGGAAAAATATTTGGATGTACCAGGGACTCTTCTGAAAATATGGTTGCCATGGAAACGGCGGCCATCTTGGAAAAAACTCCCTTTTGTGGAGTTCTAAAATTTCCTAAAGTAACATATAAACCGCCCATATAATCATTGATCTTTATTGTACTAACATCAATAGAGTGAGCTGGCTAATTTTTGTAACCGAAACACAGCTAGACATATTTTTTTTCAAATTTTCAAAAAAATATGTGGTGAAATTCCATTGAATTTAGCATTATTTTCATTGGAATTTCGTCACACCAAATTTTGAAAATTAAAAAAAAATATTTCTAGAGTGATTTCTGTTACAAAAACTAGCCAGCTGACTCTATTAGCGTTAGTACAAGAAGGATCAATGGTTATATAGCCGATATTTATGTTAGTTTATGAAATTTTAGAACTCCAGAAAAGGATGTTTTTTTCAAGATGGCCGCCGTTGCCATGGCAACCATTTTTTCAAAATATTCCCTGATGCATGTAAATATTTTCCTTCAAGTACCCTAACTTAGATATACACAAATGAATCAATAAAAGGTTTTAATTAAGAAGTTGGTTTTTTCTGGAGCCTACCCCCTTAAAGCTAATAAGGTTTTAAAGTTATAACGTTAGCACTAAAATGGTTAAATGATCCTGGTAACTGAAAATAGGCTGGTAAGTCTTGGTTCATTTGCATATCAATAAGATCCACCAGTCTATAAATATCAAAGGTTTGGAAACGATACATTTCTTGTGGTTAGACAGTTTTGTCTGATATGGCTTGCATAAGCGGAGATACAAACAACATTATTAAAGCGCCTTTACAACATAGCCTACATCTTATAGTTGCGCATTGGCCGGGCAATGTACGAAATACGCTGTCAATTTTAAGCACTTTTGACATTGGCCGCACTTTGGGTTTTGGTCGCAATACATACACACACACATATATATAGGCAGTGGCGTAGCGAGGTCGGGTGTCACCCGGTGCGGCACTTAATGGTGTCACTTCCAGAGGCGTAGCGACCCTTCCCGGGGACAAACTTTCAAATTTTGATTTGCACCCCCCTCAAATTTTCGATTTGCACCCCCCCCCCTGGAACTTTCAATTCGCACCCCCTCTCAAGTTTTTCTCTATATATTTTGCTATTTTTAGCCTTGGTGTCACCCCCCCCCCTAAATGGTGTCACCCGGTGCGGTCCGCACCCCCCCCCCTCTCGCTACGCCTCTGCATATAGGCTTACATAGAGCCTATATATATATATATATATATATATATATATATATATATATATATATATATATATATATATATATATATATATATATATATATATATATATATATATATATATATATATATATATATATATATCCCTATATAATATAGCCTATTATTACATTGTAACAGATCATCACAAGACTCTGTCACCCCCCCCCCCCCTCTTCTTCACTGTTTGACCCTATACTGAGACTATACTCTGTTTTTATACTTACCTGCGCACTTAACGCAACGGCCTGTCCTTGTCCATGGTTAGCTCAACTCCAAGCTGCGCTGTTCCTGGTAGTACCTCCCGACAAAAAAAGCTTAAAGTCAAAGCGTGGTTCTTAAAAGTAAAGACCCTTTGGGATGCCGCTATTTGTTGTTTTCTTCGTCGTGGTTATGTCACTAGGTTATGATACAGCCAGATTATTTAAACGGCTTAGGACTCACGGTAGTTACTTTTAACATTAAAGAATAAAAAATACAGCTAGGCGGAGCCTAGAGCACGGATGGTGAGTAGCCTACTGTGTTGCCTATTTGAAATTATAGTCACTGTTGTAAGTTATGCCTACAGAGTACACACATTGAATTTCAGATTATACCTACTTTTGCGACATAGCGCTCCATTCCCCAGAAATAAACTGTATACCATGCATACCAATAGCTGAGCCAATTAGTTGTTTATACAATAAAATTGTTGATAAATAATAGCCTAATTTATTGGTACTAAGATCAGAGGTACCAAACAGGTAGAAAAAAAAAGGTCATTTCGAGCTGCATTACTGAATAATACACAGTCGAACCTAAGAAAATATATTACATTACGGATTTATTTGTTTTCAACATCGTGTGACACCAAAATAAAAACTTTAGGCCTAAGGACAGTCACTGTTAAAAGCGCTCCGACCTTTCATTTTTTTTTTTGGAGGGGGAGGGGGTCGGCTTTTTGCCAACTTGAAAAACTATAGGCTACATGACTACAAATGGAGGCGCAAAACTGATAGATCGCACGAAGCGCTTGAATGGGTCGCTACGCCTGATTAAGTTATAGTTATAGGATTGTATTGTTTGCTTAGATAATAAAAACACACTTTTAAAAGCCAAATGTCATAATAAAACATTATTGAGCTTTGACTATAATCGTAATATGTCAAGTTGAAGCTAGTTTTTATTCTACTTCTCCAGATTTTAATTATCTATGAACGATCGTTCCCAGTAAAAAAAAAAAAAAAAAAAACATTTTATTTAGAATACGATTTAAAGAATCTACCTCGTCAGTAATTTTTTAAATATTTTATATTCCCATTTGTCAATTAAAGATAATATTCTAGTATTTGCTACATTACATAAAATTATAAAATTGGGTCTTGTCCAGGTAAGCCCCGCCAATAAGTTACCCTCGCCACCCAAAACAGATTATTATTAAGAGAATATGAAATTGGTTATTTTAGATTGTATTGAAGAGGGTGAAAATAGGACATGTCATTAATAATTTGCATGAAAAGGTCTGCATTTTAGTTCCTTTAACACTCCTTATCTCTAAAACCAACCCAACCCTAACCCTAGAGGCGGCTAAGAAGTTGTTTTTATTAATTTTATGGCGAAAGTTTAAATATTCAAACCTAGCCTATGTGCTGTTTGAAATCGGTAATTAGTGTGCTCTAGAATCGTTATTTTTAATATTTTGATTAAAAATACTGTGAGAAAGGCAGATCATTCATACACAAACTCTGGTAATATTAGATCTATATTGATTATTCTTTTAAAATGTAAGCTAATTGTAGACTATTTTGTTTGTGTTTATAGTCCAAACCAACATAGAACCTAGAAACATTTTTAAATCTTGTATTTTTGTTAACAGAAGCACATTCTTCTTGTTTAGTTGCCAAAAAATGGCGTCGTCACTGGAGCAGTATGTGAATATGGTCCAAAGCATGTCATCTTCAGGTATTTGTTTTGTTTAGTTAATTTTATTTCATCATGTCTTTCAATTTTTAAAATGTTATCCTGTATGGGTGTAGGTAGATCTAGATCTATTTAATTATAGGCTATTGATTTTTATACAGTCTGAGATGAAAAGTTAGTCGTCAGCTAACATAAAATTATTAAATTAAAATTAAATTAAACAAATTTAACATAAACAATGAAAGCCAATAAAATAAAAGTTTGAGCCTGACAAAATTATTATATTATATTTAGGCTAACTTCAATTGAGAGCATTTTCTTTTATATTTCAGGGAATTTCACGCAGCTGTGCGATTATATTAACAAGAGTAGTGACATGCTTGCAAAAAACTCCTCTCATCTTGACAATGTTTATGCAACTCTGGATATCCAGCAAGCCTCTCTTGGGATATTAGGAATTCTGTAAGATTAACCCCTACTTTTTAAGGTGGCTTCTGCCTTATTTTGAAGTTTAATTAAAGAACATTTCACCATTTTTTTCCTCTGTAGGTGTGTAAAGTACACATTGCCAAGTAATCCAGATATTGAAACAACACTTATCCAGACCACAGAATTTCTTGCAAAATGCAATGGGGAGCATGTACGATATGCAACTGATAACTGTAAGACACTGTTAAAAATAGTTATTTACATTGTTATAAGTTACCAAGAACCGTAACTCTATACTGTGTGTTTTGATGTGAGGAAATGTGAATTTTTGCTATATGTACTTTTTATCATGGCTAAACATTCATAGCTAACTGTAAACAACTGTATATAAGATTAATGACCACTTTAACATGTGTAACTTATCTACAGATGCAGAGTTGTGTCATAAATTTGCCCAAGCTCTCATTGATAGGAAAATGGTTTGTAGATGTATTTGTTAATTGGTTATGACAACAGATATATGCTGCTTTTTTAAAAATCTGTCAAGCTGAAATAGTTGTGATAAAATGATTGTTTTATATTGCAGCTCTGTATGTGTTTCACTTGATAATTTTCAAATCTTATCTTCAGTATTCCAGAGGAATAGCTCCTCTAGTTCAAGCTATTCAAAAAATTCAGATACACCCAGCTCAGCTGACATCTATTCATTCAAGTCTGTGTCAGGTTGGTTGCTTATATGAAATGACCCGTTAAAGTACAACAGACCATAGTCAAAATGACCAATTAAAATACAGCAGTAAAATAGTTCAAATGACTAGTTAAAATGCAACAGATATAAGTCACAACAGGCACGATCTAATGCTAATTTATAACTATACACTTAGATATTTAGTGGTTAAAAAAATTGTCTTTATCTTATTTTACAGTTGTGTTTGCTAGCAAAAAACATGAAACCAGCTTTGCTTTTCCTGGATATAGATGTTACAGAAATTAGTAGAGAGGTATGCAAGTAACAATTTTTTTAGTATTTTTTTGTTAATATTCTGTTTAATTTTGTATAATCTTAGATTATTTTAAGATGTGTTTGTAAAATATAGAAGATGAATTCAAATACTATTTTTGTTCAGGGAGGACACTTTGATGCAAAGGATTATTTACTGTATTACTACTATGGTGGAATGATCTACACAGCTCTGAAGAACTATGATAGGGCACTTTATTGTTTTGAAATTGTAAGTGTAGTTTTTTTTTTTTCATTAATATAACTTTTAGTAATGATTGATTATTGATGTTATATGTTATTTCATGCTATATCCCCCAGGTGATTACTACGCCAAGTGCTGCGGTCAGCCATATTATGATGGAAGCATTTAAAAAGTTTACTTTAGTCTCCTTGATATTACATGGAAAGGTAGTATTAATTATTATTGTTAATTAAAAAGCAAGATATTATCTGATATAGTTTGCAATGCTTATACTTAAATGAATAGTTTTTTACTTAGATTATCATTTTACAAGCCTATTTACCCTATTTTCTGCTAGTGTCAAACTAATTTAATAGTTCTAATTGGCTTAAAATTTATATATGTAGTACTTTTTTTTTTTTAAAATCATTTGCAATGTAAAAGAAGATTTTTACTTTTATATTTTTGAAATTTTTAATTTCTTTCAGATTATTGTGTTACCTAAGTACACACCTCAGGTGCTTCAAAGATATATTAAGGTATGGAAGCTATTGTGTGTAAACATCAAATGTTTTAGGCTTCTATGTAAACTGTTGTGATAACTTTAGGGTAGATATATGAAATTTACATCATATTTTAAATAGTTGGCAAAATATTTTTTATTATTTTAAGCTAACCCTTACATTTATGTTAAAAGTTAAAAGCTTAAAAGAAAAAAAATATTTATGTTTTTAGCCTCTGTGTCAGTCTTATGTGGATCTTTCAAATGTTTATACGCAAAATAATTTGGCTGAACTGCGTGCCATTGTAAACAAGCATACAGAAGTATTTAACAGAGTAAGTGATATATTCTCTCTACATCTTAGTGTATTCAGCATAATATAAAAACTTATGTGTTTCAGTTAAATGAACTGTGCCTTTGATTTGTATGAAAAAATAATTCTTAACATAATGATTGTACAGGACAATAACATGGGACTTGTAAAACAGTGTATGACATCTTTAATTAAGAAAAATATCCAGCGGCTCACTAAAGTAAGTCTGGTTCATTAGTGTTGTTAAATATATGTTTCATGTGTACACTCAGCTCTTTATACTAATTAAGTTTTTTTTTTATGATTAGAAATAACTTTACTTTTTAATTTTTTATTTTGGTTAAATTTACATATAACTAAAAATGCTTTTAAAGTATTCATCAAATCTAATAATTGAGTATTTTTAACTCATGTTCAATTTATGTTCAATGTGAAAATTATTTTATATTAATATCATCATCATCTCTATGGTTTTTTTTTTATTTGAATCAGGCTGTATCCGACATATAATCTATAATGATGTTAGCTCAGACTTTTTTTTAGCAGTTTTTACTTAAATTTAAATATTTACTTCAGACATTTCTTACTTTGTCACTTGCTGACATGGCTAATAGAGTCCAGTTGTCAAGTCCTCGGGAAGCAGAGAAATATGTTCTTCACATGGTTAGTTCTGTTGTTGAAAAGCTAAATAAAATACCCAATGTAAAACAGTAGTTCTATTATTATATTCACAGTGGTATAATATTCTGCTACATTTCTTGTGCTAAATTACAGATTGAAGATGGTGAGATATTTGCAACAATCAATCAAAAGGATGGTATGGTTCGATTTCATGATAACCCTGAAAATTATAATAGTCCCAACATGCTCCTCGATCTAGACAAAGAGGTATTTCCTTTTCTTTTCATGTTGTTTTTTCTATTTAATATAAGTGGGGTTTTTTGACATGATACTTGATAAAAAAAAAATTTTTCTCCAGATGCAACAATGTATACAGCTGGATGAGAAGCTAAAGGAGATGGATAGAGAGATAGCTATCAACCCTCAATATGTACAAAAAGTAAGTTTAGTGAGACTTCTTGTATACATTTTAATTTATTGCCCTACTATTATACAATGACAGAAACGGAGGTGTTAAATAGTTTTCAAAAAAATGTTTTGGCCTTAAGTATTAGGGATTGTTTTTAATTGTACTTGGGCTGCATATTTTGAGACTTGCTTAATGCCTATTGGTGGGTTAATGTGACCCATGTTGTTCATAGTTGATGGTGATTTTAAAACATTTTCAGAAGTTGTTAATAATGAAATCCTCAATGTGCCCAAACTAAAATAACTTGCAGTATTAAACTGCTTTTCCAAATGTAAAGACATGAACATTAATTTGTTCATCATCTTCTTATAGTATGTGTACATTAAGTTAGAGTAACAACCTGTTTTTGACATTTCACTTTACAATAAGCTTTTCTCAGAACAACAAATAAAACATGAAGTTTTTATCTGCCAATTGATCTGTTTATTCACATTCTGGTTGAGACATGATTTTATTTGTTGTTCTAAGCAGTGCTCAAGTTGTCTCCCTTACATGACTTATTACATAATTTAATAGATTTTACGCCTTGTTCATTACCAGAGTTCTGGTGCTCATGAGGATGACCTTCCTGGAACTTCTACTGCTACTGGCAAGATACAGGCATATTAATGATTTAAGATCCAACAATTCACTTGTTTTAAATGAAACTGAATTCAAGAGATAAGATAGTGTCACCACTGCGCCACTTGTTGAAGAATGCCAACCTGTTGAAAGCCTGCGGCACAATATGAAATTTGTTTTGTAGAGTATATGTAACAACTTAAGTTGTTTTGAAACAGGGATTTCAAGAAATGAATTTAGCTTTGATAATGAAACTAGATAAATGTTTATTTATTATTGTTGGTGACTTGGGGCTTGAATTGTCATGCTGAGTTCATCCATTAAAGTTTGGTTTCCTTTCTGTTGAAAAAACCTTTTGCTTAGCTACACCTTAATCTGAGAAGTTGTATAATTATGAATGTATTGTGGTTAACAATATTAAGTTACTTCTCATCTAAATATTTTTTTTATATTAATAAATGTTATTACTGCCATACCCGTTTCGTACTTTTTGTGTGTGAAAGTTGAGAGGAGTTCTACAAAAATATATAATTCATTGTCTCTTTGTTTTCTTTTAACTTTTTGGTGATTCATAAACATGAATTATTTCCAACATAAGATAAAAAAAATTGAACTTTGCCATGTGAAGGCAATGTTTATTGTAGTAATAGTATCACAAGACAGGTTGTGTCTATAGTGACATTGAGTCCCTTAGCACATTTCTTTCTATAAGTTTTTAAGCAAGATGACCTCTAATCCAGAGTTTTTCATAATGGCCTTTCCCCATGGGATGAACTATTCCAGTGGGGTGTCTGCTGGTATGTAGTTTATTGACCAGGCTTGAGCCCATAGGATGTTCAGAGCCTAAACATTTTCTTAAATTGTACCGTAATTAATATTTTCTGATAACCACTGAAAGTTTAGACAACTAGGCACAGAGCTGACCATGTAATCCTCTCCCAAATACCTTTCCTTTGTGAGGGTACATGACAGTGGTTGAGCACCCAGTTGTTAGGCAGACATATAGTTGCCACTGTGTTGAGAAGTGTCAAGTAAAAATCAATTGCCGACTAAAAATAAGTAGAAATGTACAAGCTGTACAAAGTAAATAAAAAGTAAATAGATTTAACATTTTTTTCATTTTTTGCTGCTTTTAAAATTGACCATACAAGTTTCTCGTCCCTGAGTCCACCTAGTTCGGATGGCTACCTTAACCTAACTCACTTTAGGGAAAGTAAAGGTGGCTGGGCATAGTGCTGACCACACTCCCAGGTCACAGAAAAATGTAAACTTTACTTCACTTGCCCCATAAACCATCTTGTTTGGAAAAGGAACTTCACAGAAGTTTCTTGGTTATACAAATAATTTCAATTTTTAGGTTACCTTACACGTCCCTCAATTCTACTAACCAAACACCAGACTCATGTAATCCCAATCCCTTTTCTATGCCTCCACCATAATAGTCATCTCCCATATCATCACACCTACATATGTGATGGCTGGTTGGACAGTAGGGCACACAAATGCTAAATCAAAAGTCTCAAATTCAGATCCTGAATGGATTTGAGAATACTACAGATGAGTACCTGACTTAAGTTAGATAACTAAAGGCGCAAGGTCATAGAACTGACCCCATTATCCCTTTTTATGCATAGACACTTAAACTGATTTACTCAACATCGATCACACATTACACTGAAAAGCATAACACTTTTAAAACATCTACATTAAAATACTTGTGTTAATCATAGTTAATGAAAGAGAAAGCTATGTATTCACTCTGTTAAACACAATGTTGCTAATAACATTAATTAACAGTTAGTAATTCCAAAATGATTGTTTACTTAGAAATTTATGTTAATCAAGTAAAATTATGAATTCATTTTGTGCTTTCAAAAAATATATTAACTAAGCAAATGGGTTGATAAAATAAATTATATAACAAACCAGCACAGACTTGAATTGTTGGTCACAAGTATATATTTATACGGCTACATAAATATAACAAATTTCAAACAAAAATAAACATGCTATCCTCAAAATATTTAATAAGATAAAATATAATACTGCAATGCATTTAACCAAAACATTTTTAAAAACTAAAATGGCAACAATTTTTTGTTTAAAAATCTATTGTTAACTTTCTTGCAGTTGAATTTACTTCTATATCCAAAAGTCAAATGTCACATCCCTTTTCAGACTGAGCAGCACGTAAAACTTTAAAAAAAGCAATATATAAAATAGATGAAAAGTACTGTCTGTTTAAACACGAAACTGATAAATTGCATTACAAGTTCATGGAAAGCCCAAAGTGGATTTAAATCAACAATGTTATTTTGCTTGGTATTCTGTTTCAAATTTTTGAAAGTCCTCCTCTGTAAAAACTGATGTCAATGGTTGTGTGATTGTTTGTTTTCTATCTCTGGACAGTAGACATGGTTGTTTGAACAAAATCTGAAAAGTTATAAAATCTCAAAGTAACTACAACTTAATAAAATATATGGCATGGTATTTAAGAAAAGGTCACAAATTGGTGATGTCAATGAAAGTTATCTGATGCAATCAGATGCAAAATTAATACCTTTTCAGCTACATCATTCTGAACCTTTCCCAATTTTGTGATCTTTAGCAGTGCCTTTACGTTTGCTTCTGTATTGTCATAAACACAGTCTTCCTTGTATTTTTCTAAAAAATATATTTTTTGTAAAATTGGTAATATAAAACATATTTTTAAAAAATCATTTATGGATGTTGAACATGGTTGCATTCTATTATAAACTGCTAAACAATTTTGTATACCTATTGCGGATTTTATTTTTTTTCTCTTTTTCTTTTCAATGTCAATCTTTTGTTTTTGCTTTTGAAGTTGAAGTTTCTTCTTTTTTAACTTTGCACGATTTGTTATTTCTGATGTGTTGTGTCTGCTTGAAGGAGAGTTTTTTGTAGCTTTGTCTGTAGGTGTTATCTCTAGAAAACAATCAAAAGACAAATATAGTTATACAAAAAATAAGGTATAGATCTATTACAAAGTAGATTAAATATATAGACCTATTGAAAATAATAAAGATTTCCACATGCAACAAGATCAGGTTTCTATGTTTACATCATTTTAATTTGGAAGTTGCTAGTTGTACCTCAATCCTAATAGTCCCGGGTTCTTATAGCCATGGCCACTATTCGGACCCTGCATTAAGTTCGGTCCATACTTACACATTGACATAGCTTATTTTAAATTTATACCTTTTATATTTATTTGATTTTTCTTGCTAGTATTTTGTCGTAGTTTTTTGTGTGATACATAGTTGTGTAGACTTGCTAGTATAGTATAGTATTATTAACTTATTATCATTAAGTAAGTATAATAAGCAATCATCCACGTTTTCGTACATTAATAGCCTCGGGCGATTTTACGTACCCAAAACGATAGATTACCCAATTTTAGGCCTAAGTAGTAAGTAAGAGTGTTAGAGATCTAGATCTCTAGACTCTCTAGAGTCTACTTGAATTTATGAATCTATTACTATTAAATATTAAAATTATAACATTTTTATGATTTTATTATTTATTTAACTTCAAGACTTTGGAAATTACCTGTGTCCATACTCAGAGAAAGACGTACTAATTCCAGTGACATTTTAACCGCTTGGACAGAGAATGTATCTGTTTAAAATAAAATTACACACAACAAAAACTTGTTGAGCGTTTAAGTGCTGTAGCGTTTTTGTCTTAAACTCTTAAGTCTTAATTATGTTTCAACCCAGGCCCAGGGTCTGCGTTGACACAGTAAACTTATCAGATTCGTCTAAACGTCGAGATGAACTATTTGTTTAAACGAGTTTCTATGGCTATAATTTTGTTTTCCCAGTTCCTGTTGTAAGGCCTATATGGTTGGTTTCCAGATGCCGTTGTTTCATTCAGATAATTTCTCTTAAAGGGGGGTGGGTGTGCTCTTGAAACTTTCGTGCGGGGAGGGGCGCACTTACATTTCCAGAGGGGGGGGGGGTGGGGTGGGGTGGTGACGGACAACATTTTCCGGGGTGGACCGGACACTGGTATAGTAGATCTATTTGTTTTCTATATAAATTCCATTTGGTTCAGGGACGGGGGCGGTAGATTTTCTTCGGGGGCCGGACCCCCCCCCCACCCCGAATAGATGCATGAATGTAAGAAACTCTGTGCTGGTTTAAGCATATATTTTCTATATAATGTTATTTCATTAGGGGGCGATAAGGGCGGTAGACGTGGACGTGCTCGAGGATGAGGGGGCAGAGAGTGTCTCCCTACGCTTCGAAGAAATACCTGAAAGAAACTGTCAAGGTTTTGTGCTTATAAAGAATTATGTCTATGACAAGGAATGCCTGGGGTGGATCTTTTTGTCCGAGACAGCTTCTTGACATTTTAAACTTCACAATGTAGACTATACTATACTGCTTTTTGTTTGGCGGTATAAGAATAATAGGGACCTCGATCTGTAATCATCCCCACAGTCAGGGGTGGACTGGCTGTATCAATGCGCTCCGGAAATTGAACTTAAAAAATCTAGGTGTTCTTCGCAAAAGTTTCTTCATGTATCCCAGTTGGGAGAATTATCTCTTACAGCAACATGTGGAGACGATAGTCTATCAGAGTTTCTTCCAGGCACCTCTTGGAGGAGGGGGGGGGAGAGGGGCGTAACCCCCTCCCCCTCCCAAAGAAAATATACCGACCCCCCCCCCTCGAACGAAAATTGAATGTATGTATGACTGTATGTACATAAAAATATATACCATACCAGTGTCCGCGAAAATGTTGCCACCCCCCCCCCCCCCCGAAAATATCAAGTGCATCCCCCCCCCTACCCCGGAGAAAAAAGTCTGAACAAAACACTGTAGTCAACAGAGTTGAATCGGTTGATACTATTACTACTGCTATTAACTGGCCGTTAGTGCCCCATAAAGGAAGAGTCACAACATTTTTTGGGTATGGACCAAGCTAAATATTTAGATCTAGATTCTAGTAATATTCTTAAATGACGACGTTTTTTAAGTTAGTGTACGCTGCATTGTTAGTAAAGCTAGAGGCAGAGGCATAAAAATCGTGTAGTATATAATATATACAATTCTTTAACACATTACAAAATTTTAACTCTAAAGAAAGACAATCGAAATATTTATTCATTTTACTTGATTTTTTTAAAAACATATAGATTCCAGGGATACGTTTTTTTTAAAGTGCTCGGGTAAAAAAAAATCAAATAAAATTGTTATTTTATATTTTTTCTCTTGTAGATTGTAGATCTAGATCTAGAATCTAGATCTAGATCATAGACTCTAGATCTAGAGAGATGTTTTTTATCAACCACCTTTTGTTTTAAACCGGAAGTTATTGCGAACACACAGATCTAGAGATTCTAGACCTTTAGATTTGTAGAATCAAGAAATAGACTTAGGACTAGACTACTGTTGTATAGATTTCAATTTTCTGGTTGATCCCCCGAATTTTCAATTGTTCATTAGCATTAAGGGTAACTGAACGATACTGTAAGCAAACAAGTATTATTAATAAATAACAGTATTATTTATTTAGTCATAGGCATACCACTACCCATTTACCCAGTCAGTGTCCCGAACTTTCCAAGCCATCACCCAGGGAAATTGCCAACGCTAGCCAGTAGGATCTAGATTAGATCTATTCTAGATAGCCAACACCAATATTAAAGAAATCTAGATCTAGAGAAAAGCCAAACAAAAATATTTGAAATGTTTGCAATGATCTAGATTTATACAAAAGTAAAAGCAAAAATTGGTTGGGGGGGGGGGGGTGTTAAAACTCCATTTTAGCGTATTTTATTCGCTGCTTCGAGTTCACCTCCGGTTGAGCATATTTTAAAATAATTTGATTATAAACACAACCAAAACACACAAAAATATTAGGAAAACACAAGGATTAGAATCATTAGCTGATAGATATTGATATTAGATAGTAATAGGGTCCTATAGAATAAATTATTAAGATTAGACCTATAGTATAGATCTAGAATCTAGATCTACTTAGTTTTTTATGAATGTGTTTTAATTAGAAAAGGTAGGCCTAAAAAATATAAATTGGCATTACAGTTCCAATTAAATAGCGCGTGATCGTCTGCGTGAGAAAAATCCCTAGACTACATGGTCAAGTGTTTTGTTGTATGAAAAAAAGTAACAGGAAAAAAAAATACAGAAAAAAAAACCCAGAAAAAAAGTCACAGGAAAAAAGTCACAAATAGATCTATACAGAGAGTGCAAATTAACTTAGGATTAATTAAATGTAATGTAATGTGTGTAGGCCTAGGTTGTATACGCATGGTAATTTTTATATAATTCATCTAAAAATATGAAGTATAGGCCTATAGATTTTAATTATGTTAAACATAATATTAATAGCCATTAATAGAATGTTCCAACGTCCTCGGTTTTCATCGTGTTTTTAAAAAAAAAAAATACTAACATTAAATTACGGTGAAATGGTAAGTTCATCAGACTTGCCCTCAACTCATCGCAACAGTATTTATGCTTAGTTCAACCACTTTTATCACGCTCGTTACATAATAAAGCATAGGATCAAAACAATCCGACAAGGTTCAAAGGCTGTCATTGACAACACGAAACGTCAACACCACACAATATGTTCGGACAAGGCTGACTAAAGAGAGGCAGACCAGAGGATAGCCTACGGCAAAACATATGCAAAACACAATGATGTGCCTAAATTTCTTTTATAATATAATTAACTTTTCTACCGCGTATTTAACTAAATACGTATATAATATATGCTATAAAAAAATACAACCCACAACAATAAACATACAAAAATTTACAATTTTCAACAAATAAATCAAAATATTTCTTAAAAGATTTTGTGACTTTTTTCTGTGACTTTTTCCGATAAAAAATTCCATTGTGACTTTTTTTCTTTGACTTTTTTTTCCTAGCAAAAACTGACTTTTTTTCTGTGTTTTTTTTTCTGTTCACCAAGTGTTCACCGTGAGTTCACATTGACTGTAATTATAATTATCAGCATACCTCATAGCTTAGGGTCATTGCGAGTTCATGTAAGTTAATTTATAGGTGACCCATCAAAAGAGCGCACGACAAAAGAGCGCCGACATAAGAGCGCAAACTAAAGATCGAAATACCATATTTAATAAATAGGAACAAGAAAATTAACTCAGATCAGAAGGCATTGTTTAAGGTTAACTGTTTATTGTTTCATTAAAAAACTTATTGTTCAGTTTCTTTAACTAAAAAACTGGCATTGACGATTGATATTATCCATTGTTCCGAACATCATCATTCTGTAAACGTCAGTCTGTCCGGAATCCAACAAGACAAAATTTTGCCCTCTTGTTGTCGTTTGAAGAGGTTTAGGAATTGTTATTTCTGCAACATTCTGCGGATTTGGGTATGGCAGCTGCTTGCGTTTTCTCTCTTTCTATTGCACGTTGTGAAGCGAAGTATGCCGGCAAATGAGGTGCTACTTTCATCGAAAACCTGCTCTGGCTTGTTGCATAATCTGCCTTGGTTTTTCCCCTTCCACTGCCCGTTTTCATATAGCCGAAACAACTTTCGCTGCTTTGTTTTTAGCCGGATCAGGAGCGTGATTGTGTTCCGATGATAAAAGAACCACTTCGTTCAGCATTTTCATTCGTCCTTGGCAGCCATCTTTCTTGCAGCATCTCCATGTCGTTCTTCCATCAGCATTTGCTTTGTCCTTTCGATATCTGTAGCTTTCGACCAATATAATAACCTTCCCTTTCTGTGATTCGATCTTCTCCATGTTATTTGGGTTAGAAATATTTTCAAACTGCATTCATAACATATTAACCATAATTTATAAAAAAACACATGTCGTTTTATCGTACCCCCGATTGTTTAATTAAAACAAGTGTTAACCATGTCATATTCAGTTAGCGTAAAACATGTTTTTTAATTGACTGCACTCTTTTGTCGGGGTGCCAATTTATAGTATCATGCCTTGCATTTCAATTATGCGTTTCTTCTTTACCCATTGCCATGAAAATCTTTTAATGACACGAACTTATTTTCAAGAAAAAAAAGTTAAATCTAGTTCAAGATTCTAGATCTAACTAAATAAATAGTAGGCCTACACATTTGTGTCTTTTGGTTGTGTTTATAATAAAATACGCTCAACTGGAGTTTTATCGGGGGGGGGGGGGGGCAATACTAGACTGTTCGAAAGGTTTTAAATAGGTTGTTCATATATTGGTAGTATTTTATTGTAATCTCATGTCTAGTTAGAAGTTATGGTTAGGTTTATGGTAGGACTAGAGTTGGGGCTAGGGATCCTATGATAGGGTCAGGTTAGCAAGTCATAGATCTATGTGTAGTATTTAGTTAAATACCAGTAACCTAACCAGTGTCCAATAATGGCACAACTATAGCATTTTCTTTAAAAAGGGGTGTTAAGTTACTGGTAGTTAATTAAATATGTATATGACTTCTTCTAGCAAGGGTCTATGCTAACCCCCAACCTTAATCCTATTATAAGCCTAACCCTAATTTCTGAGTATAAAATTTGACTTGGAATTACAATACTACTACATACAACCTAACACGCCCATTTTTGAAAGAGTCTATAATTGGCCATTGGTATACCAGTTATCCATTTAACCACGCACTTCTAAATTAAAAATCCAAATTCCTATGTAAACTGTGACAGGGAATTTCTCGCACCATCTACCCCCCCCCCCCCCTCCCCCCCCCTTAATTTTGCGAAGCTTTAAAAGGAGGATTTGTTAGTCTGGACTTAAGGGCAGTTATCTATCAATTTAGGTTGAGCTGCTAGGACACTGATACCACAATATTGCAGAGCTCTGCATTGATATTTGATTGGTGTTGGCCCTCAGTCCAAAAGTTGATTCAAACCTTTGCATCATAGACCCTAGTAGCTAAAAGATGGTTATTTCCAATTGTTGACTTGAGTGCTAAATTTTCTATTTTGAAAATAAGAAAATTTAAAATATAGTGCCTAGATTGTATAACTCTTTCTGTTGCTGCTAGTAAAAGTAATGTAAAAACATCATTAACAGGCAGCATACTCAACAACTCAATATGTCAAGCCCACAAGACATCCCACAGACTCAAGCATTAAACAGTGCCCAAATATCAGAATCTCCTGGACGGAGGTTTTTGATTCCTAGCCCCATTCCAACTAGACGAACTCGCACTAAATCTATGTAAGTAAATGCTTTCTGTTTGATTCCATTCTTATTTTAAATTTTTATTTATTTGTAGTCTATTTTGATAGGTAAATTCTGAATTCTAGAAATCCACCAGTATCATTTTTGGTAATGCTGTACTGATAATTTTTAAGGTATTATTTAAATAAATTTTAACCATAATCAATATTTTACATTGGTGTAATTTACCAGGTTAAGCCTTATGGAGTGTTTTTTTTTAAAAGCATAAACTGTAAAAACAACTAGTTACATAAGGAAGAATATAAGTGGCTTATTAGAAGACTCAAGCTCCAAATGTACAAAACACTGTTATTTGTTTCAAAGTTCAGCTGAGACATCCATGGAATTGATTTAGGGGAAAATAAAGGAAAAATTCTAACTCTGTTCTCTAGTGAGCTGAAGAAACTTTACACATCCTATATAACAAATCTCAAGGTCTGCGTGTATGTCCAAAAATAAAAATCTATATGTCAGGACAAAATTAACATTTAGCATTAATCAAAAAATAAAATGGCACACTCTTAAAAAGGATACTGAGCAAGACTTGACTTGGAGTGGAACAACCAGGCCAAAGACACAGGGAATGACCCATGAAAATATTGTGATACATTGTGCTGGATCAGACTGAAAAAATAGGACAGAGCTGGGAATAACTAAAGAGTTTGGCTAGAGACTGTGGAAAGTGTAGAGATTACTAATTAGAAAGCCCCTATGATTATGCACTAATCATTAGCATCACCTGATAGTTTTTACTTTTTTTTTAAAAAAGGCAGGAAAATTAAAATTGTTTTTTTGTTTTAATTTTCAGAGTTTACATGATTTAAAAAATGTTCAATTCACATATTACATTTTTAAAATAAGAATTAGGAATATTGCATTACTATATCGTATTGTATCATATTTGAAAATATGTTGGTGTGTATGTTGGTAAACAGAATAAGCAGGCTTGCATTTAGTTACATCAATTGTTTTTCTTAAATTGTTAGGTCAGAGCGTGCAGCTGAAGGACCAACTCACAAAGGTGTCGTTAAAAGTTTCTGCAGACAAAGAGGCCATGGGTTCATTCATCAAGAAGATGGTAGCAAGGAGGATATTTTTGTTCACATTTCTGAGTAAGATCATTTTATTGGTGTTTTTGTCTGAAGAAATAGGGAAGAGTTGGTTTTTTTTACAATCATGCTTATACCTATATATATATCTATAATATAACGCTGCTGGTAGTGTGTCAGTCCGTCATCGCTATAGGCGCGGACGCCCGGGTAAACATGTTGTTTGGCGGCGGTTGAAATTACGCTTTGGGTTTGGGGAGGAGAGATGTCTGGGTGGACGTTCATGAGAGCGACAGATCACATTTTTTTCCGTAATTTTAATTTCGTGAATATCCATATTTACACCAAAGTGCTACCGACACCCGCGCGCAGCGCGTTGCGCTGAAGAAATTTTCGACCCAATTCGGTGACCCGCACTCGCGGTAATACTCATATCCACACTGTAGCGAAGCACGGGTATAAGCTAGTATATATATATATATATATATATATATATATATATATATATATATATATAAGCCTGTAATCAACTCACTAATTATATTTTTCCTTGAATTTCAATAGCATTGAAGGTGAATGGGTCCCTAAAGAAGGTGACCATGTGACATTCAAGACAGTTTGTATCCCACCTAGAAATGAAAAACTGCAAGCAGTCCATGTAGTAATAACACATTTGAAGCCAGAAGTGGTACATGAGAGATGGGACTCACCTGTTCCCACCACACCTGAGAAGTCATCCGATTAGAAATGTAATACTCATTCTATTGTATGTTCATTTATGTAAACCAGAGAATATTGAAAAAAAATCCAGTTTTTTCATTGATATGTACTTTAATCAAGCTCCACTTTTTGGAAGCTGAAGTCAATTTATAAAAATAACTACAGTTACAAAAGAGGTTTTTACAGTTTTAGAAAAGTGTAAGTTAAGCTCATGTTATTCATTTTTTTCTATTTCTTCATGTTGGATTCTGCTCAATGATAACCAAATAAACCTAATTATAAGAATATATTGTGAAAAAAGTTATATGCCCAATAATTATAAAAGTTAACTCTTTCTAACTGTAAGTCTGTTCATGCAATAATCCAAGACATTTATTTCTTTTTTTCATGCAACTTAAAGCAATCTTAAAAGTGTTTTTATCAAAATAAATCTTTAAAAATTAGCATCATATGATCAAGAATGGAGTGAATTTTTATGATGGATTTGTATCCTCTGGTGAAATTGGTGTCATAAAAATTGTAATTGACCACAGTAAAGAATGTTATGAAATGTTACCTTCTGTTCTGATTTAGGGGCTGCTTGAGACGTGGGATGATTGTAAAAGATACTTTGTCTACACATGTAAATTGATTACTGGTATTTGTTAAAATTGATTTTATAGTATTTGACAGCACTCTTAAGATAATTCAGATTATTCTAAAAGATTTTTTTAGGTTTTGTAAAATTTGTATTTTAAATGAAGGAAGTAAGAATTTTTGTTTTACACCTATTTTCCTTATTGTATTGGAAGATTAATCCTAATAAATTTTACTTTGTTCTATGAATTAAAATTTTAATGAATCTAAAAATATTTTGCCTTATAAATACTAACTATATGCCTTTATACTGTACAAGTCATAAGTTTAAAACAATGTACATTGTTGTGTTTAAACAAAGCTAAACAGGTGTTTTACTTCCATCTTTAATTAAGATTGTTATTTGAGTGGACTATGCTAATCGTATTTTAATCTTGTGATTGTATTGTGTGTAATGACAGATTATCCATTTCATACCAATAAATTTCTCCTCTTAATGCATTTACTGTTGATTTTTTTTTTTTTATATTAGTAGGCATACTTGTTCAAATTTCATGTTCTTGGTTGTTTTTTTTTTTTAAGAAAAATAAAATTTTAAAATTTGATTATTGTTGCTTGTTAATTTATGCAATACATTTGCAAACTCTTCAAAAACTATTCAAGTTATTATAAAAAATGTCTAAAAAGTAAAAGAAAGACTTTTAATAAAAATTGTTTTGACCAACTAAAAAATAAAGTGCCTGTGCAGTGATATTAAATTTAAAACATTGTGTATTGCCGAACAGCTTTTAATTAAAAAATTTACCGATGAAATTTAAATGTTCATATGTTAGGGTATTGTTGATTTAAAAAATGGTTACTCCTCTAAACAAATATTGCAGTGACATTACTATTCAACCACCAAATGTTTTAATAAACCTTGATTTACTGTACAGTAACTTGATTCTTTTTTTACTGCTGTTCTTGCCATCAGTTGGTCATTCAATTTTTAATAGTAATTTTGTCAATATTTACAATCTAGGCTACCTTATTGCATGTGCTAACATTTTGTAATTAATCAGCTGACATTGTAAAATTTAGTGAATGTTTATATTTAGTACTTAGGAGTTAAAATTTTTGTTATATAAATTTTATGCTATATATCCTTTAAACAAAGGCTTTTTGATTTATAAAACCACTAAATAAAATTTTCTTTATATTATACTGTAGTGTATCATTTTCTTGAAGTTGTAACATTTTACAGTGCATAATATTTTTACCTCATACTACAATGCAGTACATTTTCCCCCATATCTTTGGAGAATAGTTTTTGTTGATTGTTTTTAGTTTTCAAAAAAGAAAAAGATGTTTAACAATAATTTCTCTTAGGTGTTTTCACTTCAACTTGTATTATGTAAATTAACAAATACAAAATTTTTGGCATTACTAGAACACCTCAGATGCTCGATTAAAGTACAGTAAAATGTTCCCCTTCCAAACTTGACGGTCTACGGGGCAAGTGAAGTAGAGTCCATCTGTTTCTGTGACCTCAGCCCAGCCGCCTTTACTTTCCCTATCGTGAGTTAATACACATCAGAGCTGGGTAGAATCAGGGACGATCTACTGGCTTGAACCTGGATTTGAACTTGAGACTTACGGGTTGGCAGTCTAGCTCTCTACCACTAGGCCACTCCGTCCCACATACTAGTTAAACCATTAATAAGTTTTAATATAGTTTGACAATTTATTTTATCAGATGACATAATTTCAAAGTATTTTCTATTAAAAACTATATATATTTCATTCAGGAATTATTTCAACACCCAAACACAAAGTCCCTAGTTCAAGTGTATTAGTATTGCTTGACTATGATATACAACTCTCTGTAAAATAATAGGAATGCAAGTTTTAAATTTGTTGTTTTAAATTAAATTTAACAAAATATTCATTCTTATTAAATGTTTAATACTTTCAGTATTATCTAAAAAAAAATTACAAAATTATACAGTACATAAACTAAATAAATAAAAAGATATTTTGAGCACAATTATTTTGTTGGTAATTGCAAAAATTACAGCTTTATTTTTTTTTCCATGAATGAGTGCTCTAAAAAACTTTTCATTTGCAACTCATGGAAGAAATTGAAAGTTTACTCTTTGCTTTATACTAATGTAAAAAACTGGTCAGGGTTGAAAACTGTAAAAAAAGTTTGATCAGATAATAAATATTACTGGATTACTATTGAACAAAATCAGGGTGTATTAATTCTGCTTAAATATTCTCTGCACTTTAATAGCAGTAGAAAATGTATTTTGTATGGTAGTTCTTATTTTTTTTATTAAGAATTCATACAGCATACTGAAATTGTGTGATAAACACACTTCAGTAAGATTGATATTCATGTGCAGAATAAACTCATTTATAAATCCAATTTTGTTTAAAAGAGGATAAATTGCTGTATTTGATACAGTATTTCTATTTCTTTTGTAATATAATAGATTTTTTTTATATAAGCTACTAATAAGCAAGTATTAGTAAATACATTTTTTTACAATATTTTTTCACTTTGTTAACTTTCATAACTTTTAAAACTATCACTTATTGTAATTAAATTAAGCTAATGATTTACAACTAACAAATTTATAGAAAGAATATAATTTATAAATCTTTGTTTAATTTCTGTTATGAAATGGTATACTATTTTACAATATTGTGTTATAAATGGTATATACATTAATTCCCAATTGTTTTTAATGGCAAAACTTTGCTTGTTTATGGTTTCATTAGAGTTTAAAGTTGCCTTGATTTAAATCAGCCTTGGCCAGTAATTAGATTACAAGGACAGACTACCCTAAGCTTCAAACAACTGGTAATTGTGACACTATTGCAGCAATGATCTTTTTAAATAGACCCAATGTAATCATTAAAGAGATCTCACATAACCCATATTTTATTAATGTTTAAATATAGATTATACACAGCTAAACAAGCTTATTGTTTCAAATGTATGGTAAAAGAATGAGTTTAGGTCAGAACTATGTATCATCTTTTCAGTTCCCACATGGGGCCATCGCTGAAAGTCATTTCCTTTTTCTGGTGGTCTCAGGTAACTTTCTTGGCAGTTCCCCTGTGCATTTCTTTTTTTTTGCAATTCTTTCTCAACTGTGCTTAAATACTAATAAATAAATGAGCATCCTCACTTTTTCAAATGGATTGTTTTAACTTATACAGAGTTACAAGTGAGCTTTATGTGAAATATCACATTTAAAAAGTAGGCTTTTGTTTGTCAAAGTGAATTAAGCGCAAATTTGAAGTAAACTAAAACCTGTGCTCTGACATTTTCAATCAGAATATTTTGGAATTACTATCTAATTTATTAAAGTAGTAGCTGCTGTTTTATAGCACTAATTTTAAAAATAATTTTTTCTCCAAAATGTAATGCTTTAACAATAATTCATCATCTGACCATAAACTTTTGTTTCAAGATATGTCCATAATATTCTGATACTTAATCCTCATGACTAATTATCTATTCACTTATTTTTGTTTTGATGAATCTGTAAATGTGCAAATTTTGGTTAAAATGTAACTTTCTCAAAAGTCAAATCTGCCATATTTCTTTTTATATGAAACTGAATACTGACTCTGAAAAATAGGCCAGTTAAAACACATTTTAGATAGTCAAATTTATTTCTTTCAATTATTATTGATTGATTTATTTATAAACACCTGTTGTAACAAGAACATCATGGATAGAAACTTGTAATAATGAAATTCTTCACATAACGTTGATTTTAACTTTAAAATTCTCTGATTTAAAAATAAATAAAATGTTTTCATCTGTTGTTATAATTAAGGGAGAGTTATCTGTGTACATGATATACGGTAAGGATAACCCATGTTACATTTAAAATCTTGTAATATTAGAGTGATGTAATTTGATTGAAATATAACATCTTTCAGTAAATGATGTAGTCAACACATTCTGTATTTTACTCCAGTTTAATTACACTAAAAATGGAACCGTTTTAGTAGTCTTTGAGCCATATAACCTTAATTTTTCTTCTTCTTACTTAGAAGTAATAGTTGATCAGTAGTGTACTGAAATATAGCAATGTTCACTGCTTTTAATTTTAATGCAGTATCTGTTGACCAATAACATTTATTAGATAAGTTAAATTATTTTGTTGTTTTCTGTTAAATTCCGATTTTGTGTACTGCATCAGTTCTACAATAGAAAAATAAAGGAAATGGTTCTTGTAGAGACTGAAAACAAAGTGTAGAAAACTGGAGGTCAGAGTTCATGAGGATAAATTTCTGCTTAACATATTTTAGCCACAATGCTATATTAAATTCTTTTAATTCACCAAAATAAATAATGTGTAGACCTATATTAAAAATATATACATATAGTATTTTTAAAATCCTTCTTTTAAACCAAAGCATAATCTTTTAAATAGTATTTATTTATAAAAAAAACCTTTACAGTAACACTAAAAAAAGAACATAACTATATTTTTAGATATCACAGTAACATCAGTGTTTTGCAGTCTTAACAAGACTGGTCAATTATCTACCCCTTATAACATCCTTGTAAGTTCTCAGCCTTGAAAACATCAATGAACACCAGCTCACCACAGTGACCTGGCTCATTGTTTGCATTTATTGTCTTCCCTTTGTTGTGATATGTAATCTTTAAATTAATTTCAAAGACTCATTTAAAACCTATTCAAATTGAAAATTAGATATTTTTGTATTGTCATAGGAGATTTATTTATCTGAAAAGAAGATCAGGTTACTACTAACAGACAAGAAAAAGCTTGTGAAAAGAGAGTGATACCCTTTTAAGTATAATTTTAAAAAAATTATTTTAAGAAATTATTTTATTATGCAAATATATAAAAACAAGAATACATTGTCTCATTAAGGTTAGTTCTTAGGACTCATTGAAAAATTGCTTTGGTCTGTTATGATAGTGAATTACACCAAGTTCAAAGTTTACTTTGGAATGCAAAATGATTCAACTTTCTATCATTACACAAACAGCATTCAGTACCACAGCATATAAAAAAATAAGTCCCTCATACAAGATTAAGATACAGTAATACTTGTAAAATATTCAAAATAAACACTGCAACATTAAAAGCCCAATAATATCCCACTGTACATTTAAATAGAAGTCAACATGGCAGTTTTAAAAGTCCCAATTAGTCAAGCACAGTTAGTTTGACCAATGCTATAGAGTTAGTTTGACCAATGCTAGACAGTTAGTTTGATCAAGAGAAGAACAGCTCCTTAAGTTGTTTGACTGTGTCATCTGGATTAACCACTTTGTGACCTATAGTTCTGGGATCTTCATAAATCTCATGGTCATTTCCACCCTGGTTAAAAATAAAAATACTTGTATAAGAACTGGTCAGAAGGAATGTGAACAAAAAGGAAACTTTTCATATTAAATGTGAACTAAATGGATAAGTTTCATGATACATTTCTTTTAATAAACTAGAGATTCAGTGATCCTTTAAAGTAGACCTACAGTTAAAATCAGTACTGATGCTTACTTGTTCTATTTTATCACCAAAGAAGTGAATATTTTTAATATTATCTTTCTGTAAAAACTGTAGACAAAACCGCTTGTCCCAACCATCAGGAAACACATCTATACTAATTTGGCCACCAATGGCAAACACCAAACCAGCGTCAGGAAATGCGTTTCTTAAAGCGTCAACAAATTTCTCTCTCACTTTGTGTTCCTGTGAAAAGACGTTCCTTAATGTAAATAATAACTTACGCCATTATATTTAGATATAACATTGAGAGTTTAAAGACAGCTAAAACTTTTTCAGCTGGTTTTTAAAAAAAAAATCTAATAAAAAAATTTGATAGCATACAAAAATGGCATCAGAAATAGGAATTAACCAGGAACAATTTTCAACTATACAATTATTATTCAAGATGTATTACTAACACCTTTCAATATGGCAATACAATTTATGCCAAAAAGTGCTTAAAACTTGAACAGAAAACTGTGTACTGTTAGGTTTATTTAATTTACACTAACACAACTCATAAAAGTAACCTTTTTTAATTCACATGATGTAATTAAATAGTTCCTGTGAGATATGTTTCAATCAAAATTGTCAACTGACTGAAATTTAAAAAGTGTATGTATATACAGCTAATTACAAATACCATTATTACTTCTTCTTCTTCGTTCTTAATTTTTAGTGTTGGAAGGGATCAAGCCTTATCTGCCAGAAGGTTTGAAATCGAGACTTTTTTTCTTCTCGAAATTAACAACCATGAGCTTTTGTCGACTCGACCACGCTTCCATCACAATTAAGGATATGTGTCAACTTGTTATGCGCCATTGAGGCCATTGACTCCGATTTCAGCCTGCTTTTCTTTTTGGATTTGCTTCCATAGCCTTTGTCCAACCAAGAACAAACTACAAGGCAGCAGTTGTTTGATTTTGGAGTTGTCTCTCCTAGAAGAGTGGCTGTCCCCAGCTAACGAGCCTCATCTGCCCGAGGATTCAAACTCAAGACTTTTCGGTTTAGCAACCATGAGCTTTACTGACTCAACCACGTCGACCCCACCATTATTACAAGATAAAGCTATGTACCTCATCAAACTTGACAAACTCATCTCTCTCCTCTTGGCTACAACTACGACCAACTGGACACAAATTGATCATTGAACTCCTAAACTCAACAAATGTTCCTCTGAAGTTACAAAAATAAATGGATATACATTTTATAAACAACTTACTAATACATAACAAATATAAGTCAACATTTAACTCTATATAAATTTACACAAAAAGATACACTTTGAAGGTTTAAAAAAAAAATGAGCTCTTTCATATACTTGAATAATTAGAATATCTCTAATTTATGAATTTTTAGACAGCTCCTTGTTTTTCCCATACAGTAGAGTTCAAATATTATTATCAGTACAATATAAAGCAAAACATACCTTTTACAAGGTAGCACAAGCTCAGACATATACCTAAGTGCAAAGTTGATAAGTTTTTGTAGGATTTCATCACCAACATATTTCTTGAGATTCTGGGAAGGAATATGACTATGTTGATTATAAATTTATAAAAACTAGATTCACATATATGTTCTTGCATTGTTGGGTGATATACAATATTTTTAATTAAGATGAATATTATACCTGCTGACCTATCTGTGTGCTTCCTTTGTAAGCTACCAATCCATTTTCAGCAAATACATAGTCAAATCTGTTTAATACTGGATAAGAAAATTTAAATAACATTCACAAACATGAAGCTAAATTCACTTTGAAAAAATTTAATTGTAACATTTTTCTGTATAATGTGAGCAAATCACTACACCTTCATTTCTTATGTATCACTTACTATCTTCATGCCCGCCCATTTGTTCTGCTATCTTGACAAAGTCTGAGCCACCAACAAGCCCCACCAACACCTTTCCTCTTAGCTCTGTTAAAAAGTCCTCTACATGTGGCTTGATGCGCTGGTTAGGAATGTTAAACTTGTATTATTAATTGCTCCATCATTTTATTAAACAAATCAAACATGACAATTGACATTGACATATATATTCTCACATTAAAACAATGAGATTCAGCAGGACTACCAAAATTTTAAATCAGCCCATTTTTATAGACAGTGACATTAAATAATTTAAAAGATCTTGACTAGATCAATACTAATAGTACTATACTCTTTATTCTATCAGTATCAATCTGATTAGTAAACATATACACACACAAAAAAAGCTATAAAAATAAATTAAAATGACTTTAGTGAGAGAGTAAGAGTCAGCGAGTGTTAGTAACAAGAGTACTGCAAGGCTTTTCCCTTGTGGCTTTCAGTTTATTTTAGTACAACTATGTCAACTAGAGTAGAATCTACGTTGATGTTTACTGTTTATTAAGTTAATCCTTGTTTGGATATTTGTCCAAATATAATTTTTTTTGTTTCATGCTTTTGGTGTTTTGTTTTTTCACTAGATGTGCGAGAAGAAAAGTTATTAACTAAACAAGTAGATCTAGATATAGATCTATCTAGTATTGTATGTTGTAATTTTTTTTTTAATGTAGTTCAGATTTTTTTAAACATTAAAAAATTGTAACATTGATCACCCGCTCAAGTTTTCTTGTCAGTGGGAGAAAAATCTCATCTCAGTCAAGAGGTCACTATTTATTAGTACAAAATTGTATATTATTTTTTACTCTATTTTAAAAAATCTGTATCTAGATCTAGGCCTATATAAAAAATTGTTAACATTGTTGCACATTTCTCATGATACATTGTTAACGTAGGGCATACCTTACGAGACAAAAATGTCACGTGACCAGCAGTTTTCGCACCCTTCTCGAAATTACTGCCTCTCCATTTCGCATTTTACAAGATCAACTGCTTCAGAGACCTTGGCATATTAAGTTAATATTAAGGGATAGCATGGGCAGCACTATGCCCAGCCGCCTTGTTCACCTCACGTGAGTTAGGTACCCATATACAAGGATTACAAGCTGGGTGGACACAGGGAGGTTCCACTGATTTGAACCAGATTCAAACTCATGACTCTATCGAGTCTATAAGTCTATCTATACAGTACACTCTATTTATTAGTACTCTATTATACTCTATACTATACTATACCGCTATGCCAAGCCGAGTTTTACAATTTACTAACACCCCAAATATTTACAGTAGTGTATATTAGATTCTACAAGGTATAGATACAGATCTGGATTTGCCTGGATTTAAACATTGATTTCCCGATGAGCAAAAAAAGTGAAAACTGGCTTCTCGTCGTTCTACGTTCTTCAAGTCTCACTGCACAGGGGCACAGGGCGTAGCCGGTTGCCTGGCCTGATTGAGTGATACTTTAAGTAATTTTTATCAATTAACCCAATGTTTAATTATTAGGCCTAGCTAATCTTAATTATCTAGTTTTCTTTTCGTTTAATTCAACTAACCTGTCGAGAAGGTGTTAAAGTGCCGTCGACATCAAACAAACAAATTGTTGACGTGTCACGTAACGATGATGCCATCTTTTGAAATGTTTGTAAATGATGACTTGATGTGGTTTCTTTCACCGTGAGAGGTTCGATACATTCCCTTAGTATCCTAAAGTTGTAGCCCTTTCGGCATAGTTATTAGTATAATGTATAGCGACCGAGCTCTTATCAAAGATTATTATGAAAACTACTTAAAGACAATTACAAGGGTTCTAATCTTATTTATCCATCTTCGGCAATGTATAGAAATTTAGTCGGGGCAACTTAAGACATTTACCAGATGTGGTTTGTTTATATAAATTTAATAAAATTAGTTTAGGGCTTAGGGTTCATGCACACCACCTATTGACAGTTGACCAACCCAGTGGCGTAGTTACCCATTCCGGCGCTAACTAGATCTAGATCTAGGGGCAACTATCACCAAAGTTTTCTTCCATACTTTTTTTTTCTCCGGGGGGGGGGGGGAGGCACTTTAAAATTTCTGGGAGGCGGACTAAAATTTTCGGTGGGGGGGGGGGTGGCAGGGGGACTGTAAAAAGTATATATTTTCTATATAAATTCCATTTCGTTCGGGGGGGGGGGGGGGGGGGGAGGGGCTCTGCCCGGAAGAAACGCTGAGCACATATTCATTATATGGTAGCTCAACGTTTCCAGAAACCACCTTTCTTTATATCTCTGGATCCAGAGATTTTAGTCGTCGCCCCCCCCCCCCCCCCAAAGAAAAAAAAGTCTTGGGGGGGGGGGTAAACGTATTTTAGGGTTTTTTCAGGAAAAGATGCTTGGAAGCAACTCTGAATGTGTTGTAAGGGTGGGTCTCAATAATACTGGGTTGTTTTTGTTATACCAGGGGTGACACAATGTTTAGACTATGACAATAGCTTGAAGATAGGTGAAAGCTAAGAGGAAGGAGATAAAATAACTTTGACTAAATCAGTGTGAAGTGAGATTTCCAGTATTTGACAGTGGGGAAGATTGACAATATTTCATTGAATCGGAACATGGTTCAGTATTTGACTATTTTATTTTATTTAGTATTTTATATTTAGTATTTTATTCTCAAATATTTAAACAAGGGAATATTGCTGTAGTATTTGATTGTCCTGTATTTGCACTATGGGAATATAATCCAGTATTTGAGAAACACTGACTTCTTGTTTATTTAAGCTATTTTCAAATAAACACTATTGACCTCCTTTTAGGTGAAACTACATGAATGCTACATACTAGATTCATACTACTACTTAATGAATAAAAATAAAATAATTTATTTCATTGGATTGTGCATATAACTTGATTTTTATCTGATGATTGTATCATTTGTATGCTTACTTACTAATAAAAAAAATGCAGGTTGTATTCATAGCTGAACATCAAGCTACATACATACATGTTACATACATACTACATAGTTTACATAGGGACCCTGCCAGAGCTCTTCACTTTTCTTGGGTTTATTTTTTGTGTCCATGCCAGTCCAGCTGCCTAGGCATCACTGTCAACTGATTTTTACAAACCTTCTATAATATTAACACATTTCCACAGTGGTTGGGGCAAAATGTGTCACTGGCTGTTTCATGGCACCCTGTCTGGTTTTGTTGGTTTTATGCTGATACAGGTTATTCATTACAACAACAACAACATTTAGCTTGTTAATGCTAGTCTAATAAATTAGAAATAACAGATCTCACATTGATTTTAATAATGCTTCTGGCACTTCTCAAGTCCTTGACTTAAAAAGTAGATATTGCTGAAAATATTATTTTTATCAAAATGTTTTTAATGCAATTGAAGTTGTGCTTGTAACAGATATATATTATTTCTTTTATTTCTTTCATCACCCAGTTTATTTAAGACCTTTAGTTTTTAGAATGCATTGTAAGACCTACAACAACTTCATCACCACAATTTATTATTTTTAATTAGTAATAATTTATTATACAAAATGTAAGAACTTTACAAAATTAAAAGAATTCTGGTTTGAAAACAATTCTGGAAATATATTTATTAAAAGTATAAACAGAGTCAAATATAACTTTGTTTTTCTTCATACAATCATTTTTATTTTCTTTGTCAAAACATCAAATAGAGTTGCACTCATTATTATATATACCTTAGCTTTATCCTGATATATAAAACTATAAAACTCTCCTATTTCTTAATTTTTAAATAAAACTGCAGTGTGATCTATCCTTAAAAAGAATGTCATTCCCCAGAAAATACAAATATTATAAAAGCAGTTTTTAAAAATAAAAAACCCTCAGAATTCACTAAAACAAATTCTGTTTCAACCAATGGTATGTACCTTGTTGGCAGATGACTAAAATTGAGTACAGTCAATTGAATAAACAGACACAAACTTTGAAATAGGCTAAATACATTTGGTTTTTCATACCTATAATCAGTTTGTATACATTGTATACTTTTTCCATGTAACAATTTCTCAAGCATCATACATTCAGGTTCAGAAGTCTTAGTGTTGTATTCAATAAGTGTAACATTTTTCATTCTTGTTCTTAAAGTAATTTAGAACTTTACCATGTATTATTTTGGTACTTCAGTTTTTTTTACTAAAGGAGGCTGGAACAACCAGTTGCATGGAAAAAAATTATCTAGATAATTTGGCATCAGTTGTTAAATTCTATATGCTAGACAAACAAGTGTTTCATTACTGTGGGTGGGAATTTTGATACTGCAAGAGGTACACTGAAACAAATTCGCTTTTAAAGGTTGCTAAACATACATTTGAGCTCATAATGCTTTAGTAATTTTCTGTTTTATTCCTTTTCTGTCTCCTGAAAAATAACAAATACATTTTATCTTTTAAGTTAGAAGCTTAAAAAATATAATTTTAAAATAGAGTCATTTAAGACAAATATATTAATTAAATTAAGGTATTTATAATAAACCATTTTAGTGTTATAGAAATCAAAATCCTCAAACTGATTTATTGGTATGTTTGATGTCCATTATTATGTTTAAAAAATCAATTAAATTTTTTGACTCACTGCAGTGAAATTTAAGTTATTTTAAATTTGAATTTCAAAATGAATCATTACAAATTTTAAAAGCTAACAATGAGTGTGGTTGTACTCACTGGGTCACCATTTATTTTCTCGTCTCCTTCCTGAAAGAAGAATAAAAAATAATTATTAGTCAGGGAATTGACCTTATGTTTGTGTATTTTGTTGTTTTCCTCCATGAAATAAGCACATAATCTGAAACTTAATCTGACATTAAATCCTACAATAACACACACATTTTCCCTACTGATTTTATGAAAGTTAAAACAGGAATAAGGAATATATTATAAATGTTTTAAGATAATAAAAAAGCACAATCGTTTTACTAGCCAAAATGACAGTTTTAATATGGGCTATACATAGATATGTGCTTTCTGTAAAATTGTTTAAAATCTTATTTCAAATCATAACTATAAATAACTTGTTATATTTAAAAGAAATAATTTCTTTTAATAAAAAAGTAAAGTTTTCAAATTATTGAACCAATCAGGCAACAGCAAAAGCCAAACAAAATGAAACATGCCCAAATAGAAACAAAATTAGAAAATCCAGCAGGAACTTTAGAATCACCAATGGTATCACATGTTCTCAATATATTTTTAAAGGGACGTCATTAGGTATCTTTAGCTTCAGGCTTCTCTGCTGGTTCACTTTCAGTAACCTCCTCAGTTTTGCTCATTACATCATCTTCTTCCTCTGCTACTGTTTGTAAAACTTCTGGTTCCTCTACAGTCATTTCTTGAGTTTCAGACTCAATACTTTCTATATCAGCAGTGAGCTTACTTTGCTCATCAAGCCAGTCCTATACATTTTAATGCACAGATTCATTTATTCTTACAGAAATAATTGTGAAAGTTTTAAAATTTATCACAATTATAGAATTTAGCAATGTTTTAAAGTAATAGGAATACTACAGATCCACAGATTAAGCATTTTAAGGTTAAATCTTTTGTTCTTGGAAGAGTGGAAATGAACGAACCTTTTTCTCTACCTCACCAAAATCATGGTTAGGTATGGCCAGTTTCTTCTTTTCTGCATCAATGATGCTGAAAAACTCCTTCTCGGCCTTGATATAGAGATCCTCTTCGTTATAGTCTTCTGATTCCTCCTTGGGTTTTTCTCCTGCATCTTCCCCCTCAGGCTAAAGATAAATAAATAGAATAGAGATGAATCACAGGTTTTTGAAAGTTAGATTTAAATGTCAGTCTGAAGATAAATAAATAGAATAGAGATGAATCACAGGTTTTTAAAAGTTAGATTTAAATGTCAAACACAGAATTTAAAAAAAAAAATGTATTTTAAAAGTATACTTTAAAAGCAGCTTTATTAAACAAATATATTATGCTTAATACAGTTCAGATTATTTAAAATAAAAAGTAAAAGGAAGAAGTTAAAGTAAAACATTAAACAACTGTAAAATTGCCAGCATAAACATTAGCATGACAAAATAAGAATAGAAATATTGCAACAGGTTTTCTGAAATAAAAAAAAAAGCAACGATTTTTAAAACCTTGCCAGCCTCAGATACATGTTTCTTTTCGTCTTTCTTTTCTTCCTGTTAAAATTAACTTATGTCAAGTTTGTCTACATACAAGTTTATGAAAAGGAGGATATTTATAAACATCCAATGAATATATCCTTAATCCACATCAGAAGTTGATGCTTGATTTATTTTTGTAATAAGTGAATTTTAATATTAAAAAGTGGCATAAAAAAATTGCTCACTAACTAGTTTAATGTAAATGACAGAAAGAGTTTAATACCTTTCCATCTGCCTTTGTTTTTTCTTTCAATCTTATTTCTTTATGTCTTGTGTCTAAAATCTTTTCTCTTCTTGTCTCCCTTTCAAACATCTGCCAAAGTTAAATGACAAAAGTAACCAAAAGTGTATATAAAAGCAAATACAGTATTACATTTACAGTCCTTTCAGTTTTTTTTTATGTTTTGAAAATAATATAAAATTAATTTGTAATATATTAAAGGATTAGGTTTTTTTAAAAAAAGATTTAAGTTTTACATTTGTGACAAGATTTTTCTCATTCCTGCCCATTGTGTAAAGTCCTTCTGACAGCTCAAGTAAAGTTGTCGTACCATCCTGAGATCCTGTGGCTATTAATTTTCCAGACTCCTGCACTCTCAAACTGTACAGTGGCACATCACACACCTAAAGCAACATTTGTAATTACCTAATTAGGTCACACACCTAGAGCAACATTTGTAATTACCTAATTAGGTCACACACCTCAAGCAACATTTCTAATTACCTAATTAGGTCACACACCTGAAGCAACATTTAAAAATACCAATTTAGATTTTTGAAAAATCTTAACAACCTATAAAATACTTTAAACAAACTGTGCATCACTATTTGTGTTAATGTGAGTGTATATAGTTCCTCTATCATACCTGTAGACTTAGTGTAGGGTTATTCTGTTTGAAGATGATGTCCCAGACGTCCAGTGTTCCGTCCATCTTTGTGATGAAGAAAACTGCAGGTCTGATTGGGCTCCAGCAGCCATCTGTTAAATATGATGAATATTGCCTGCAAACATAGAAAATTTCCTATTTAAATCTGACTTACAACAAATCTATAGAAAGTCACATTGATAGTACAATTTGATAATAGCATGTCAAAATTTTAAAAGGGGATAATTAATAGTAATACATTTTCTTGATTACCAATCATTTTAAAATTTAAAACTTACTTAGACCACATGATAGATGATTCCCTAATGTCTTCTGACCAGATCTATCAGGTAAATAAACAGATTGTAAAAATATAACATGGAAATTAAAATGGAAAGAAGATATTTTTGCCTACAGTTACAACAGGAGGAGGAAGGGTGGGTATTAAAAATGTAGGGATCTCTAGTTCCCCACAAATGATATCATGCTCCTAGCTAAATGGAGTGGGTTAGACTTTTGAGATAATGTATGGTGTAAAAAAGTAGATTTTATATAAGTATTAGTCATTCATTTTTTTAAAAAGGCATTTTAAACTGAATTTTAGCAGTTCTCTTACATTTGGTAATGATTTTTTTATTACTGAAAATAGAAGTAATAAGTAATTTATGATAGATTAGAATTATTTAGCATTTTTGTGACGTGTGACATCATGTATGGAAGATTGCCTTGCACTGATTATCATTATCAACAACAACAAAAATGTTCTAATGTAATTATAAAACAAAGAAACCAACTTACTCTTGCACACCAATCACCCACACTGAGAAAATTTTTTGTGAATTGAGGGTTCCTCTGTAAAGCATACACAGGTCCTATGTGTCCAGTAAAGACGGCTGCTATTTTGTCCATGGGTGTTTTTGCTTTTCTGTTACATGATATGATGTTTCCTTGTTCAGTTCCTGCCATAAACTTTGTGGGCTACAAGTAGAAACAGTTTCAATGTTAGAGATCTATGGAAAATTACAACTCACAGCATGAAGCAGTTGGTTAACATAAAAAATTAGAATTATGAGAAAGATCCAGTCTTTATAATAATAATAATAAACATAAGTATTCAGAGAAATTACCATTGTTGGTTCATATTCTAAACAGTAAGCACCCTGAGCATTGTGAAATTCCTGTTTTTTGTCAAGATACATTTTGTCTGTTGGCTCCCCCATCTTCCTTATATCCCACCATAATACTTGTCCATCCGTGGAGGTTGAAAAACACTCTGTTCCAGTTTTTGACTGGATCCATACTGTTTTGTAAGCAGGGTCACGATGTGATTGTTCTATAGGGGTAAGTTCAACTGGCTGAGATCCCTTCCTGGTGTCCCAGTAGGCTGCAATCAATTAAATCATTACACATTTTTTTCCCCAATAAAAAGTAATTATTTTTGTTAAAATTCTATTAAAAAGTTACCACTTGCTTATATCATAACACAACAGTTACAGATGTGTCATTACACAACAGTTTCAACTGTTCCATAACACAGCAGTTGCAACTGTTTTATAACACAACTGTTACAGATGTGTCATTACACAACAGTTTCAACTGTTTCATAACACAACTGTTGCAACTGTTTTATAACACAACTGTTACAGATGTGTCCTTACACAACAGTTTCAACTGTTTCATGTTCTTACCAATCTGGCCATTGTAGCATCCCCCAAGAAGAATGTGTGAGTCTTTAGGATTGTATTCAAGGCATGTTAGTGGTGAGACTGGCTTGATTGTCATCTCTGGTTTGTTGGGATTTTCTAGAGGAAATCAACATTTCTGTAATTTTGATTCTTTTGAAAAGTGAATAGAAAAACAAATATCAGCCTAGTTGCTGAGGTACTTTAATCCTAAAATATTAAAGCACATTGTAAAATATAAATTTGACTTATTTGCAGTCTCCTTTTCAAAATTAAACAAAGAACAAGTTGTTACTGGAAATATATGGAAAAATGTGTCTTATTTAAAAGGCTTAACTATATTGCATCCTGTATTGAATAAGTAGCAAGAATTCTTTATTTTAACAAAAAAAAATAGTTTGAATAGGACCTACATACCAACGTCCCAAATATAGGAGTCCATACTTGTTTCTGGTGATGTACTCTGAAACACGAGGTTACAATACGCAACAGCAAGTTTTCTTGGTCCATCAGGGTACCATGAAATGTGTGTGGCAGTCCGCTTAATATCATTTGGATCTCTAGATTAGATAAAAAATATAACATTAAAATAATGATATTTAATCATATCAAGCAAAGAGAAAAATTAAAAATGCTCTCAGAATTCTTTTAAAATGCCTCCATCCAAATCCTACCTAAAAACATTTATTGTCTTAGCTGCTGCTGCCTCATCTATTGTTTCTGATTCTATGTTTTCAAAATATTCTTCATATATATCTATGGCATTGTTTTGTTTGATGCAATGTTCCATTGCCTGTAGAAAAAATAATCATGCAATAATTAAAGGATTACATGAATAGTTTTTAAGGCTAGTTTTTATTGATATGTTTTTCAGTACAGTGTAATGATTTTAAAGATGAGAAGATCACTTACATTTCCCAGATGTAGGACTGCACTAATGTAGCCTTCATCTTTTTCAACTTTCTTTCTGTAACGTGTCACCTGTTCCAGTTCATTAGGGTTGACATCCTTGGGCCAACCTCCTTCTGTGTGGTTTATACCTCTTATTGTGGTTTCAAAACGCTCTGTGTTGGCCTATACAGACAGTTATTTATGAAACAAAATTTATACATTATTATAGCTTGCATCAGGCCTTTTATTTTTTTTAAATTGTAAAAACAAATTTTAACTAATGACAACAGGCGTTCAACCATTTGTTAGGAAGATGGCAACTGTTCTACGCATAAGATAGCCCTTTATTTATTTAATATTATTTCCATTCTAGTTTGCTCAATGGTGAATAAGCTGGTGCTCTAACAAATGACACCTAGGGCAGAAATAAACATCAACATGACTCTCCCACTCCAAAAGATTATTTATAAATAACTTACATCATGCTCAGACATTTCCTGCACACATTGTATACCAATGTCAACTGGATCTCTCTCAATGAAATCTTCCAGTGCATTGTCATCTGGTGGAATGTCAACATGGAGTTCTGCTGCCCTATCTGAGAAGTTACACTGTCTACCAAAGTCTGATCTTTTCTTTGTATAAACATAGACGATTTCCATTTTTTATTTTATTTCTGTCCTACCACATTTAAAAAAAAATAGTTTGTCCTGTAAAACACAAAAAGAATATTATTTATTACGTGTTAAAGTAAAGTTAATTTTGTTTGCTCTCAAACTACCATTAATGGTTAATGTTTCTTTAAACTTTAATTTTCTTCTTGATGCTGAAATGTTCATCGTCAAATCTTCAGCACCATCAGCTGCGTAAACATTTGTTAAATGTGGTTTCTAAAACCAAATAGTTCATAAATTATTTTGTGCTACTCCATAAGTATTTAAGTTTAAATGGTTAAATAAAATGGGGTGTTAGTAGAAAAAAATGTCATTATAATTTCTTGTCCATTTATGATAAATTTAGCACTGTTGTTCATGGACTATTTAATTATTTATTGTAACATGACAGGTCACAGTTTCATCACACACAGTTAGGCCTACATATATTTTGTTTACACCAACATGTGTAGGCAAACTAACCATACAGATGTGTTTTGAATTATTGAATTATTAAGAAATAAAAAGTACTCATTGAATCAAAACCTGACAAATAGATCTAAGAGTTACCTTAGCTTGAACCCTAAATATTTTACTGATCTTAACCAAACCTAGGCATAACACTTTAACAATACTTTAGGCCCTGGTGAAAAGTGAAACTTCTAAAATTAAATCTAAAATATTTAGCAAAAGAAAGCCATAAGCTTCTACTCTAGTTGCATAAAGTAAAGATAGTTTCAATGTATTAGGCCATAGGACTATGCAAAATTAATATATTGCTAAGTTGAGGTCTGCTTTTATTTTAATTAGCAACATGTTACACCTGTAACTATAGTTAAGTTATAGAAACAAAAATTATTAAATTAAATAATTTTTAATTTTTACTAGATCTATTTTTTTCAGACGATAAAAAAATAAATAGGCTAATTGCATTGGAAATAATTTCATTTTATGACAATATATTAATAAATTAACATTTTTAAAAAATGCTGTTACTAATATTTATATCAATGAGCGATAAAAATATATTTTGTAAAGTTAGCACATATAATAAAATACCCAGTTTCCTTCATTACCTCTATCGTATTTGTATATAGCCACACTATGGCTTGTAGCGTTTCTCATAGCAACCACAATCTCGCGAGAGTTAAAATATTTCAGGGACAGCGTCTTTTGTTTCGCCTTTTTATTTATGTATTTATTATTACTATTAACTTGGTTTCTGTCTTTCTTAGTCTTATATACATTTCTTTTTAAAATATAGACTCTAATTAATATTGTCGTGGTAAATATTGCAATGTTTAAAATAAATTAAAAAAACATCCTTCATAATAAAGTGCTTATTGTGTTTTTCTATGAGAGAGTTTGAAAAATAAGTTTAATGGTTCGTTTTACATCCTTAATGCAGAAATATATTTTTTATTATACTATGTGTGACTGTGTGAAGTAAGTATAGATACATATTTTATTCTAAAACATACAAACTCGACTATACTAGGGTCCATACAATAATCAGTACCTCTTCCTCCTATGCAGAATATCTTTCAGAATATCTTTCAGACATCTCTTGGGTGGTAGAATGGGGAAGCACTTCCCTCTATATATATATATATATATATATATATATATATATATATATATATATATATATATATATATATCGATCAGTGGCGTAGCGAGGTCGGGTGTCACCCGGTGCGGCACTTTTTTGCCTTGGTATCACCCCCCTAAATGGTGTCACCCGGTGCGATCCGCCCCCCCCCCCCTCGCTACGCCTCTGATCTCGATGTTTTGTACATTACAGCTTGGAAAAACCCAAAGTATGTTTGTGTGTGTATGTTTTTGTACATGGTAACTTGAGACCAGTTGAGTTAAGGCTTTGGGAACACAGTTTCATATAGATCGACTTAGTATTAGATCCTTTACGTAGATTTTCTTAACATTTGAGCGATTTCCCTTTAACTACGGACACGGTATTTTTTTGAAAGTGTTTTTTAAAAACCAATAACTGTAGTACAACTACAGTTTCAGTTAGGTGGACGAAATTTCATATATGTGTTAGGGGGAGTTCGCCGATTGGGAGAGAGAGATGCATGATGGTATTATTCTCTCAAATCCGTGCACCTTCGTTGTGGTGACAAAGGGGTCTAATAGACCTGAGCAAAACTAATTAAACATCTAAACAACACCAATATTAAACTAAAACTGAAACTTAGTAACACACAGCTAATACATTTATTTATCTTCATTTGACGTCACAAAGGTTTATATGTTAAAAGCAAAAGAAACAATACAAATAAGACCTGGCCAGTCTTTCATATTCAAGAAAATATCACTTGAATTTCTAATACAAGAGGAAAAGACAAATAATTATCATTAAAAAAGTTTTAAAAAACCCACGTTTTCTGATTGAACTAAAAAGTAGAAAATAAATGCTATACATCACAATAATGCAAGCGATCACTCTACTATAAGCGATGAAAAACGTAGAAGTTAACCGGAAGTTTCTCCAAAACCTTCATAATTAGATAATTCTACTTCGTACACTCATAAACCAGTATATTGTAAATTTCTTCGCTCAAAGATTCTTCTTGAAAAATAGAGTAATCTTGTCACAAACTTACCTACTATTTATGTAGCCAGATTTCTATATATAGCCTACATGTATTGAGATTATTTTTTAATCAACGTCTGAATAAGTAAGAAATATATTAAATCATTGACTGTTGTTTTATCATTAAAGCTACATATTTGTCTAACGACTACTACCCAAAGAATAGAATATTTGAAAACAAAACAAAATAGACAATTCAAATATACTTTATTTATAACTGAAATTTCCTTTATAAAAAATTTCTCCATAAAAGATTAAAAGCTATCAGCGTTTCTAACAGCCACGGACATTGGCGGGAAAATCGCAGTTTTTGGTGTCCTTGTTGAACACAGTTCCCGCCCCGCATTGCATGATGAAGGTCTGACCGCCGGCACATTCGATGAAGCTGGCGCAGTTGCCGGGGTACTCGTGGATTCCGTCACTCAGATGCTGATCTTTGCAGATGGTATTAATATCTGCTCAAACAGAAACATTTCCAAGTTAGGCCTCACTTTAAAAACGTCTTATATTAAATTATAGGCAGACGGTATCAATATCTGCTCATTCTGAAACACATTTTCGAGTTAGGCCTCCCTTAAAAACATGTGTCTCATACATATTCTTATTGCCATATAGGCAGATTCTAAATTTTACAGGATTTTCAAAAACTTGTTGATTTTTACTTTCTCGTATATACGAAGTATAGAGAAAGTATTGTAATCGTGCACAAAAATCACTTGAAATTTTAACAATTTTCACCGTATTACACCTCAGTCCTTCATCACATCCGAAGTTAATATAGAGGACTTATTTTAATCGGGCAAAAATTATCAATCCAGATTTATCAAAATCAAGAGGTTTTATGCGTAATCCAGTCTGAAAAACTGGGCTTTGCAATTCTGTCCGTATGTCTGTGTGTGTGTCCGTGTGTAAACACGATAACTTGAGTACCGTTACAGCTAGGTTGATGAAATTTCATATATAAGTATTTTATCAAAATCGTAGATCCGTATCGACTTTTGAGCGATTTCCGATAACCGGAAGTGGCACTTTTTCTACTTTGAATTTTTCAAAAGCCTATAACTTGAGTACTATTTCAGATAGATAAATGAAATTTCACATGTAAGTATAAGATCTAATTCTCTACCTTCTGTTAAATTTTGAGTAATTTCCGTTGACCGGGAGTAGTAATTTACGCTACTTCCGATTTCTCAAAAAACTAATGTAAATTTTTAAAGTACTAATAATATTGCGCACTATTATGCACTTTTTTATTTGGCGTTCACTAGGTGTGCGATTCATTTTTGTCTACGAGATTTTATTCTATTTTTAAAACGTTAAGTATTTAAAATGGATTAGAAATCATGTCTAAAGCCCGAGTTCCCATCCCCTGTTGTTTTATATAAGAATATTCGAGAAAGTTTAGGGGAGATCACTCCCGGTTTATTTTTATGTGGGGGCATATAAACACATATATGCTATGTTGCTATGGTTTAAAAAAATTAGAGTTCACCACGCAAGTAACGACGTAATCAATATGTGCTTTAATCACGCAAACAACGGAAGCTGGATTTGCTGTATTTCTGATGTGTATGTTCCTGGGTTATGGCGTATGTCTTTGTCAAATATTTGTGTAATTTGAGATTGCCAATGTGGCAACACTGTAATTTGACTTACCTCCTCCTGAATGTACTGGCGCATCTGTGTGTGTTACAACTGGTGCGTGCGTCGTGACAACTCCGCCCACGGGCTGAGACGTGACGACCGGCGCTAGGGTGACGCTGAAAAGTAGATCATTGAAAAATTTGGAACAAAATGCATGTCAAATATGTGCTTTGAAAACAATGGATTATTTTCTAAGATATTGCTCAATCTGCTCATTCATAAGTTGGTCTTGTTCGGTAAAATGTGTGTTTTGATCGGTACGAAGTAATATGCTCGTGTTTAGCTCAGTGTAACACATGTGTAGTTTTGCTCAACATGACACATGTGTAGTTTTGCTCAGTGTGACACATGTGTAGTTTTGCTCAGTATGACATATGTGTAGTTGTAGTTTTGCTCAACATGACACATGTGTAGTTTTGCTCAGTATGACATATGTGTAGTTTTGCTCAGTGTGACACATGTGTAGTTTTGCTCAGTATGACATATGTGTAGTTTTGCTCAACATGACACATGTGTAGTTTTGCTCAACATGACACATGTGTAGTTTTGCTCAGTGTGACACATGTGTAGTTTTGCTCAACGTGACACATGTGTAGTTTTGCTCAGTATGACATAATGTGTAGTTATGCTCAACATGACACATGTGTAGTTTTGCTGAGTGTGACACATGTGTAGTTTTGCTCGACATGACACATGTGTATTTTTGCTCAGTATGACACATGTGTAGTTTTGCTCAGTGTGACACATGTGTAGTTTTGTTGTATGACACATGTGTAGTTTTGCTGAGTGTGACACATGTGTAGTTTCGCTTGCCGACCTGTTGCCAGTGGGTGCTGACCCACACTCGTCACTGATGGCGTGGGTCAGGGGGTAAGCCCCGAGCCCACACAGAGTTCCAGAGAAGTCGTCCAGATCCAGGGCCCAGATCATACTACCACCGTAGCCGTTGTCCTTGATGTACTTGACCTGGAGTACACAAGATAAGACAGAGATAGGAACGTTAACTGCCTACATACAAGATGCATACACATCCCGATCTGTAACGTGTTCACCACAGCTGCCAAAAAGAACCACCACCGACGTAACTATTGAAGTAACAACAGCGAGAAGAAAAACAAATTCTTATCAGTTTAGATTAGAGCACTTGGGCCTACTTGGCAACAAGGTTAAGCTAATTAAATTAAGCTTTAATTTAAATAGAGGCAAAATCTAAATCTGAACGTACACAATTATTTAATGGTTTTTACAACAGCCTGCTAACTATTGAAAATTCTGAGCTATTTCATATCCGGCTGTTTTAAACGGATCAATTTAAGCAATAGGAAAATATAGTTAGGTTCTTAAATACAAAATAGTTTTGAACATCGTGTTACCTTGTTTCTCAAACTCTCCGGATCATCATATCCTACCCAGAGGTTACCCTGGACAAGGTATGGGACTTGCTGTTCTGGGATACGGTACACCGTTGCACCACTTTTGATCAGTTCACAAACCTAAAAATTAATTTATTTAAAAAAAAACGAAGCATTATTTTATTGAAAATGTTTGCGCATTAGTTACTTAGTAAAACTGTATATTGCATAACTTAAAGCGTTAGCTAAAATGAGTTTTGTTCTAGTCAATAATTCCCGCCAAATGAGTTTTGTTCTAGTCAATAATTCCCGCCAAAATGACCTCGTAGTATGCCATAAATCCGGCCTCACGGGTCAGTCTTCCGGCTGGACCGGGTCCAGTAGTAGGGTCGCCAACATTGTGTCTGTTGGGGTCAGACAAAGTGAAGGTTCTGCCGTAGGTTCCCAAACCAATGTTCAGTTTTTCTTTTGGAGCCCCTTTAGACACCCAGTACTTGGCAGCGAAATCCTGAGAAAGTTTTAACACTGAATAATTAATTTAAACACATGAATTAAAGTAATTAATCATGCAAACATTTTTTTTTTTTACTGCGAAAACATTTCTTAACGGAACAATGCCTAGGAAATCTTAGTAAACACATTACTTAGCGTCGCTGTTTTATTATCATTGTTTAAATTAAAAATTCCAGTTTGTTATGATTAAACTTTACACATTTTTCACATACAAATCAATTTTAAGCCGCGTTTACGCTTCCGACATGACAGTATAATATACTTGTCTAGGGGGGAAATTTGAAGCTAGTTCATTATTATATATGAAAACATATTCCCCATGGAATATGTATACTATACTTACTTGTTGCGTCCCCCCCCCCCACTGGACATGTATAATATACATGTCGTAAGTGTGAACGCAGTGTTAGTCATATATAAGATACAAAATACAATACTTTATTTCAAAATTATAAAATATAAGAGGAACGGCCCTTAAAAAAATTAATACTTACAAAAGGATATTTTTCAATGATATTCTTAGTTAATATAATTTCATCGTATTGAAATATAGAAGAAAGAAATAAAGAAAGATAAAGATGATGAAAATGATGAGCTTACAATGTAATAGTTTGCATTGGCCCCTGAGTCAGAAGGATGGCCGTAGAGTGGACTGTTGTGTCCAGTGAACGGGTCCCAGCTGCCGTGGAAGTCGTAGGACATGAGGTTGATGAAGTCCAGTTTGCTGATTGGTGGAGAGATACATGGTCTTGTTACGATTGGGTAAGTTCACGGGGAAATGGTTTAAACATTGCATATCTGATAGATATAGCATGTAGTTGGTGGATGACAGAAAACTAATATGAGCCGTTATATTTTCGACAGAGAGTAGTGAAACACTGAGTAGGAGCAGTAACGAAATGCTATTGTTACAATTCTCGCAAGAAAGTTACTTCTCCCACGCATCTTTCCTGGCTATGGCACTGACCTTGTAGACCTTACCTGGTTATGGCACTGATATTACCTGGCTATGACACTGATATTACCTGGCTATGACACTGATATTACCTGGCTATGGCACTGATATTACCTGGCTATGACACTGATATTACCTGGTTATGGCACTGATATTACCTGGCTATGACACTGATATTACCTGGCTATGACACTGATATTACCTGGTTATGGCACTGATATTACCTGGCTATGACACTGATATTACCTGGCTATGACACTGATATTACCTGGCTATGGCACTGATATTACCTGGCTATGACACTGATATTACCTGGCTATGGCACTGACGTCACTTACCTGGCTATGACACTGATATTACCTGGCTATGGCACTGATATTACCTGGCTATGACACTGACGTCACTTACCTGGCTATGACACTGATATTACCTGGCTATGACACTGATATTACCTGGCTATGACACTGATATTACCTGGCTATGACACTGATATTACCTGGCTATGGCACTGATATTACCTGGCTATGACACTGACGTCACTTACCTGGCTATGACACTGATATTACCTGGCTATGACACTGACGTCACTTACCTGGCTATGACACTGATATTACCTGGCTATGACACTGATATTACCTGGCTATGACACTGACATCACTTACCTGGCTATGGCACTGATCTCATAGGCCGCATCAATGTTGTCTTTACCAGCAGCAACAGCAGCAGACAGCAAGAGCCTGGGTTTTCCACTGGATCCATGCTCTTGGTCAAAGGCTGCGGACAGTTCCTGGGGAAGTTGACATTAGTTCATGTGTGAACAGTTTGTAAGTTGACATTAGTTCATGTGTCAACAATTTGTAAGTTGACATTAGTTCATGTGTCAACAGTTTGTAAGTTGACATTAGTTCATGTGTCAACAGTTTGTAAGTTGATATTAGTTCATGTGTGAACAGTTTGTAAGTTGACATTAGTTCATGTGTGAACAGTTTGTAAGTTGACATTAGTTCATGTGTCAACAGTTTGTAAGTTGATATTAGTTCATGTGTGAACAGTTTGTAAGTTGTCATTAGTTCATGTGTGAACAGTTTGTAAGTTGTCATTAGTTCATGTGTGAACAGTTTGTAACGTTCCAGGGAAAGTTGACCAGTTTACACTTTGCCCAAAAATGTGAGAAATACAAAAAAATGAAACTATCAGAGAAATCTTACCCCATCACCCCTCACCTAAACAATTTAAAATAGCCGTTTTCACATCTTCTTGCTAACTAAAAGCTTTTCTCGGGGTAACTGAGATAAGTTAAATTTAACTAGACCCTAACCTCAACCAACTGGGTAGACTAAACCCTCACCTCAACCAACTGGGTAAGCTAAACCCTCACCTCAACCAACTGGGTAAACTAGACCATAACCTCAACCAACTGGGTAAACTAAACCCTAACCTCAACCAAAATTAAACCCTAACCTCAACCAACTGGGTAAACCTGTGCTTGTCTTCGGGTCCACTTCCTCTCAACGCTGGGTACTCCCAGTCAAGATCAAGGCCATCGAAGTTGTGGTCCCTCAGGAATTTGATGGAGGTTTGAATAAAATGTTGTCGTGTGCCCGAGTCAGCCACAACTTGAGAGAATGGAGCCGAGCCCAGGTTGTAGCCCCCCACAGCTAGGAGGGTCTTCATTTGCGGGTTTACTTGTTTTAGGTCATTGAACTTGGAGTAGCTGGAAAAGTTTATTTACAGAACATTCAATGTTGGAGGGGGGGGGGGGGGGTCATCTATTTACAACGTCCACGCGGAGGGAGCGGGTGGGAGGGGTAAGGGGTAAGAAAAGTCTACTTTTGCGGTCGCGTTTGGGGGGGGGGTGGTTGGTCATGTCCAACTGTTGAATTTAATATCGAAGCACTAACATAAACAAATAACAACATAAAACTCATATCCTGCATGTAAATAATAAAATGAGGACAACAGTACTTTAAAAACAAATTTCCAGCTCAACGTGTAAACAAAGCAAAGGTATTTATACACACTCGGGTCATCCATATCATAAGTGACGTCATGTTTTTAAACTTATTTTACATCTTCCCCGCTCACCAAAGTAACTAGCGTCGCAAAAAGCCAGGACCCAACACCTTAAAACGACGTCACACCTCAGCCTGCCACCCCTCTCATACTATTTTGTTTTTGTTTTCTGTTAAATTTCCGGTCCCAGATAAAGCCTTTAAAGGTAACTTTCCATATGATCGTTTCCGGTTTGATTTTCGTTCCGAGTAAATATCCCGTTCCGGGTCCAATGTTTATTTTTAGGTTTGGAAACAGGTTTAGATTTTGGTTTTGGTTTTTAGAAAACGATCAGTTTTAGCGCCCGTGGTATTTCCCCCTCAACGGGCTATATGTCTAGTAAATAATATATTTATACTTAGATGTTTAAAACATACTAATTTTTCTCTCTAAGCTCTAAATTTTCCGTTACTATATACAGGTCATAAATAAAATACCAATAATATTGTATTTGTGTATCAGTTAAAAGGTAGACTGGTAGTAAGTTTTGAAAAAATGACTAAAATTTTATAGACGTCTACATGTCGGGGGGGGGGGGGGGGGGGGGGAGTTCGTCGAAAGTGATCACACATGTATGTCGCAAATGGTTGACTTCTTTGTTAAAAACTGAAAAATAGTTTAGGTCTTAAAGAGTGTGCTGTTAAGTTGCTGGAAAATGATATTTGTTTTAATGAACGCTGACCGTAACCCAAACATTAATGAGAACGTCAGGACCATAATTGCTATAATAGTTTTTATCCTAAACAAACTGGATTATTACATTTAATCGAATTGCTTTATCGTTACCTACCCTAACAGAACATTTTTTCTCCATTAGGATAGTGTGGTCAGCACTATGCCCAGCAACCTTTGATTTCCCTACCATTAGTCTAGCCATATGCGTTGGCTGGACGCAGGGACGTACAATGAACTCGAGCCCGGAAATCATGCCGGCCCCATTAACTGATACCCAATATATATATATATATATATATATATATATATATATATATATATATATATATATATATATATATATATATATATATATATATATATATATATATATATATATATATATATATATGTATATATGTATATATGTATATAAATATACACGTATAAATAACTCACAGTCCTTTAGCCCAGTCGGTGTCCTCATCGTTCCACTCAAAGGCCGCTAACTCGTTGTTACTTAGCTTGGCGAAGGCGTAGATGATGTGGGTGCAGAGATGGGGGTCGATGTTACCTGGCATGAATTTACCTGGTTCCTGTCGGTACTGGGACCAGTTTGTGTGGTAGCAGACACGCCTCTGGCACGCTGCCCCTGCACAATAAATACAACATTTAATGTCGACATTTCTTAGTTACAAACTAATAAAATTTATTTTTATTTTTTCAAAAAGTTTGATGATTCAATAAAAATTGAAAAAAGATCGTCCCAGAAATTATTAACGAGACTCAAATATTTTTTTGTTGAAAATATATAAATAATAAAATAATTTGACCATAGCACAGATGTGAATGACAATACACAATCATGACCTGAATTTGGCCTAATGCTTAGACAATATATTAGACTTAATGTCATAGCACGCGATGGACACGATGCGAATATTTTTTCATAATTTTAGCCTTATGTCATGATTTACACCTGTACATGACCGTTTATTTAATTGGTAGAAAGTGAAATCTCAAACTTAAATGACTGAATAAAAATACACAAATCGTTTGTTTAATTTGTAGAAAGTAAAACCTCAAAAACCTACCGAAAGCACCTTGGCTTAGTGCACATAACAGCACTAGAGAGAATATATGCCACATCTGAAATTGCACGATGTCAATAATTACAATAATTGTTGTACGATGTCAATAATTACAGTAATTGTTGTACGATGTCAATAATTACAGTAATTGTTGTACGATATTAATAATTACATTAATAATAGTATGTTAATTGTTTTACAGCAATACTATAATTATAGTAATTGTTTTAATTTTCTGTCATGAAAATACAAAATCGCATTCGAAATCACGTCCAACAATATCTGTCTGGCTGTTGTGATTATTCAGAGGATTAACCATTTATCAACAAGGAAATAAAAATCCATAAACATGACAGTTTATATTGGGTAGACCAACACACGTAAACACGCACTTAAGTCAGTAAATTACTTTACAGCAGGTTCGCCTACCTTCGTACGATCAGCAGTAATGAAGTTATTAAATCCAGGAAACTTTATTTATGCATTTGGCTGTTGGAAAAAAAAACTGGCTACCGCAAGCTTTTGTTATCTGGGAGATAAAATGTAGCACCACATGGTCGTTACCACGTAGGTTGTAGTTGGTTAAATGTAGTAGGTTAAAATGTAGTTGGTTAAATGTAGTAGGTTAAATGTAGTAGGTCAATGTGGTTGGTTAAATGTAGTTGGTTAAATGTAGATAGTTAAATGTAGTTGGTTAAATATAGTTAGTTAAATGTAGTTGGTTAAATGTAGTGTAGGTTCATTATAGTTGGTTAAATGTAGTTGGTTAAATGTAGTTGGTTAAATGTAGTTGGTTAAATGTAGTTGGTTAAATGTAGTGTAGGTTCATTATAGTTGGTTAAATGTAATTGGTTAAATGTAGATAGTTAAATGTAGTTGGTTAAATATAGTTGGTTAAATGTAGTTGATTAAATGTAGTGTAGGTTCATTATAGTTGGTTAAATGTAATTGGTACAGTTGTCGTTGGTTAAATATAGTAGGCACGCGTTAAATGTAATTGGTTAAACATAGTAGGCACACAGTTAAATGTAATTGGTTAAACATAGTAGGCACACAGTTAAATGTAATTGGTTAAACATAGTAGGCATACGTTAAATGTAATTGGTTAAACATAGTAGGCACACGTTAAATGTACGTCTTGTTAGAAAGTTGAACAAGGAACATCATTTGACCTTGATTCCTCTTGACGCGAGTTGGTATCCAACATTTCAGTTTGATTGTTTTATGGTGGTGTTTTTTTTTTTACTTGGGCGTCCTACCAAGAAGTGAAATAAAATTTGTGTCCACAGCTTCAGTTTAATGAATTTATTGTAGTGTTAGTTTACATCAGTGTTGTAAACTTTATGTTTAAACATTTGGGTTTAAGAGAATTTCTCCATTGATTCATCATGCTACCCGAAACAGGTGAACTCTGATTCATGTGTTCAATGGACCACACGGTCCAAAAGGATAAGATGTTATACATTATGACGTCCAAAAAATATCGATTCTCCAAAAAAATTACCCCTATTCAACTTAGAAAACGACTATAATACCCCATGTTATCCATAGGTTATTACACTCACTAAATGAACGTGGGCGCTCACGGAAATGCCCAGGGTGCCAAACAACACCCTGTCGGCGCGCATGAGAACCCCTGGATTCGATTTAGCCTATATTAACCTTTCTTATCCAGTCTATCGGCAGGGTGCGATTTGGCGCCCCGGGTATATTGTGAGCACTATGCGTTTATGTTTGCATTTAAGTTTGTGTTTATATTCTTGTTTAATTTTGCATTATTTTGAGTTATTATTTGCGTTCCGGTTCGCGTTTCTGTTTGCGTTTGTGTTTCTATTTGTGTTTATGTTTGCATTTGTATTTACGTTTTTTGTGTTTGCGTTACGTTTGCGTTTGCTTTTGAGTTTGTGTTTTGGTTTTGGTTGGTTGTGGTTAGGGTTAAGTTTATAGTTAGAGTTAGGTTTAGGGTTATGTATTATTTTGTCAAATGTCCATATTTGCATATAGTCATTTAATTGGAAAAGTAAAATATTTCCTAAACCTGTGAAAATACAGATAGGTTTTTCGCAGAGGCCAGAGTAGGACCTGGCCGTGACGGCTAGTGTATATTATAACCTCGATTAATAAGGTATTTAATATAGATTATGTTTGTATACCTTGGAAATGCAAATTTTGTAAACAGCGAATATTGGCATGCTGTGATCTATTATTAATCACACTCAAGTTAGAACCTAGATTGTGTTGAGAAAAAAATGTTTTAAATATATTTTTTTGTGTTCGTTTGATTTTTTATACCATTTAGAAATGCATAAATAGTAATAGACATTTATTAATTTTACAGTTAGAAAAGCTTTAAAAGTATTGATTTTGTGTCAGGTAAAACACTTTACTTACCGCAAAGGTGACGCTAGTCATTTTATCATATAAATATATGTGAATATAATAGCACCCCCCCCCCCATCTTGATGCTATTTTTATCAACATAAACACTGCATTTTATATGAATACATTATAGATATATATTAAGTTTACATGATTTGGTACTGCATTTACATGAAAGTTACAAGGTTTTGTGTTATATTATAATAACTATATATACAGGTTCAATTTTTTTGTACTAGATTTACACGCTGATGAAATGATTTGGTGGTAAATTGAAAGTGTTCACGTCCACGAAGACCCACGCCAGCCCATCCAATTATTTTTTTGTCCTCGCCCAGTGGATTGTCGTTGACTTCATAAGGAGAACCTCCCACAGTTTAGAACTTTAAGACCTGGTGCCAGTGACTTCATAAGGAGAACCTCCCACAGTTTAGAACTTTAAGACCTGGTGCCAGTGACTTCATAAGGAGAACCTCCCACAGTTTAGAACTTTAAGACCTGGTGCCAGTGACTTCATAAGGAGAACCTCCCACAGTTTAGAACTTTAAGACCTGGTGCCAGTGGCTTCATAAGGAGAACCTCCCACAGTTTAGAACTTTAAGACCTGGTGCCAGTGACTTCATAAGGAGAACCTCCCACAGTTTAGAACTTTAAGACCTGGTGCCAGGGAATTCATAAGGAGAACCTCCCACAGTTTAGAACTTTAAGACCTGGTGCCAGTGACTTCATAAGGAGAACATCCCACAGTTTAGAACTTTAAGACCTGGTGCCAGTGACTTCATAAGGAGAACCTGCCACAGTTTAGAACTTTAAGACCTGGTACCAGTGGCTTCATAAGGAGAACCTCCCACAGTTTAGAACTTTAAGACCTGGTACCAGTGGCTTCATAAGGAGAACCTCCCACAGTTTAGAACTTTAAGACCTGGTACCAGTGACTTCATAAGGAGAACCTCCCACAGTTTAGAACTTTAAGACCTGGTGCCAGTGACTTCATAAGGAGAACCTCCCATAGTTTAGAACTTTAAGACCTGGTGCCAGTGACTTCATAAGGAGAACCTCCCACAGTTTAGAACTTTAAGACCTGGTGCCAGTGACTTCATAAGGAGAACCCCCCCACCCTCCCACAGTTTAGAACTTTAAGACCTGGTGCCAGTGTTTTTAAAAGGAGAACCTCCCACAGTTTAGAACTTTAAGACCTGGTACCAGTGACTTCATAAGGAGAACCTCCCACAGTTTAGAACTTTAAGACCTGGTGCCAGTGACTTCATAAGGAGAACCTCCCACAGTTTAGAACTTTAAGACCTGGTGCCAGTGACTTCATAAGGAGAACCTCCCACAGTTTAGAACTTTAAGACCTGGTGCCAGTGACTTCATAAGGAGAACCTCCCACAGTTTAGAACTTTAAGACCTGGTGCCAGTGGCTTCATAAGGAGAACCTCCCACAGTTTAGAACTTTAAGACCTGGTGCCAGTGACTTCATAAGGAGAACCTCCCACAGTTTAGAACTTTAAGACCTGGTGCCAGGGAATTCATAAGGAGAACCTCCCACAGTTTAGAACTTTAAGACCTGGTGCCAGTGACTTCATAAGGAGAACATCCCACAGTTTAGAACTTTAAGACCTGGTGCCAGTGACTTCATAAGGAGAACCTGCCACAGTTTAGAACTTTAAGACCTGGTACCAGTGGCTTCATAAGGAGAACCTCCCACAGTTTAGAACTTTAAGACCTGGTACCAGTGGCTTCATAAGGAGAACCTCCCACAGTTTAGAACTTTAAGACCTGGTACCAGTGACTTCATAAGGAGAACCTCCCACAGTTTAGAACTTTAAGACCTGGTGCCAGTGACTTCATAAGGAGAACCTCCCATAGTTTAGAACTTTAAGACCTGGTGCCAGTGACTTCATAAGGAGAACCTCCCACAGTTTAGAACTTTAAGACCTGGTGCCAGTGACTTCATAAGGAGAACCCCCCCACCCTCCCACAGTTTAGAACTTTAAGACCTGGTGCCAGTGTTTTTAAAAGGAGAACCTCCCACAGTTTAGAACTTTAAGACCTGGTACCAGTGACTTCATAAGGAGAACCTCCCACAGTTTAGAACTTTAAGACCTGGTGCCAGTGACTTCATAAGGAGAACCTCCCACAGTTTAGAACTTTAAGACCTGGTGCCAGTGACTTCATAAGGAGAACCTCCCACAGTTTAGAACTTTAAGACCTGGTGCCAGGGAATTCATAAGGAGAACCTCCCACAGTTTAGAACTTTAAGACCTGGTGCCAGTGACTTCATAAGGAGAACATCCCACAGTTTAGAACTTTAAGACCTGGTGCCAGTGACTTCATAAGGAGAACCTGCCACAGTTTAGAACTTTAAGACCTGGTACCAGTGGCTTCATAAGGAGAACCTCCCACAGTTTAGAACTTTAAGACCTGGTACCAGTGGCTTCATAAGGAGAACCTCCCACAGTTTAGAACTTTAAGACCTGGTACCAGTGACTTCATAAGGAGAACCTCCCACAGTTTAGAACTTTAAGACCTGGTGCCAGTGACTTCATAAGGAGAACCTCCCACAGTTTAGAACTTTAAGACCTGGTGCCAGTGACTTCATAAGGAGAACCTCCCACAGTTTAGAACTTTAAGACCTGGTGCCAGGGAATTCATAAGGAGAACCTCCCACAGTTTAGAACTTTAAGACCTGGTGCCAGTGACTTCATAAGGAGAACATCCCACAGTTTAGAACTTTAAGACCTGGTGCCAGTGACTTCATAAGGAGAACCTGCCACAGTTTAGAACTTTAAGACCTGGTACCAGTGGCTTCATAAGGAGAACCTCCCACAGTTTAGAACTTTAAGACCTGGTACCAGTGGCTTCATAAGGAGAACCTCCCACAGTTTAGAACTTTAAGACCTGGTACCAGTGACTTCATAAGGAGAACCTCCCACAGTTTAGAACTTTAAGACCTGGTGCCAGTGACTTCATAAGGAGAACCTCCCACAGTTTAGAACTTTAAGACCTGGTGCCAGTGACTTCATAAGGAGAACCTCCCACAGTTTAGAACTTTAAGACCTGGTGCCAGTGACTTCATAAGGAGAACCTCCCACAGTTTAGAACTTTAAGACCTGGTGCCAGTGACGTAATTACGAGAACCTCCCACAGTTTAGAACTTTAAGACCTGGTGCCAGGGACTGATAAGAAGCAGGTTTTAATTGTATCGAGACAGAACTAGTTCTATATATTGTCATTCATTAGGTGCTAAGGACAATCACATTGTCATGTGTGTGTCGTGTAGGTTTAACACGGGCACCATGCACTTTAACGAGAGTTTGTGTGAGAGAGTGTGTGTGAGTGAGTGAGTGTGTGAGTGTTTGTGTGTCGTGTAGGGTTAACACGGGCACCATGCACTTTAACGAAAGTGTGTGTGTGTCATTAGATTTACTATTACAAATGAGTTATGTGTTATATAACACATAGGACGAAGAACCTATAAAAAAACAAAAAATAAATACCCTAAGGTACTCCTAAATTGGACAATTTCAGGTCACGTTATGCTGAACCCCTCCTGGACTAAATGCTACCTACGCCAATGTATATGGGGACAGCGGAGTTGGGTATATCACTAAACCAAACAAGTAAACAATGGGTTTTGTCTGTCTATCTGTCTGTCTGTCTGTCTGTCTGTCTGTCTGTCTGTCTGTCTGTCTGTCTGTCTGTCTATCTATCTGTCTGTCTGTCTGTCTGTCTGTCTGTCTGTCTGTCTGTCTGTCTATCTGTCTGTCTGTCTGTCTGTCTGTCAAATGTCAACGTCCCCATCAAACCATAGGATTAAACTCAAGGCACCTTAGTGTCACCATCAAAACGTTATTGTGGTTCAATATTTCTGTCCAAATTTCACTAATGAGTTTCAACGTCAAAATTTGTATCAACGTTAAGACAATACTAATTTGAGTCCACGTAAATCTTTACAAATTTTTGCCCACGTCAAATCTTTACTAATATGTAACTTCCTCAATTAAAATAAAAGTACTTATTTAATATTTTTGTCGAGAACCTTGGCGATATAAAATAATAGCCACAAAAGAAAAATAATGAACTTAAATAACAAGATATAACCCCAGTTTCAAATAACTGCTATTTTATTAAAGTAAAGACCTTTGTGGAGACCATAAACAGAGGCACTAGCAACCAGGGACTAAGTCTCTGTTCTGGCATGCTTTAATTTTTCCATCAAAGGCGGTGCCGGCTAGGCAGTACTTGAAGAGGTCACTTTAAGACAGTAAACAATGATATTAGTGCCACATAGAAGTGTTAACGTTCAATGATAAAAGATATTATCTTAAGAAATCGTTGCTTTAAATTTGGATTTTAATTTTATTTTGTAGACACTTTAAAGTATCAGAACTAAAAAGGAATGTATATTTGGTTAACATGTTGTTTTGTTGTGAAGTTTGTGTACACATACCAAACTGGCGTTGTGACACTGTAAATGGTTTAGTGAATTTTAGCAGTTTGAGCAATGCAATCAGGCAACCAGGAATCTGTCTTGACTTACCATTGTCTCTCAGCACTGAGGATCGTATACGTGGTGCAGCTACCCTTTGTCTTTGTATGACGGAACGAAAGAGTCCACGTGGAGATTGCGACAGCAACACTCTGAAAGGTAGGCAGGTTACGTGGTTAAGGACCACATTTGTTAATACATATGGTGATACTTAAAAAGCGATAATTGTGTGTGTTGTATCTAATTAGAATAAATCATTGACTTGTGTTTTGTGGGTAAGTTGCACTCGTCAGTGATGGCACTGAGCAGCGGGTAGGGTCCAAGTCCACACACGCGACCGGTGAAGTCGTCGTTGTCCAGGGTCCAGACCATGGTGCCCCCGTAGCCGTTGGTTGTTATGTACTGCACCTGGTGGCGAACAAAGGATGGAGGAATGTTAACATGGGTGTCTGTAGGTTAGAATGGTGTACAGAATTACAAACATGTGGCAATAAAACGTAGGAGTCTCATTACACATGCACTCACACATACACACACACTTATATCTTATACATAAAATTGAATTCTGTATTTTTGTGGCGGACAGCGAACCCTTGATTACAATAAAAAGTAATATAAAATAGACCTCCTCACTATAGGGTTAGGGTGATATATCTAAAGTGCTCATCAACTAAATTAATGATATAAAAATTAATACTAAAGGTGTTATAAAACAAATTTCATTTTCCAAACTTAAAGTGTTAATTTAAGACATATGCTTTAAACAAAACGAGCCGACCCGCGGCGTATCATACGCCGCTATTTAGTTGTTTTATTTTCTACTTTTCAGTAAATCATAATTTGTGAATTTGACAGTACTAACGCTGCCACTGAAAATATTTGTTTTAACAGTAGCTGGTTAAGGACGATAACCCCCCCCCCCCTCCTCCCCCCAACCCCTACCCCCACCCCCCCCCACCCCCCCCCCCCGTGAAAGTAAACTCCTCTTAGTTACCTCCCCTAAGTTTAAAATCGTTTCAAACTAAATTATCTGCCCCTAATTGCCGTCACTAAACCCGGCTCTACGATTGTAAACATTTAGCGTGAACCACAGCTCACCAGACCATGTAGGGGTGGGGGTGGTAGGGAGTGCGCTTACAGCTTGGTGTTTTCTATCGTCTCCAAGAAGATAATTATATATATATATATAGAAATTCTAATTGTATCTGAAAATGATTTACTTTTAGGCCTTTAGCAATCAATACCCCCATTATTATTTAGGAAAATACAATTACTTCCCTTAATTAATGGATTGATTTTTTCAAAAACTATTTATTACTTTGCTTTAGTGTTGGGAAATACATAATTACATAATTAGCGTGGATTGATCAAATGGAATGTGGTAAGTAAAACACAGATATTTTAAATACTGCCATTTATTTATTTTATACACTGAACGTATTAATTACTAATTAATTTTAATCAATAACAGTTTAGAAGCCAGCCCCTGATGTCCTCTATGTTTACTTCTATTTTTCCGTTTGCGGATAAGCTTGGGGTATCATTGTCGTTCACTAAATTAAATCAGGCGCTGGGCTTATCCTGTAAATGCTATGGTGCATAATTTCGTTTTAATCAAAGCGATAGACTATAGACTATGGATAAGAAAGGTTACTGAATCGAATTTGGGCGTCCTCCGGAGCCCCGATAGAGTGCTTTTGGCACCCGTGCCTTCCAGTGTTAGCTATGGCGCCTAAATTCGTTTAAGTGAGTGCAAAAGACTAAAACTAAGTTGGGGTAATAAAGTAATTCACTAAGTTGAATTAGGCGGTTTAGCCAGCGCCCCAGTACCGACCCATCCATCCACCCATCCATCCACTCATCCATCAATCCATCAATCCATCAATCCATCAATATATCAATCCATCAATCCATCAATCCATCAATCCAACCATCCATCCATCCATCCGTTTATCCATCCATCCATCCATCCATCCATCCATCCATCCATCCATCCATCCATCCATCCATCCATCCATCCATCCATCCATCCATCCATCCATCCATCCATCCATCCATCCATCCATCCATCCATCCATCCATCCATCCATCCATCCATCCATCCATCCATCCATCCATCCATCCATCCATCCATCCATCCATCCATCCATCCATCCATCCATCCATCCATCCATCCATCCATCCATCCATCCATCCATCCATCCATCCATCCATCCATCCATCCATCCATCCATCCATCCATCCATCCATCCATCCATCCATCCATCCATCCGTCCATCCATCCGTCCATCCATCCATCCATCCGTCCATCCATCCATCCATCATTTAACAATCGCATATATTGTCACCTTAGTTCTCAAACTTTCCGCATCCTCGTACCCTACCCAGACGTTTCCCTTAACAAGGTATGGGACTTTCTGTTCTGGAATACGGTGGACCGTAGCACCACTTTTGATCATTTCACAAACCTGGAGATTTAAAGAATGAGCACTAAATAGCTTTACTTAAAACAATTTTTAATATAGATTATTAACATATGATTATTAGAATAATTATATACTATTTAAAATTTATGCAAAGCCATTACATTAATTCTAGCTTATATTTATCATAATGACAAGGCTTTGTCTAAAACTTAAAAAAAAACCAGTGAAATTATTTCTAAACTTGAGAATGGGTAAGTTTGAATGTTTTGCTTTAATAACATGACACACAACAAATAAATGCTATTAAAATCAATATTTATCTGAAAGTGTGATATATGAAAATTTACTTCATAATAGGCCAAAAATCCCGGCTCCCTGGTAAATGTCCCGCTGGGCCCGGGGCCTACAGTCTTCGCCCCCACATTGCTGACGCCAGAGTTAGCTAGGCTGAAACTTCTGCCGTAGGTTGCAAGACCAATGTTTAATTTTTCTTTTGGAGCGCCCTTCGAAACCCAGTATTTTGCAGCAAAATCCTACGGACGTTTCAATTTATTTAAAATTAAAAGATATTACATACATACAAATCAATTTGATTTGACAATGTAACCCAATTATTCAAGAAAATACGAAAGAAATCGATTCGTTTATTAGGCCTAAATGTATCGTTTCATCTAACCGTAGCCCTGTTATAACTTGACAAATACGTTTGCGTGAACATGGATATACTGTAATGTAGAAAACTAGTCGTTAGAGAGATAGGTTTTAAAAGTTTTGTTTTAAATTTCAAACCAAATAATAAATAAAATAAAACACATATAAAGTGGAAGCGTGATCGCATACCATGTGATAGTTTTTGTTTAACCCAGTGTCTGTTGGGTGGCCGTAGAGTGGACTGTTGTGTCCAGTGAACGGGTCCCAGCTGCCGTGGAAGTCGTAGGACATGATGCTGATGAAGTCCAGTTTGCTGATTGGTGGATACAAGGTCACGTGACCGCAACGAATTGTAATTAATGTTGTACGTTTTAATCGGCATCCACGAATTACAATAGACAAGAAGCATGCAGGGGATTTACAAGAGTGATAAGACAAACACAATTATCAATTACTGAAGGAAACTTTAGCTAGTACTAATTGATAATATCGGCAATAAAATCAATTTCAAAGGCTCTACCTGGCAATATCACTGGTCAGCCTTACCTGGCTATGGCACTGAGCACACTTACCTGGCTATGGCACTGAGCACACTTACCTGGCTATGGCACTGACATCATAGGCCGCATCAATGCTCTCTTTACCAGCAGCAACAGCAGCAGACAACAAAAGCCTGGGTTTTCCACTGGTTTTCTCCTCTTGTTCATAGGCCGTTCTAAGTTCCTGGGAATGGTTCAAATAGGAAGCCATCGCTAAAACGCGCTTGAATTTACGTATTTATTGTATGATTCAACTATACAACTGTAAGACATACACACATCGTCAAGATTCGCTTGACATAATTTTCACACTTACACAATACACATATTTGTCTTCGCTTTTAATAAAGTCTAATTCAACTAAATTTACAAGGTTTTATTTAATGTGCGTCCTCTGTCTGTCGACAGTCTGTCTGTCTGTCTAGATCGAAACGCCCGAGCTAAAATTCGGACACTAAAGACAGATACCGTTCAAAGTTTGCACGTGGGTCAAGACAAGAAGACAATGTAATCTGTTATATAGTGTAGTGTTATATAAGAATATTCGAGAAAGTTTTGGGGAGATCACTCCCTGTTTATTTTATTAAACTCTAATTCTACTAAACTTAAAGACAACTGTGAATTACTAGGTAAATTAAACCCTAACCTGAACCAACTGGGTAAACTAAACCCTAACCTCAACCAACTGCGTAAACTAAACCCTAACCTCAACCAACTGGGTAAATTAAACACTAACCTCAACCAACTGGGTAAACTTAACCCTAACCTCGACTAACAAGGTAAACTAAACCCTAACCTAAACCAAAACTAAACCCTAACCTCAACCAACTGGGTAAACTAAACCCTAACCTCAACCAATTGGGTAAACTAAGCCCTAACCTCAACCAACTGGGTAAACTAAACCCTAACCTCAACCAACTGGGTAAACTAAACCCTAACCTCAACCAACTGGGTAAACTAAACCCTAACCTCAACCAACTAGGTAAACTAAACCCTAACCTCAACCAAAACTAAACCCTAACCTCAACCAACTGGGTAAACTAAACCCTAACCTCAACCAAAACTAAACCCTAACCTCAACCAAAACTAAACCCTAACATCAACCAAAGCTAAACCCTAACCTCAACCAACTGGGTAAACTAGACCCTAACCTCAACCAACTGGGTAAACTAAACCCTAACCTCAACCAACTGGGTAAACTAAACCCTAACCTCAACCAACTGGGTAAACTAAACCCTAACCTCAACCAACTGGGTAAACTAAACCCTAACTTCAACCAACTGGGTAAACTAAACCCTAACCTTAACCAACTGGGTAAACTAAACCCTAACCTCAACCAACTAGGTAAACTAAACCCTAACCTCAACCAAAACTAAACCCTAACCTCAACCAACTGGGTAAACTAAACCCTAACCTCAACCAAAACTAAACCCTAACCTCAACCAAAACTAAACCCTAACATCAACCAAAGCTAAACCCTAACCTCAACCAACTGGGTAAACTAGACCCTAACCTCAACCAACTGGGTAAACTAAACCCTAACCTCAACCAACTGGGTAAACTAAACCCTAACCTCAACCAACTGGGTAAACTAAACTATAACCTCAACTAACTGGGTAAACTAAACCCTAACCTCAACCAACTGGGTAAACTAAACCCTAACCTCAACCAACTGGGTAAACTAAACCCTAACCTCAACCAACTGGGTAAACTAAACCCTAACCTCAACCAACTGGGTAAACTAAACTATAACCTCATCCAACTGGGTAAACTAAACTATAACCTCAACCATTTGGGTAAACTAAACCCTAACCTCAACCAAACTGGGTAAACTAAACCCTAACCTCAACCAACTGGGTAAACTAAACCCTAACCTCAACCAAAACTAAACCCTAACCTCAACCAAAACTAAACCCTAACATCAACCAAAGCTAAACCCTAACCTCAACCAACTGGGTAAACTAGACCCTAACCTCAACCAACTGGGTAAACTAAACCCTAACCTCAAACAACTGGGTAAACTAAACCCTAACCTCAACCAACTGGGCAAACTAAACTATAACCTCAACTAACTGGGTAAACTAAACCCTAACCTCAACCAACTGGATAAACTAAACCCTAACCTCAACCAACTGGGTAAACTAAACCCTAACCTCAACCAACTGGGTAAACTAAACCCTAACCTCAACCAACTGGGTAAACTAAACTATAACCTCATCCAACTGGGTAAACTAAACTATAACCTCAACCAATTGGGTAAACTAAACCCTAACCTCAACCAAACTGGGTAAACTAAACCCTAACCTCAACCAACTGGGTAAACTAAACCCTAACCTCAACCAAACTGGGTAAACTAAACCCTAACCTCAACCAACTGGGTAAACTAAACCCTAACCTCAACCAACTGGGTAAACTAAACCCTAACCTCAACCAAAACTAAACCCTAACCTCAACCAAAACTAAACCCTTACCTCAACCAACTGGGTAAACTAAACCCTAACATCGACTAACTGGGTAAACTAAACCCTAACCTCAACCAAAACTAAACCCTTACCTCAACCAAAGCTAAACCCTAACCTCAACCAAACTGGGTAAACTAAACCCTAACCTCAACCAACTGGGTAAACTAAACCCTAACCTCAACCAAACCTATACCCTAACCTCAACCAAAGCTAAACCCTAACCGCAACCAACTGGGTAAACTAAACCCTAACCTCAACCAACTGGGTAAACTAAACCCTAACCTCAACCAACTGGGTAAACTAAACCCTAACCTCAACCAACTGGGTAAACTAAACCCTAACCTCAACCAACTGGGTAAACTTTTGCTTGTCTTCCGGGGGGCTGCCTCTCATTGCTGGGTACTCCCAGTCAAGGTCAAGGCCATCGAAGTTGTGTTTCCTCAGGAAACTAATAGAACTTTGAATAAACTTTTTTCGTTTGTCTTTGGTAGCCACCATCTTGGTGAACAGTTCAGATCCCATGTTGTAGCCCCCGACAGCCAGAAGAGTTTTCAATCCCTTGTGTTTGCGCTTATGGTTATTGAACAAGGAGAACCTAAAACAAATCACGTTGAACAAATATTTTCATAGCACCCAGAATGAGCGTTTTCCTGTTCTATGACAAAATTGTGTTATAGGCTAAGCAAAATATGAATTAGGGAACTTATTGATGGAGTTTGTTTTTATTTCGTTCGATGTTTTTAAACTCGGATTTCTCACATGTTGTAGATCTAGTGAATTTTTACTCGGACCATAGAAGTTTGTAACAAAAATTCTTGCTTTTCGAGAAAACAGAGACGAAAAGTTATTAGAATTAGAATATAACTACTACTTATGATCACTGAAAATCACTCAAAATTTGACAGAAACCAGTGAGTTAGAACGTATCTTAATTGAAATAGTACTTAATATATCGGTATTCTAGAAAACGGAAATAGAGTAACTTACCTCTTCCGGATATCGGATGTCACTCAAAAAATAAAAGTTATCGAAAGTATAAGACCTTATTCTTAAAAATAAAATTGTTTCTACCGAAGTGAAACAGAACTCAAGTTATTGTGTTCTCATAGAAATAGAGTAAGTTACCATTTCCGGTAACCGGAAAAAGTTGATAGAAAGCTGCGAATACAAAGTTATAGATATTTGTAAACTTTCGCAAGTTATCGACTACCATAGGTAAAGTACCACTTCCCGTTATCAGAAATCTACAAAAATAGAAACATGACAATATTAACTAATATCTCAACATCTCGCTTAATTTGTGTACCCTTGATTCAACGGTACCATTAAAAAACCCTTAAATCCACCTTCGTAGCTAAATTATATGATTAGCCGATTGTTTTTTATATGTTTGTGTGTAGGCCTATATCTTAAATACGAACTTAGCGTAATAGTTTAGGATAGTTTTGTCTATATAAATATATATATATATATATATATATATATATATATATATATATATATATATATATATATATATATATATATATATATATATATCTTACATTCCCAGGGTCCCCCATTCAGAGTCCTCATCGTTCCACTCAAAGGCCGCTAACTCGCCGTTAGCTAACTTGGCGAAGGCGAAGATGAGGTGAGTACAGAAGGCGGCGTTGATGTTGTCTGGGACGAACTTGCCAGGCTGAGGTCGGTACTGGGCCCAGTTCGTGTAGTAGCAGACACGCCTCTCGCATGATGACCCTGCAGGTAGAATAAAACTTTGTCAACCTTTGATTTCTTTGAAATGTGGCATTGCGTTAAAAACACAGAAGTCACAGGTTCTATTTTAAAGAAGGGTCTCATGGCCCAATTATCTGATTTATTGCAGTGCATTGTATTTCACTCGAAACGTTCTTAGCCCAAAAAAGCATTTTATTGGTAAGAAATGTGATTTTATTTCTGTCCTGAATCGAATATTTTAAAAAAAATGAGAATACAAGTAGGTCAAGTCTGGTAAAAAAATCCCGGTAGGGATATGTCATGCATTTGGGATTTGGAATAGAGATGCGGATATGTCTATATGAGACCTGAAGTGGGTGCTGCTTTTTTTTTTAATTGAAATAATTTTTGCAGATTTTCTTAGGCTTTCGTTAGATATGTTGACCTAAAATTCCATACCTGTGTGTATTGACATTTCTCTAAGTCTAATTTGAGTAATCTACTATTACGTCGTGTTGCCAAAAATTAAACTTCCAAATCCTACCATGTATAAAGAGGCGTATATTTATGTAAATTAACTAACAATGAAACATTCACAAACCTACACATCCAGCCAAGGCAAACAGCACCACTAAAGTGAATAGATACCACATCTGGAATAAGTAATAAAACAGATAGTGTTAGTGTTTTATTACTTATTGTATTAACCTCACTGCAGCTACCATTTTTAATTATCACATCTGGAATAGCAGTTTATCATTAGTAACACATTAGTGTGTATGTGTGTGTGTTTTTTTTTCAGTTTAAAGCCACCAAAATAACTCATGGTTTTATTAAGGTTATTCACAGTGAACAAAAATATCTAACCGGACGCGAATATACAAGTCTAACACTATCCCCAAGCGAATCTTTAAGTCTAACATTATCCCCAAGTGAATCTACAAGTCTAACACTATCCCCAAGCGAATCTACAAGTCTAACACTATCCCCAAGCGAATCTTTAAGTCTAGCACTATCCCCAAGCGAATCTTTAAGTCTAACATTATCCCCAAGTGAATCTACAAGTCTAACACTATCCCCAAGCGAATCTACAAGTCTAACACTATCACCAAGCGAATCTAGAAGTCTAACACTATCCCCAAGCGAATCTACAAGTCTAACACTATCCCTAAGCGAATCTTTAAATCTAACACTATCTCCAAAGAAACTTCAAGTCTAACACTATCCCCAAGCGAATCTTTAAGTCTAACACTATCCCCAAGCGAATCTACAAGTCTAACAATATCCCCAAGCGAATCTACAAGTCTAACACTATCACCAAGCGAATCTAGAAGTCTAACACTATCCCCAAGCGAATCTACAAGTCTAACACTATCCCTAAGCGAATCTTTAAATTTAACACTATCTCCAAAGAAACTTCAAGTCTAACAATATCCCCAAGCGAATCTACAAGTCTAGACTATCCCCAAGCGAATCTTTAAGTCTAGCACTATCCCCAAGTGAATCTTTAAGTCTAGCGCTATCCCCAAGCGAATCTTTAAGTCTAGCACTATCCCCAAGCGAATCTACAAGTCTAGACTATCACCAAGTGAATCTACAAGTCTAGCACTATCCTCAAGCGAATCTTTAAGTCTAGCACTATCCCCAAACGAATCTTTAAGTCTAACACTATCCCCAAGCGAATCTTTAAGTCTAACACTATCACCAAACGAAACTATTAATCTTGCTCTTTCCCCAAGCATGTCATATTACGTCATGAACGTTTACGACAACAAAAATTACCTCACCCGACCTGAGTTGCTTTACCGACTCATCTGTTTAAAATCTTGAGATCAGTTGTAGGCCAACACAACTGAACCAATTTCTCCCCGCAGCCGTGAATCTCCAGTCACAATGTAATTATCATAAATCTTAAACTCTTTAGATATTCAATTAGATGTAAAGAAGTAATCTAAAGATAACAAAACACAGAGGGAATCTTTTACTTAGAGGTTCAAACTAGACAAACGTGGAGATAATTTTGGGAGAGAAATGGTCAGAAATAAGGGGAAAGTAATACCCATGTTGAGTTATTTAACTTTTTAAATGTACATAATTGTAAAGATAATTAGCATTTTAAGTTTAAAAGTATAATACTATTGAAACATTACTTTAAAGTGTTGTTATGCGTGTCGTGTATAGAAAAGACGATTATTTGATCTAAGTAGTTACTAACCATGGACAACCCTCACACTATCTCAAATGACAGTCCTTATGATTGCTTAAAGAACAGACCTCAGAATCCCTCACTAACTGCCTCCACAATCTTTCAGCCACACCCCCAGTTAATTCTCAGTGGCATTCCCTCACAACCTTTAGTGACAGCCCCCAGAATCCCCTAGTGAAAGTTCCCCTGAATCCCCCCCTGTGATAGTCCCCCAGAATCCACTAGTGAAAGCCCCCGCCCAAGAATCCCCCAGTGACAGCCCCCAGAATCCTCCAGTGACAGCCCCCAGAATCCTCCAGTGACAGCCCCCATAATCCCCCAGTGACAGCCCCCCCCCCCAGAATCCCCCAGTGACAGCCCCCATAATCCCCCAGTGACAGCCCCCAGAATCCTCCAGTGACAGCCCCCATAATCCCCCAGTGACAGCCCCCATAATCCCCCAGTGACAGCCCCCAGAATCCTCCAGTGACAGCCCCCATAATCCCCCAGTGACAGCCCCCCCCCAGAATCCCCCAGTGACAGCCCCCATAATCCCCCAGTGACAGCCCCCATAATCCCCCAGTGACAGCCCCCATAATCCCCCAGTGACAGCCCCCATAATCCCCCAGTGACAGCCCCCATAATCCCCCAGTGACAGCCCCCAGAATCCCCCAGTGACAGCCCCCAGAATCCTCCAGTGACAGCCCCCATAATCCCCCAGTGACAGCCCCCCCCCCCCAGAATCCCCCAGTGACAGCCCCCATAATCCCCCAGTGACAGCCCCCATAATCCCCCAGTGACAGCCCCCAGAATCCCCCAGTGACAGCCCCCATAATCCCCCAGTGACAGCCCCCCCCCAGAATCCTCCAGTGACAGCCCCCATAATCCCCCAGTGACAGCCCCCAGAATCCTCCAGTGACAGCCCCCAGAATCCCCAAGTGACAGCCCCCAGAATCCCCCAGTGACAGCCCCCAGAATCCTCCAGTGACAGCCCCCATAATCCCCCAGTGACAGCCCCCCCCCAGAATCCTCCAGTGACAGCCCCCATAATCCCCCAGTGACAGCCCCCAGAATCCTCCAGTGACAGCCCCCAGAATCCCCAAGTGACAGCCCCCAGAATCCCCCAGTGACAGCCCCCAGAATCCTCCAGTGACAGCCCCCAGAATCCCCCAGTGACAGCCCCCATAATCCCCCAGTGACAGCCCCCATAATCCCCCAGTGACAGCCCCCAGAATCCTCCAGTGACAGCCCCCATAATCCCCCAGTGACAGCCCCCCCCCCCAGAATCCCCCAGTGACAGCCCCCATAATCCCCCAGTGACAGCCCCCATAATCCCCCAGTGACAGCCCCCAGAATCCTCCAGTGACAGCCCCCATAATCCCCCAGTGACAGCCCCCCCCCCCCAGAATCCCCCAGTGACAGCCCCCATAATCCCCCAGTGACAGCCCCCCCCCAGAATCCCCCAGTGACAGCCCCCATAATCCCCCAGTGACAGCCCCCATAATCCCCCAGTGACAGCCCCCATAATCCCCCAGTGACAGCCCCCAGAATCCTCCAGTGACAGCCCCCATAATCCCCCAGTGACAGCCCCCCCCCCCCAGAATCCTCCAGTGACAGCCCCCATAATCCCCCAGTGACAGCCCCCAGAATCCTCCAGTGACAGCCCCCATAATCCCCCAGTGACAGCCCCCATAATCCCCAAGTGACAGCCCCCATAATCCCCCAGTGACAGCCCCCAGAATCCCCCAGTGACAGCCCCCATAATCCCCCAGTGACAGCCCCCAGAATCCCCAAGTGACAGCCCCCATAATCCCCCAGTGACAGCCCCCATAATCCCCCAGTGACAGCCCCCAGAATCCCCCAGTGACAGCCCCCAGAATCCCCCAGTGACAGCCCCCAGAATCCCCAAGTGACAGCCCCCATAATCCCCCAGTGACAGCCCCCAGAATCCCCCAGTGACAGCCCCCAGAATCCCCAAGTGACAGCCCCCATAATCCCCCAGTGACAGCCCCCAGAATCCCCCAGTGACAGCCCCCATAATCCCCCAGTGACAGCCCCCAGAATCCCCCAGTGACAGCCCCCATAATCCCCCAGTGACAGCCCCCAGAATCCCCCAGTGACAGCCCCCATAATCCCCCAGTGACAGCCCCCATAATCCCCCAGTGACAGCCCCCAGAATCCCCAAGTGACAGCCCCCAGAATCCCCCAGTGACAGCCCCCATAATCCCCCAGTGACAGCCCCCATAATCCCCCAGTGACAGCCCCCAGAATCCCCAAGTGACAGCCCCCAGAATCCCCCAGTGACAGCCCCCATAATCCCCCAGTGACAGCCCCCATAATCCCCCAGTGACAGCCCCCATAATCCCCCAGTGACAGCCCCCATAATCCCCCAGTGACAGCCCCCAGAATCCTCCAGTGACAGCCCCCAGAATCCCCCAGTGACAGCCCCCAGAATCCCCCAGTGACAGCCCCCAGAATCCCCCAGTGACAGCCCCCAGAATCCTCCAATGACAGCCCCCATAATCCTCCAATGACAGCCCCCAGAATCCTCCAATGACAGCCCCCAGAATCCTCCAATGACAGCCCCCAGAATCCCCCAGTGACAGCCCCCAGAGTCCCCCTTTACAGCCCGAAGAATATCTCCCCCAGTGTAAATTGCCTGTTCATTGATCACTGTTATTTAATTGCACTGACTCAATCAATAGTGATAAAAAAACAGCTGTGATGAAAAATTAAAGCTCTTTGTGTTGGGGTTTACTGAAGTCAGAGATTAAGAGAGTTCAAACTGTGTTACGAAGGGCAAGGGAGGTGGATTAAGCTGACATCTTTTGAGACTATATATATATATATATATATATATATATATATATATATATATATATATATATATATATATATATATATATATATATGCAAATATTTACATTATATATTTAATACTTTTAATAAAATTTAAGAAGCGACCCACCCTTTTCTTTATAGTTATTTAAACAGTGTGTATATATTTAAAGAAAATCATTTATTTTCCCCTCTTTAGTGCATTATTACATAAAAACTTGTTACTAATACAAGACTTCCTACTAATTTCAGAAATTTGTAATTAATTAGTAAAATATTAATTAGTCAAATGTAATGTCATATTGCTTTTTTTTTAAAGTCTTGACCCACGTGCCAACTTTGAAACGAATCTGTCAGTTAGAAGTGCCTGAAATTTCGCTCGCCCGTTTCGATCCATGACGACAGACGACATAGGAAGCAAGTTGAATAAAAGTTTGTAAAAATACAAATACAGACAATTACGCTTTAAAAGTGAAATTTACTATGATTTGTATGATGACATTTTGGGGGCCTCCTGCAGCCCTCTCAGCCTCCCCCCCCCCTTAATCCGCTACTGGGGGGGGGGCGTGACTTTTATGAAAGAAGCGTGACATCGGTTACCCATAAATAGTATTTTATTCTGGGTTTAAAGTTGTGAAGGATATGGACAGTCTATTTTAGTAGGACATTAACAGTCTACTGTGGTAGGACATGGACAGTCTACTGTAGTAGGACATGAACACTCTAGTGTAGTAGGACATGGACAGTCTACTGTGGTAGGACATGGACAGTCTACTGTGGTAGGACATGGACAGTCTACTGTAGTAGGACATGAACAGTTTACTGTGGTAGGACATGGACAGTCTACTGTAGTAGGACATGAACACTCTAGTGTAGTAGGACATGGACAGTCTACTGTGGTAGGACATGGACAGTCTACTGTGGTAGGACATGGACAGTCTACTGTAGTAGGACATGAACAGTTTACTGTGGTAGGACATGAACAGTTTACTGTGGTAGGACATGGACAGTCTACTGTAGTAGGACATGGACAGTCTACTGTGGTAGGACATGGACAGTTTACTGTGGTAGGACATGGACAGTCTACTGTGGTAGGACATGAACAGTCTACTGTGGTAGGACATGGAGAGTCTACTATGGTAGGACATGGACATTCTACTGTGGTAGGACATGGACAGTCTACTGTGGTAGGACATGAACAGTCTACTGTGGTAGGACATGGACAGTCTACTGTGGTAGGACATGAACAGTCTACTGTGGTAGGACATGGACAGTCTACTGTAGTAGGACATGGACATTCTACTGTGGTAGGACATGGACAGTCTACTCTGGTCGGACATGGACAGTCTACAGTGGTAGGACATGGACAGTCTACTGTAGTAGGGCATGGACAGTCTATTGTGGTAGGACATGGACAGTCTACTGTGGTAGGACATTAACAGTCTACTGTAGTAGGACATGGACAGTCTACTGTAGTAGGACATGGACAGTCTACTGTGGTAGGACATGGACAGTCTACTCTGGTCGGACATGGACAGTCTACAGTGGTAGGACATGGACAGTCTACTGTAATAGGGCATGGACAGTCTATTGTGGTAGGACATGGACAGTCTACTGTGGTAGGACATTAACAGTCTACTGTAGTAGGACATGGACAGTCTACTGTAGTAGGACATGGACAGTCTACTGTGGTAGGACATGGACAGTCTACTGTAGTAGGACATGGACAGTCTACTGTAGTAGGACATGGACAGTCTACTGTGGTAGGACATGGACAGTCTACTGTGGTAGGACATGGACATTCTACTGTGGTAGGACATGGACAGTCTACTCTGGTCGGACATGGACAGTCTACAGTGGTAGGACATGGACAGTCTACTGTAGTAGGGCATGGACAGTCTATTGTGGTAGGACATGGACAGTCTACTGTGGTAGGACATTAACAGTCTACTGTAGTAGGACATGGACAGTCTACTGTAGTAGGACATGGACAGTCTACTGTAGTAGGACATGGACAGTCTACTGTAGTAGGACATGGACAGTCTACTGTAGTAGGACATGGACAGTCTACTGTGGTAGGACATGGACAGTCTACTGTGGTAGGACATAGACAGTCTAGGCATGTTTAGCCTACTGTTTGTATGCCATGGTTATCATAGCTTGCGTCAGAGCTAATCTAATTGTGTGTGCTGTAATTGATTTCGACCAACTAGGATTACTGATCAATAAATCTTAGACAAGTTCAGGCTCATTTACATTTCTCCTAACAGCGTCTCCATCTCCATTTCAAATTCTCTTTACAGCCTCCCAACGTATACTACATGACATCTTACCATGACTTTACTACATGGCATCTTACCATGACTTTACTACATGACATCCTGACATCACTTTACTACATTACATCTTGCAATGACTTTACTACATGAAATCTTGCCATGACTTTACTACATGACATCCATGGCTGTTATAAAAATAATAACCGAGAAGAGAGGAAGATGTATTAAAATAAACCGGGAGTGATCTCCCCTAAACTTTCTCGAAAATTCTTATATAAAATAACAGGGGATGGGAACTCGGGCTATAGACATGATTTTTAATCCATTTTAAATACTTAAAGTTTTAAAAATAGAATAAAATCTCGCAGACAAATTAATTGCACACCAAGTGAACGCCAAATAAAAAAGCGCATAATGGTGCGCAATATTATTATTACTTTTAAAATTTACATTCGTTTTTTGAGAAATCGGAAGTAGCGTAAAGTACTACTTCCAGTCAACGGAAATGACTCAAAATTTAATAGAAGGTAGAGAATTAGATCTTTTACTTACATATGAAATTTCATTTATCTATCTGAAATAGTACTCAAGTTATAGGCTTTTGAAAAATTCAAAGTAGGAAAAGTACCACTTCCGGTTATCGGAAATCGCTCAAAAGTTGATACAGATCTACGATTTTGATTAAATACTTATATATGAAATTTCATCAACCTAGCTGTAACGGTACTCAAGTTATCGTGTTTACACACGGACAGACAGACAGACACACAGACAGACACACAGACAGACACACAGACATACGGACAAGATTGCAAAATTATGTTTTTCCGTATCAGTGAGGTGTGAAACGTCGAGATTTGTAAAAATCTCGATTTTTTTTTTTTTTGCACGATTACAAGACTTTCTCTATACTTCGTAGGCTATATACGAGAAAGTAAAAAAACACGTATCTTAAACTAGCATGTTTTTTTTATTGAAATAAAAACCTTGGTAGACTTCAGCTCCTGATCCTAAAAAACATAGGCGCTAGCACCCAGGGACTAAGTCTCTGTACTGGCAGACCCTCCTGATACCAAAAACAGAGGCACTAGCACCCAGGGACTAGGTATCTGTGCTGGCAGACCTTGATTCGTACATCAAAGGCGGTGCCGGCTGGGCAGGGCATGATGTAGGTTTGGTCGGCAAAACATTGCACATAGCTGTAGCAGCTAGTGGGGTTGGCGTACAGATCGTCAGGGAGACTTTTGTCACGACACATGCTGGTCACTGTAAGACAGGAGACACATATCTGTGACATGTAGGCTACGTTACTGTAAGACATGAAACAAATATCTGTGACATGTAGGCTACAAGAGGTCGCTGTAAGACATGAAACAAATATCTGTGACATATAGGCTTACGTCACTGTAAGACAGGAGACACATATCTGTGACATGTAGGCTACAAGAAAGGGTTCAATGATAAAGGAGGTTGTCTTAAGGAATCGGTGTGTTAAAAAATGTGGATTTATTTTTTTGGAATGTCTCTCGACGTGGCAATCAGGCAACATTGGAATGTGTCTCTACTCACCATTTTCTTGAACCACAGGAGCTTGTGTCTGTACAACATTTGGCGATTGTGTTTGCACGACATTTGGTGATTGTGTCTGCACGACATTTGGTGATTGTGTCTGGGCGACATTTGGTGATTGTGTCTGGGCGACATTTGGTGATTGTGTCTGTGGCTCAACAGGCTGAGGTGTGCTGGTAACGCTGAAAGGAACGTAGTTCAGAGTTTAGAAACATTTAGATCTAGGCCTATGTCGATAGCTTGATGCTTAAAAAACAATGCGATGATGTAAGTCAGTCGGTCTAGTATCAAACAATAAATGCTGCCAATAATTCTGTAGAGGATATAAGTCAGTGTCTAGTATCAAACAATAAATGCTGCCAATAATTCTGTAGATGATGTAAGTCAGACGGTCTAGTATCAAACAATAAATGCTGCCTATATATTTATGTAGATGATGTAAGTATATATTTCTGTAGATGATGTAAGTAAGTCGGTCTAGTATCAAACAATAAATGCTGCCAATATTTCTGTAGATGATGTAAGTCAGTGTCTAGTATCAAACAATAAATGCTGCCAATATTTCTGTAGATGAAGTAAGTAAGTCGGTCTAGTATCAAACAATAAATGCTGCCAATAATTCTGTACAGGATATAAGTCAGTGTCTAGTATCAAACAATAAATGCTGCCAATAATTCTGTAGATGATGTAAGTCAGACGGTCTAGTATCAAACAATAAATGCTGCCTATATATTTATGTAGATGATGTAAATATATATTTCTGTAGATGATGTAAGTAAGTCGGTCTAGTATCAAACAATAAATGCTGCCAATATTTCTGTAGATGATGTAAGTCAGTGTCTAGTATCAAACAATAAATGCTGCCAATATTTCTGTAGATGATGTAAGTCAGTGTCTAGTATCAAACAATAAATGCTGCCAATATTTCTGTAGATGATGTAAGTCAGTGTCTAGTATCAAACAATAAATGCTGCCAATATTTCTGTAGATGAAGTAAGTAAGTCGGTCTAGTATCAAACAATAAATGCTCCCAATATTTCTGTAGATGATGTAAGTAAGACGGTCTAGTATCAAACAATAAATGCTGCCAATATTTCTGTAGATGATGTAAGTCAGGGTCTAGTATCAAACAATGAATGCTGCCAATATTTCTGTAGATGATGTAAGTCAGGGTCTAGTATCAAACAATAAATGCTGCCAATATTTCTGTAGATGATGTAAGTCACTCGGTCTAGTACCAAACAATGAATGCTGCCAATATTTCTGTAGATGATGTGAGTCAAACGGTCTAGTATCAAACAATAAATGATGCCAATATTTCTGTAGATGATGTAAGTAAGACGGTCTAGTATCAAACAATAAATGCTGCCAATATTTCTGTAGATGATGTAAGTCAGGGTCTAGTATCAAACAATGAATGCTGCCAATATTTCTGTAGATGATGTAAGTCAGGGTCTAGTATCAAACAATAAATGCTGCCAATATTTCTGTAGATGATGTAAGTCACTCGGTCTAGTATCAAACAATGAATGCTGCCAATATTTCTGTAGATAATGTAAGTCAGTCGGTCTAGTATCAAACAATAAATGCTGCCAATATTTCTGTAGATGATGTAAGTCAGTGTCTAGTATCAAACAATAAATGCTGCCAATATTTCTGTAGATGATGTAAGTCAGTGTCTAGTATCAAACAATGAATGCTGCCAATATTTCTGTAGATGATGTAAGTAAGTCGGTCTAGTATCAAACAATGAATGCTGCCAATATTTCTGTAGATGATGTAAGTAAGTCGGTCTAGTATCAAACAATGAATGCTGCCAATATTTCTGTCGATGATGTAAGTAAGTCGGTCTAGTATCAAACAATGAATGCTGCCAATATTTCTGTAGATGATGTAAGTCAGTCGGTCTAGTATCAAACAATGAATGCTGCCAATATTTCTGTAGATGTTGTAAGCCAATATTTCTGTAGAGACCTGCCACTAGTTGGTGCTGCCCCACACTCTTCACTGATGGCCCGTGCCAGAGGGTACGGTCCAAGTCCACAGAAAGTTCCAGAGAAGTCGTCCAGATCCAGGGTCCAGATCATACTCCCGCCGTAACCGTTGTCCTTGATGTACTTGACCTAGGTAGAGGCAGGGATTTTTTAAAAGATTATATTCTCATATTAAAATTTCCGAAATGAAGCTTGATGCTAGGGAAGCTTCCCCCCCCCCTCCACCAATTACAAACGTATTTATAGGCCCTTTTAAGTGTATTTTATATCTTTTTGAGAATATAAAATAGCAGAAATATGACATTTACAATTTTTAAAATGAACAAGACGCGAACTCGCTCAAACCAATGTTAGTAGGTTAATGAAGACATTTGTCATTCTGAGGCTCCATGGAGTGTGTGTATGGGGGGGGGGGGGTGTCTGATTTCCCCCCCCCCCTTCCCCCCGTTAGATAAGTCATTGTAATTTTAGGATGTTTTATAATGTCAACATTTTTAACGTAAAAGTTTTGAACATCTTGTTACCTTGTTTCTCAAACTTTCCGGGTCATCATATCCTACCCAGAGGTTACCCTGGACAAGGTATGAGACTTGCTGTTCTGGGATACGGTAGACCGTTGCACCACTTTTGATCAGTTCACAAACCTGAAGATTTGAGTAAGTAATCAAAACTAAATAACTTCTCCTAATTATGTTAAAGCTTTATTATTTAAGCGTATTCATATTTTAATTATTGTATCAAAATTTTCATTTTCCAGTAATGAAAATCCATTGCGTTCATTTTCATGTGTGTTCATGTTTCTATTTACGATATGTTATGATATTGGAATGTTTTTAATGTGTCTAAATCGATGAAATTATTAAATTACTTTGCTTTAATAAAACTCCACATAATAAAAGTTATTTTTTAAAAAGTTCGTTTAGAAGTGAGTAACAAGCAAGTGGAAAGTTACCTCATAGTAGGCCAAAAACCCTGCCTCCCCAGTGTACTTCCCGCTGGGCCCGGGCCCTATAGTCTGAGCCCCAACATTGATATTGGCAGGATTAGCTAGGCTGAAACTTCTACCGTAGGTTGCAAGACCAATGTTTAATTTTTCTTTGGGAGCGCCCTTCGAAACCCAGTATCTCGCAGCAAAATCCTACGGACATTTAAAAAAAATTATAATTTATAAATTATATAAATACAATTAACTTTGATTGACAATAAAACAATATGATTAATAAAATATAAAATACATTGTTTTCTATTACAATAGGTCAAAAATATTTACATCTTTTAAAAGAAAACTAAGGTCATTTAAATATAATAAGTTAATAGAAAAATTGGAACAACATTTTTTTTATGTCTTCGAAAACTAAAAATAAAACAAAAACAAATATCAAAACTTACAATGTAATAGTTTACATTTGCCCCTGAGTCAGAAGGGTGGCCGTAGAGTGGACTGTTGTGTCCAGTGAACGGGTCCCAGCTGCCGTGGAAGTCGTAGGACATGAGGTTGATGAAGTCCAGTTTGCTGATTGGTGGATACAAGGTCACGTGAAGTGAAATTGTTGTAATAAGTAAAGGCAGAAATTGTCATGTTATGATAAGATAAATGCAGGGGATTTATGAGAATATTAAAAAGGCTACCGATTACCAAAAGAAATGATAATTCTTCTTTAATTGTCAATACAAACGCTCTCGCAGACCTTACCTGGCTATGGCACTGATCTCCTAGACCTTACCTGGCTATGGCACTGATCTCACCTGGCTATGACACTGATCTCACCTGGCTATGGCACTGACGTCACTTACCTGGCTATGGCACTGACGTCACTTACCTGGCTATGGCACTGACGTCACTTACCTGGCTATGGCACTGATCTTACCTGGCTATGGGACTGACCTCACCTAGCTATGACACTGACGTCACTTACCTGGCTATGGCACTGATCTCATAGGCCGCATCAATGTTGTCTTTACCAGCAGCAACAGCAGCAGACAACAAAAGCCTGGGTTTTCCACTGGATCCATGCTCTTGGTCAAAGGCTGCGGACAGTTCCTGGGGAAGTTGACATTAGTTCATGTGTGAACAATTTGTAAGTTGACATTAGTTCATGTGTGAACAGTTTGTAAGTTGACATTAGTTCATGTGTGAACAGTTTGTAAGTTGACAGTAGTTCAAGTGTGAACAGTTTGTAAGTTGACATTAGTTCATGTGTGAACAGTTTGTAAGTTGACATTAGTTCATGTGTCAACAGTTTGTAAGTTGACATTAGTTCATGTGTCAACAGTTTGTAAGTTGACATTAGTTCATGTGTGAACAGTTTGCAACGTTCCAGGGAAAGTTGACCAGTTTACAATTTGGCCAAAAAATGTGAGAAATACAAAACGTTGAGCCTATCAGAGAAATCTTACCCCATCACCCCTCTCCTAAACAATTTAAAATATCCGTTTTCACATCTTCTTGCTAACTAAAAGCTATTCTCGGGGTAACTGAGATAAGTTAACCTTATCTAGACCCTAACCTCAGCCAACTGGGTAAACTAAACCCTCACCTCAACCAACTGGGTAAGCTAAACCCTCACCTCAACCAACTGGGTAAACTAAACCTTAACCTCAATCAACTGGGTAAACTAAACCCTAACCTCAACCAACTGGGTAAACTAAACCCTAACCTCAACCAACTGGGTAAACTAAACCCTAACCTCAACCAAAACTAAACCCTAACCTCAACCAACTTGGTAAACTAAACCCTAACCTCAACCAACTGGGTAAACTAAACCCTAACCTCAACCAACTTGGTAAACTAAACCCTAACCTCAACCAACTGGGTAAACTAAACCCTAACCTCAACCAACTGGGTAAACTAAACCCTAACCTCAACCAACTGGGTAAACCTGTGCTTGTCTTCGGGTCCACTTCCTCTCAACGCTGGGTACTCCCAGTCAAGATCAAGGCCATCGAAGTTGTGGTCCCTCAGGAATTTGATGGAGGTTTGAATAAAATGTTGTCGTGTGCCAGAGTCAGCCACCACTTGAGAGAACGGAGCCGAGCCCAGGTTGTAGCCCCCCACAGCTAGGAGGGTCTTCATTTGGGGGTTCACTTGTTTCAGGTCATTGAACATGGAGTACCTTAAAAACAGAAATCGCGATGAACAGATATTTTTATAGCAGCCAATTTATTTTTGAACAATTCGTAATTTATCAAGAGTAAATTTAAGACTTAGTGCTAAAATTACTTAAGTCAGAATAAAAAATTTTTAGGTAAATTATTTTTTTAAATTTTTTAAAATTGTCCATTAAACGTAACGTTCTTATTTTATGTGTTTGTTTGAAAGGAGCACTTAGTTGAATATTTGACTATTGATGCACACAAGATAGTCACCCTCAATGATAAACGATCAATGCGTTTGATTTGTAAAAAAAATGTGACGTGAGTACTATTAGCACTAGGCTCTTAAATTCGCTAACCTCGACTGAAATACATTTTGAACTTTCTTAACGAATGCGACATTAGCTGAGAGAATGAGCTCATTTACAAACACCATGTATGTGGTAATTGATCGCAAACCAGAAATGCAAGCCGCATAAAACTTTACGTTAATCAGGGGACGTAATGGATTCTCGATACACTTCATTAAAACTTTTCAAAAGGTGGGATTTGTCACATGTGGTAGTGAATTGACACTCTCTCTTTACACTTTCGGGGTGGTTGATATATATATATATATATATATATATATATATATATATATATATATATATATGTGTGTGTGTGTGTGTGTGAGTGTGTGTATACACGTATAAATAACTCACAGTCCTTTAGCCCAGTCGGTGTCCTCATCGTTCCACTCAAAGGCCGCTAACTCGTTGTTACTTAACTTGGCGAAGGCGTAGATGATGTGGGTGCAGAGATGGGGGTCGATGTTACCTGGCATGAATTTAGCTGGTTCTTGTCGGTACTGGGACCAGTTTGTGTGGTAGCAGACACGCCTCTGGCACGCTGCCCCTACAGCAAGATTAACACTTTATCAACCTTGGGTATCATTGCTTTGAAACGTACATTTTTGTTTTATTTTTACAGTAGTCACAGATTGTCAAATTTAAAGTGTATATTCTCTTATTAGACATGTTGGCTAAACTTCCACTTTTGTGTTCATTGACAATTCGCTAGTCTAATTTGAGTAATCTACTGTTACGTCATGTTGCTAAAAATAAAGCTGCCAAATACTAACATGTATACAGAGACGTACATTGAGGTAAAGTAATTAACAATTATACATTCACAAACCTACCATTAGCACATCCAGCCAAGGCAAACAGCACCACTAAAGTGAAGAGATACCACATCTGGAATAGTAGTTTATTATTAGTAACACAATGACATCGAGAGATACCTAAACTGACACGACAGACACCTAAACGGACATTGCGGTTGGCTTTAAGTCCTACCAGCATAACGAAGAAGAAATCTCTGAATGAAACTCTACAAGTATAGCACTAGCGTAGACTTCACAGCGGTAGAGTAAAAACACACTGAATGATTGTCACGTCGGTTCAAACTTTCCAAATTTACATACATTTAACTAATTGTTTTTAAATGTTCTATTTTTAGCTTCCACCCAACACTTGTCGCCAAGGAAAAGAATTAATGACCGGAAAATTCTCTTTGAACTTGTTACACGTTTTAACGTTTGAGTTTAGCATATCTGTCGACTGTGTATAACAAGGAAGTCGCATGCTGACTTTATGACTTTGATATATATATATATATATATATATATATATATATATATATATATATATATATATATATATATATATATATATATATATATATATATATATATATGTGTGTGTGTGTGTGTGTGTATAACTCCGCCATTGTCTGGTCCAAAGTCCAGAATGGGAAAGGAGGAGGGTTTTGGGTTTGGGCTAGCAACCCACCATGTAAAAACAAAAACGCTACAGAAACGGCAACAGATCTAAATCAAACCATCATGGGAGAGCAACAGAGGACCGAGGCAGCTTTGCCTGATATGACGAGGAGAGAGATAGAAGAAGAAGTACAGGCTACTGGCAAAACCTGGCATGAACTAAAGTGGCTCGCCCAGGACAGGGTGGAATGGCGGAGATTTGTTGTTGCCCTATACTCCACAGGGAGTGATGAGGATTAAGTAAGTAAGTAAGTGTGTGTGTATACGTAGAACTAACTTACTTATATATATATATATATATATATATATATATATATATATATATATATATATATATATATATATATATATATACATACATATATATATATATATATATATATATATATATATATATATATATATATATATATATATATATATATATATATATATATATATACGATACCTGTGACCTGAGTTGCTTCATCTTGTGTTCAACTTGTGTTTATCTTGTGTGACTTGTGTTCAACTTGACTCCTCTCTATAAAATCGTTGTAGGCCTATATGCGTTTTTATGAACACATTTTTCTAACATCCCATATGTGTGAATCTCACGTGACGATTGCCACACATTTATCACGCTCTAGATGTCTATGGGATGTCTTTGGGACGTCAATGAATCGTTCGAGTTAATCAAACTAGACAAACTTGGAAATCATTTTGGGAGATCGTAAAGGAGACATAATAGTCGTATTGTTTTCAGTCATAAAGGGGACATAATGCCCGTATTGATTTCAGTAATAAAAGGGTAGTAATACATGCATTGTTTTCTGCAATAAAGGGGACGTAATACATGCATTGTTTACAGTAATAAAGGGGACGTAATTCAGTATTGTTTTCAGTAATAAAGGGGACGTAATACCCGTATTGTTTTCAGTGCTTATTGATTTTGTTTGCAGTAATAAAAGGGGACGTAATACCCGTGTTGAATGATTTTGTGGGCAGTAACAAAAGCGAAAAAGAAAGAAATATAATTACTTAAATAGATTTTACCTTAGAGCCAGAAACTCGGAATATTTTTCTTGTAATTTATTTCATTGAAATGTTATAATTTAGAATTATATACAAGAATACAACCGGTGTCTTGATATCATAACATCATAATACATCGTCAATCACACAATTCATACATCGTCAATCACACAATGCATACATCGTCAATCACACAATGCATACATCGTCAATCACACAATTCATATATCGTCAATCACACAATTCATACATCGTCATTCAAACATATTTATTCACAGGTTGTATTTCTAACATCTTGATTTAAACATTTGATTAGAATTTTTGATCATCAACGTTCAAGCTTTGTTCAATGGACTCAACAACTGACATTTGACCCTGAAGGTCACATTTGAAAAGTCATTATCCCCGAAGTTCAATGAGCAATCGGTGCCGAGACTGGATAAAGTCACATTTCAAGTCAGACCTGACTTACAGAATGGACGAGTCACGTCGACCCGTGTGGAGTCACATTTCAAGTCAGACCTGACTTACAGAATGGACGAGTCACGTCGACCGTGTGACGTCACATTTCAAGTCAGACCTGACTTACAGAATGGACGAGTCACGTTGACCGTTGTGACGGACCGAGCCGCTGTGACGTGGGTCGTCACGTGTGACGTCACGTATGACGTTTCAGCACCGTGAAGTCCTGGAGGCCAGCACACAACGTTTGGCTGTCGAGCTGAACACGGTACCCAGCATGCATGACCTCACAAAGGTCACGCCCCTGACACAGACGACGAACTTGGCGCAGCTTCCGGGCTGGGGGTGAAGGCCGTCGCTAAGATGCTGGTCCTTGCAGAGCCGCGTCACGTCTGGAAGTCAAGGTCAAATCTATTTTTAGACATCGGCCACCATGTTTCATATCCCATCATTCCAATTCTAAATAATTAATTTAACCATTTAAATGCCGATAAACACAAACATTAATTTAGAATTACTTAGTTATGCTAAAAAAATTATAACATAATCAAATAGATCTACATAATTTGTAACACAGAGGGAAGAGCGGTAAAATATTATAGTGAATATGTTTTTATCACAATGAGAATGCTGATATCAACCACTTGCCTACCTGCAACACAGTGCACACTTACTGTCTGATTTACTGGAGTCTAGTCGTGAGTTGGTCAGTTTAGTGGTCAGTGTGGCGTTGGGCACTGAGTGAATGCTGGAACGTGCAGGGAAAACAACTTCAGCTATTTTAAATTGTCATGCACTTTTTGTTACACTTCGCTTATAGAGAAAACCGTCCGGTCTAATGTTTTATGTCACAGTAATAAAATTTAATTTATCAAAACACAATGTTTTAAACGTTGATCTAACTAATTATATTTGACGGTATGAGCTAAGTTATTCTAAATAAATGATAACTTTCACAATTTCTCGAATGACGGTCCTTACGATTCCACAAAATAATAGAACCCCCCTCCCCCCCCCCCACCATCGATTAGTGACTTCTCCAATGATGAGATCACCCAAAAATTATCAGTGACGTACTCAACAATTCCCAGTGACAACATCCTCACTGCCCCTACCCAGAGACAACACCCCCCAGTGACAGCCACACCCTCAACCCCCCCCCCCTCTCTCACCATTCAACTCCCCCAGACACAACACCCCCTAGTGACAGCCACACCCTCAACCCCCCCCCCCCTCTCTCACAATTCAACTCCCCCAGTGACAACCCCTACATCCATATCCCAGTGAAACCCCAACTACAACCCAGTAACCCCCCCCCCCACACCACCACCAGTAACAGCACCCCCCCCCCCACAACACCACCAGTGACAACCCCCCCCCCCTCTCAGATGCAGCTGATTACCCTGTCGAGTTGGAGGCACTCTCCTCCTTGATGGCCCGCACCAGAGGATAAGCCCCTCCCCCACATGAGGCTCCACTGAAATCGTCCAAGTCCAGAGCCCAAACCATAATGCCGCCATAGCCCCGGTCTTTGATGTACTGAACCTGGCGGCAAGCATTGAAACAAATGTAAGGGGGGACTTTTTTTCTTTATCTTCTTAACTTTGTTATAATGAAATTAATAGAAGATAAATGTAAGGGTGACTTTTTGATCTTTATCTTCTTAACTTGGGTGTAATGAAATTTATAGAAGATAAATGTAAGGGGGGACTTTTTTATCTTTATCTTCTTAACTTGGGTGTAATGAAATTTATAGAAGATAAATGTAAGGGGGGACTTTTTTATCTTTATCTTCTTAACTTTGATATAATGAAATTAATAGAAGATATTCTTTCTAAAACTGAATGCTATGTCAGCTTATTGATGAAACAATCTTAATTTTTTTCAAAGAAGTTTTCGGCAGTTTTCGATAATAGTTCACAGTCATTGTACATTGACCAATATGATATTGGATAAAATCTTTAGACGTCACGTGTCAACCTACTTTGTTTCTCAAGCTCTTGGGGTCATCGTACCCCACCCACACGTCCCCCTGGACCAGGTAAGGCACCTGTTGATCCTGCAGACGATAGGTCTTGGCGCCCTCCTTAATCATCCGGCAGATCTGGTAGGGGGGGGGGGGATAGAAATGTGTGCAGTTCAATATTACATTTTTTAATAAAATGTCTACATTTATAATATATATAATTCTCTTCTTGGAATCTAGAAAACAAGCTGTAAGCGCTCCCTACCACCCCACCCCTACATGGTCTGGTGAGCTTTGGTTCACGCTAAATGTTTACAATCGTAGAGCCGGTTTTAGTGACGGCCATTAGGGGCAGATAATTTAGTTTGAAACTATTTTAAACTTAGGGGAGGTAACTAAGAGGAGGCTGCTTTCCAGGGGGGGGGTGTAGGGTAGGGGTTGGGGGAAAGGAGGGTGGGGGTAGTATCGTCCTTAACGACCTACTGATAGTGTTTTAAAGCAAATATTTTCAGTGGCAGTGGTACTGTCGAATTCACAATTTATGAATTACTGAAAAGTAGAAAATAAAACAACTAAATCGCGGCGTATGATACGCCGCGGGTCGGCTCGTATTGATTAATCGTGCAAGATGGTCTAGTTACTCGGGAGCTGTTAACCTTACCTCATAGTAACCCATAAAGCCAGTTAACCTTACCTCATAGTAAGCCATAAAGCCCGGCTCTCGAGTGTATTGACCGGCCGGACCGGGACCGGCAGCCGGACTTCCAACCCTGCTGTCCTTGGGGTCGTCTAGTGTGAATGTCCGGCCGTATGTGGCCAGGCCTATGTTGAGTTTAGATCTCGGTGCTCCGTTCTTCATCCAGTAGGTGGTTGTAAAGTCCTGGACACCAGAGATTTGAACAAGTTAGTCACAAGTTAGTCACAAGTTAGTCACGTTCTTCACCCAGTAGGTGGCCGTAAAGTCCTGGACACCAGAGATTTTAAAAAGTTAGTCACAAGTTAGTCACACGTTAGTCACAAGTTAGTCACAAGTTAGTCACGTTCTTCACCCAGTAGGTGGCTGTAAAGTCCTGGACACCAGAGATTTAAACAAGTTAGTCACACGTTAGTCACACGTTGGTCACAAGTTAGTCACAAGTTAGTCACAAGTTAGTCAAAAGTTAGTCACAAGTTAGTCACAAGTTAGTCACAAGTTAGTCACAAGTTAGTCACAAGTTAGTCACAAGTTAGTCACAAATTAGTCACAAGTTAGTCACAAGTTAGTCACAAATTAGTCACTTTCTTCACCCAGTAGGTAGCTGTAAAGTCCTGGACACCAGAGATTTAAACAAGTTAGTCACAAGTTAGTCACAGGTTAGTCACAAGTTAGTCACAAGTTAGTCACAGGTTAGTCACACGTTAGTCACAAGTTAGTCACAAGCTAGTCACACGTTAGTCACACGTTAGTCACACGTTAGTCACAAGTTAGTCACGTTCTTCATCCAGTAGGTGGCTGTAAAGTCCTGGACACCAGAGATTTAAACAAGGTAGTCACAAGTTAGTCACAAATTAGTCACAAGTTAGATAAGTCACATTAGGATGACATATACCTACAGTGTGGGAGTTAGCGAGGGGCCCCGTGTCCCCCGAGCGCCCGTACAGGGGACTGTTGTGTCCAGTGAGGGGCTCCCAGCTGCCGTGGTAGTCATACGTCATCAGGTTGATCATGTCCAGCCTCCTGGGGTTTCGTCAAACATTTAACAAAATCACCAACTAATCCTTTTGATTATTTCATCAAACATCAAACAAAGTCACCAACTAATCCTTTTGCTTATTTAGTCAAACATTAAACAAAATCACCAACTAATCCCTTGATTATTTTGTCAAACATCAAACAAAGTCACGAACAAAGCAATTACATTGTTTTTTCTAATGTAATTTCAACAAAACCAAATCAAGTATTGTATTCGTTATAACTTAATGTTTTTAAAAAGAATATATTTGTCTACTAAAGTTTATGTCAGACTTGCCAGTTCTAGTCAAGGTACCAAAATATTTAACAGCTGTGTTCTAACGCTTGGCCACCTCATACATCTGCTCATAACTTACGTGCCAACCTAATTAACTTCCCAACAACTAAATCGCTAATTAAAGGAACTAATTGACCAGCAACGGCTTGCTGTTTTAATTAAACTAATTAACCAATCACATACTTGCTAATTAGACTGATCTCGTAAGATGAATCTATGTTGTTTTTTCCACCGGCAACGGCAGCTGAAAGAATTAGCCGTGATTTTCCGGCTGGCACACGCTCTCTGTCAAAAGCTGCCGCCAATTCCTGAAGAAACGAAATAAAATGCCTCACAACAGAAAATAAAATTTACAATGATGCAACAGAAAAAAACCCCTAAAAAACTAAAGTCAGTCCACTACATTAAAAAATGTACGTTGGTCTATAAGCACGTAAGTGTAGTTTGTTCTTGCTAATCTCGCAAATGGTGGTTTGTTCTTTTAAAAAATTGCGTATCTCGCAAATTGTAGTTTGTTCTTTTAGGAAAAAAAATTGCATGTCTCGCACAGTGAGAAATCTTACCTGAACTAACAAAGTGAATCTACGTTTGTCTTCCGGCACGCCCCCTCTCAGGGTCGGGTACTCCCAGTCAAGGTCGAGGCCATCAAAATCATAGTCACGTAAAAACTTGATGGACGTGCGAATAAAATACTTCCGGTTGCCGGCACTGGCTACCATGCGAGAGAAGGCTGATGACCCGAGGTTGTAGCCCCCCACGGCCAGGAGTATCTTCAGCCTGGGGTTGGCGTCCTTCAGCTCTATTATCTGCGTGTATCTGGAGGGGTACACATTTTTATTGCTGTTGGAAACGCGTACGCAATTGTTTTTAATTAAAGATAATTTTAACACCACAATCAAAGTAACAGACTATTAAAAGAACGTACATCTGTTCTAATTGCAGAGGCGTAGCGACCCTCCCCGGTGCCCGGGGACAAACTTTCGATTTGCGCCCCCTCCCCTCAATTTGTTTTTTCCAACCCCTTTTGCGCCCCCTAAGGTCGGCGCCCGGCGACATATGTCCCCCCCCCCCCCGCCGTCTCCCCCCGTCCCCCCCCCGTCCCCCCCCCCGCCCCCCTCGCTACGCCTCTGGTGTCGGTATAAAAAGCTGAGGTTATATTGCATGTTTTAATATTACAAAATTAAAACGGGAAGGGGGGAGGTGCTAACAAATACAAAACGACATAACAGGACTATATAGGACTGTACGAAACATAAGGCCTCATTGGGCTGTGAAGGACATTGGGACGTTCGAGTTCTATTTGAGATTTTCAACAGTAAACACAAAATGTACGGGATATCCGGGAAACGTTATGTCAAGTGTTATATTATATCTGCCCTATCCGTGAAATGTCCTGTATTGTATTTGTCCTGCCCGTGTCCTGTATAGCACATCTAACATCTACTTACGCTCCTTTGGTGTCGCCTGTGTAGCACATCTAACATCTACTTACGCTCCCTTGGTGTCGTCTATGTAGCACATCTAACATCTACTTACGATCCCTTGGTGTCGCCTGTGTAGCATATTTAACATCTACTTACGCTCCCTTGGTGTCGTCTATGTAGCACATCTAACATCTACTTTCATCTAACATCTACTTACGCTCCCTTGGTGTCGCCTGTGTAGCACATCTAACATCTACTTACGCTCCCTTAGTGTCGCCTTATTGTGTGTAACACATCTAACATCTACTTACGCTCCCTTAGTGTCGCCTGTGTAGCACATCTAACATCTACTTTCATCTAACATCTACTTACGCTCCCTTAGTGTCGCCTTATTGTGTGTAACACATCTAACATCTACTTACGACCCCTTGGTGTCGTCTGTGTAGCACATCTAACATCTACTTAAGACCCCTTCGTATCGCCTGTGTAGCACATCTAACATCTACTTACGATATCTTAGTGTCGCCTTATTGTGTATAGCACATCTAACATCTACTTACGCTCCCTTGGTGTCGCCTGTGTAGCACATCTAACATCTACTTTCATCTAACATCTACTTACGCTCCCTTGGTGTCGTCTGTGTAGCACATCTAACATCTACTTACGATATCTTAGTGTCGCCTTATTGTGTGTAGCACATCTAACATCTACTTTCATCTAACATCTACTTTCATCTAACATCTACTTTCATCTAACATCTACTTTCATATAACATCTACTTTCATCTAACATCTACTTTCATCTAACATCTACTTTCATCTAACATCTACTTTCATCTAACATCTACTTTCATCTAACATCTACTTTCATCTAACATCTTCCTTTATCTAACATCTACTTTCATCTAACATCTACTTTCATCTAACATCTACTTTCATCTAACATCTACTTTCATCTAACATCTACTTTCATCTAACATCTACTTTCATCTAACATCTACTTTCATCTAACATCTACTTTCATCTAACATCTACTTTCATCTAACATCTACTTTCATCTAACATCTACTTACGCTCCCATAGTGTCGTCTGTGTAGCACATCTAACATCTACTTTCATCTAACATCTACTTTCATCTAACATCTACTTTCATCTAACATCTACTTTCATCTAACATCTACTTTCATCTAACATCTACTTTCATCTAACATCTACTTTCATCTAACATCTACTTTCATCTAACATCTACTTTCATCTAACATCTACTTTCATCTAACATCTACTTTCATCTAACATCTACTTTCATCTAACATCTACTTTCATCTAACATCTACTTTCATCTAACATCTTCCTTTATCTAACATCTACTTTCATCTAACATCTACTTTCATCTAACATCTACTTTCATCTAACATCTACTTTCATCTAACATCTACTTTCATCTAACATCTACTTTCATCTAACATCTACTTTCATCTAACATCTACTTTCATCTAACATCTACTTTCATCTAACATCTACTTACGCTCCCTTAGTGTCGTCTGTGTAGCACATCTAACATCTACTTTCATCTAACATCTACTTTCATCTAACATCTACTTTCATCTAACATCTACTTTCATCTAACATCTACTTTCATCTAACATCTACTTTCATCTAACATCTACTTTCATCTAACATCTACTTTCATCTAACATCTACTTTCATCTAACATCTACTTTCATCTAACATCTACTTTCATCTAACATCTACTTTCATCTAACATCTACTTACGCTCCCTTAGTGTCGTCTGTGTAGCACATCTAACATCTACTTTCATCTAACATCTACTTTCATCTAACATCTACTTTCATCTAACATCTACTTTCATCTAACATCTACTTTCATCTAACAACTACTTTCATCTAACATCTACTTTCATCTAACATCTACTTTCATCTAACATCTACTTTCATCTAACATCTACTTTCATCTAACATCTACTTTCATCTAACATCTACTTTCATCTAACATCTACTTACGCTCCCTTGGTGTCGTCTGTGTCCTCGTCGTTTGCCTCAAACGGCGTCAGCTGGTCGTTGATGATCTTGGCGAAGGAGAAGACGATGTGAGTGCAGAGGAAAGGGTCAACGTCCTCGGGGGTGAAGCTGCCGGGTGGAGGCCGGTACTGGGACCAGTTCGTGTAGTAGCAGACTCGGCGAAGGCTCAGCGCACCTGGAATCAAAGAACTCGGTGACGTCATTGGCGATTCATTACTCTTAAAGTGGATCTCCTTCAATGAGATTATCTCACGATTTGCTTATAAAAATTTTGAACTAGAGATTAGATTTAACTTAATTTCTCTGTCCACCTACCCCCCCCCCCCCTTCCATCCCACTCGCCCCACAATACAAGGAAAAATATTAGACTTTACGAAAATAAACGGAGAACACACCATTTACCGAAGATAAACGGAGAGACACCCAACTTACCGAAGATAACCGGTGCTAGCACTGCTGTCATCAAGAGCGTAGACCACATCTAAGCGAAGACAACAGAGATGGTTAGAGAGAAAATCGGAATCCGATAGGAAACCTAATTCATACTAATCTTCATTTACTTACATCTGAATCAATAATTTACTACTAATAATTTTTATCACATATTTTAATAGGAAAAAAATAAACACTTCTAGAAAGCCACATTGTATTGCCATTTATTTTTTAATATTATGACTTAGTAAGTTATTTTTAAAAATATGACTACTCGCTATGTAATATTTCTTGTCGTTGCTCTTTTTACATGAAAGGCCCATGTTTTGTTTTGCTGTTTCTGGTGAGATTCAGCAAAGTTCCCTCCGTGTTATACATCACCAGAACTGTATTACTTGTTTGAGAGGCTCCAACACAATCCATTAACTTGAATCGTAGTATTTTTTTGTGTTATTCACAAATCAGTCCAAAATTTTTAAAAATCATATAGCCTCTGGTTTCAAATGTTGACAATTTAAAATTAAAAGGAATCTAATTCTGAACGTCAAATGAAATAGACATTTAACATAAAAAGATAATTTATGTTAATATTTATTTTTATTTTAGTTCGATCAATATTGGACATATGGGTCAAATGTTTCTTTAACTTCTAGTCTATAACTAAATACAAACTAACTGTTGGAACTCAGTTTAAAAATACTTTTCAAAGTGTGACGTCACGAAGTCTGGTTAAACTATGCGAAGGGAAGCAACTAAGATAACATCTGTAATAAATAAATAGACTCCCTTAGATGCCAACATAGTCCAACACTGGCAAATGGCTTGACAGAAAATGTTGCTCCAGTTTTAAATCATACTAATTAATGGTCAAGTATGGCTATTCTAAATCGACGAAGTTCACTTTTTCCTAAAAATTAATTCGCCAAATCCTAATTTCGTTGCTTACTTTATCTTATCCTAACCAAATAGTACACCATATCCTAATCAAGCCTCACCTTATCCTCATCAAGCCTCACCTTATCCTAATCACGCCTCTCACCTTATCCTAATCAAGCCTCTCACCTTATCCTAATCAAGCCTCTCCTTATCCTAATCAAGCCTCTCAACTTATCCTAATCAAGCCTCTCACCTTATCCTAATCAAGCCTCTCACCTTATCCTAATCAAGCCTCTCACCTTATCCTAATCAATCCTCACCTTATCCCAATCAAGCCTCACCTTATCCTAATCAAGCCTCACCTTATCCCAATCACGCCTCTCACCTTATCCTAATCCACCAGATCTCCAGTACTCCCAACCGTGTTGTTTGAAGCCCGCCACTGAGTCAGTAGAGTCTGTCTTACCAGTCTCTTATATACAGGTTACTCAAGTTCACACAATGACGTCACTTTCATTCATCCTTTCATACACAGCTGACCTAACACAAACACATCTTTACAGGCCGTTGTCTGTATTCAATCAGATCACCTATTATGTTAATTATGTTAATTAATCAGTTTTTGTGACGTTCCACAAGCCTCGAGTATTGCTGACCAACAATGACCCGTTGTACAAAGTTACGATGGTTTGTTGTGATTCTGGTTCATTCATGACAAATTTTCTCACGAGATCCTACGTGTTGTGTGCATGAATGTCTGACCCGCGGATTAGCCTGCCCTTTCGTACGTACACCTGTGTATACGTCACTTCCTCATTCTTAACACGTCATCAGACAATAGCAACAGACGATGGTGGCTGAGCTGTCGTCTGGTCAGTTCGTGTTGTAGGGCGTCACGTGATTGGGACTGTGTATAAGAATTGTGCTGATCGTGTTCACTAAATATGTGGTGCTGTAATTAATGTAAGTAAATTAAGGTTCCCTATTCGAACCTGACGTTCTATGGGGCAAGTGAAGTAGAGTTCACCTGTTTCTGTGATTAATTGAAGGCCAGATTTGATAGCTGGAAATTGTCTCACGATTTCAGACAGTGACCCAGGCACCAGTAAATCTTAGTATTTTGCTGACCATTACCCATTACCTCCCCCCCCCCCCCGCACCACATGATTTCAGACAATTTTAAATAAACCAGCACACACACATATAAATGACGACACACACAACATTGACCTTCATGACCCCTTGTTCACGTCACACGTCGTTGTGTTGTGGACAACATAAACATAATTTACCGCTATACACAAGACTAGTAACAGCATAAAGTAGTTCTAGTACCCAGCAGTTTCTTTATTTCGTGTATTCTACCATCAACAAGACTAGTAACAGCATAAAGTAGTTCTAGTACCCAGCAGTTTCTTTATTTCGTGTATTAAACCATCAACAAGACAAGTAACACAGCATAAAGTAGTTCTAGTATCCAATAGTTTCTTTATTTCGTTACTTCATGATGTCAAAACCTAGGAGGATGGGGGAAGGGGGAGGGCGGCGTATGTCTAGCAAGCCCAGTTGACTAGCCGAATGACCACTGTGTCAAACCATGTCTACGTGTTGAGATGGCCCCGTGAAACCACTGTTACGTTTGGTAAGACTGAGAGGCCCGGGTGTGGGGTGAGGGGGGAGTGGCGCTGGCAGCCCGGTCTTGTTAACACAGCTGTACGAGCACACTGAGGGGTCCTGTGTAAACCTCTGGCCTGATAACACATGTGTACATGCCGTGCTCAGCCCTCACATGTAAGCACTGTAAGGTGAGTCAGTCCTCACAGGTATATATTGTAAGCCTCACAGGTATATACTGTAAGGTAACTCAGCCCTCACAGGTATGTACTGTAAGGTAACTCAGCCCTCACAGGTATGTACTGTAAGGTAACTCAGCCCTCACAGGTATGTACTGTAAGGTAACTCAGCCCTCACAGGTATGTACTGTAAGGTAACTCAGCCCTCACAGGTATGTACTGTAAGGTAACTCAGCCCTCACAGGTATGTACTGTAAGGTAACTCAGCCCTCACAGGTATGTACTGTAAGGTAACTCAGCCCTCACAGGTATGTACTGTAAGGTAACTCAGCCCTCACAGGTATGTGCTGTGTAAGGTAACTCAGCCCTCACAGGTATGTACTGTAAGGTAACTCAGCCCTCACAGGTATGTGCTGTGTAAGGTAACTCAGCCCTCACAGGTATGTGCTGTGTAAGGTAACTCAGCCCTCACAGGTATGTACTGTAAGGTAACTCAGCCCTCACAGGTATGTGCTGTGTAAGGTAACTCAGCCCTCACAGGTATGTACTGTAAGGTAACTCAGCCCTCACAGGTATGTGCTGTGTAAGGTAACTCAGCCCTCACAGGTATGTAATGTAAGGTAACTCAGCCCTCACAGGTGTTTGCTGTAAGGTAACTCAGCCCTCACAGGTGTTTGCTGTAAGGTAACTCAGCCCTCACAGGTGTTTGCTGTAAGGTAACTCAGCCCTCACAGGTGTTTGCTGTAAGGTAACTCAGCCCTCAACAGATGTTTGCTGTAAGGTAACTCAGCCCTCACAGGTATGTGCTGTAAGGTAACTCAGCCCTCACAGGTGTTTGCTGTAAGGTAACTCAGCCTTCACAGGTATGTGCTGTAAGGTAACTCCCCATGTCGGTCTTTGGTTTCCCCTTCTGATATGATCTGTGAGTCGTCATCAGGGATAGCTCTGACAGAGCTTAACCTCTCGGTGACGGTACTTAAGCTCTCAGTGACGGAGCTTAAGCTCTCTGATTCAGTCAAGCTAGCAGGAGAGTTTCTATATTTGAAAAACTTTGCGACTGCGCAGAAGATGAGGAAGTTGGCGGCCATTAATCCAGCCAAGAAAAACATCAAATTTTCCATTTTCACCGAGTTGATTTCGTCACCGTACCAGGGGTCTGAAAAATAAACAAAACTTTAGTGACTTAGTGAACCCTTGACCACTCATCTGACCCAGTGACCTCCTTGACCACTCATCTCATCTAGTTACCCCCTTGACCACCCACCTGACCTAGTGATCTACTTAACCACCCACCTGATTTAGTGACCTACTTGACCACTCATCTGACCCAGTGACCTTCTTGACCACCTACCTGACCTAGTGACCTCGTTGACCACCCACCTGACCTAGTGACCTCCTTGACTACTCATCTGACCCTGAGACCACCTTGACCACCCACCTGACCTAGTGACCTACTTGACCACTCACCGAACCTAGTGACCTCCTTGACCACCAGTATAATGGCCATAGACAGTAAGTTCCCCATCCCCCACGCTGCCAGAAACAAGCCTGTCAGGAGTCCCTGGAGACTGGCCGGTGCCTGGGCGTAGGCGAACTCTAGGCCTGGTGGACGACATCGTCAAGGCCATTAGTGGACAACATCGTCAAGGTCATTAGTGGACAACATCGTCAAAGTAATTAATGAACAATAATAGCTTGGTCGTTTTAATAGACGAACCAATAATGTAATGTATGCATTGCTAGTCATCCATATTTACACAAATCTCACATGCAACACATCATCCCACATCCAACATGTAATCCAGCTAACATAGCATGCAGCATCCACGTCATCAAACATCCAACACATCATCCCACACCCAACACATCATCCCTCATCCAACACATCATCCCACACCCAACACATCATCCCTCATCCAACACATCATCCCACACCCAACACATCATCCCACATCCAACACATCATCCCACATCCAACACATCATCCCTCATCCAACACATCATCCCACATCCAGCACATCATCCCACATACAACACATCATCCCACATCCAGCACATCATCCTACATCCAACACACCATCCGACAACTCACACGTGACGCTAGTGAAGATCTCGCTAGCCCCTATCAGCGCAAACTGCGGGACCTGCGTCAACACCGACAGCGACGAGGCTGTGAAGTTTTCATTGGCCAGCGTCTGGACATGTGACCCCCCGTGCATGACGTCCTTCCTGTAGACCTCGACCACCCCGGACACCAGCACAGCTAGGATGGACAGGACCATGCCAATACCTGGGGACAGAGCCGGAAATACTCAGGGTTTCTTTCTGATATTTTCTCCTGGGGGGGGGCACTTAAAATTTCCAAAAAGGGGGGGGGGGTTAAAGTATTTATCTAATTTTTTTTTCAAATTTTATTTCTATGTCTATGAGGTGATGTGGGGAGGGGAGATTGGGGCCTGGGGGTGGCTGAGCCACCCTTGCCCCGGGGAGATGGTTGAAAGAAAATGTTAACTTAACATTAGACCTAACCCTATCTCCAGCTTACAAAAATACTTGACCTCACTCTCAGACCTGCTGTGTCCTGCCTGTATTTACCGAATGTTTAACCGTGAATTTTACTTGAGTATTCCGTATACAAAATGTTCGATAATTGAAGACAAACGAAAACAGTAAGAAAAAAGAATACCCACCTATTCGCTTCAAATGGGTCAGTGGTAAGCCAATCCTCGTCATGAAGGGGTAGACGAGTCTATCGATGAGGGGGATCAGGATGATGATGACGATGTTACCCACGATGTTGAGCATGGCAGCTGGGATCTTGCCACCCCCCACACGCACGTCCATTCGCTCGGACTGGACGAAGAAAGAGCTGGTGGTCTGTGGGATAGCACGGTCAGGTTAGGGGTCATCTGTTGTGACGTGTACATGAGGGGGGGGGTCATAGCACGGCTAGGTTAGGGGTCATCTGTTGTGATGTGTTCATGATGGGGGTCATCTGTTGTGATGTGTTCATGATGGGGGTCATCTGTTGTGATGTGTTCATGATGGGGGGGGGGAGGGTAATAACACGGCTAGGTTAGGGGTCATCTGTTGTGATGTGTTCATAATGGGGGTCATCTGTTGTGATGTGTAAATGATGAGGGGGGGGTTAACGCGGCTAGTTTAGGGGTCGTCTGTTGTGACGTGTACATGATGGGGGGGGGGGTCATAACACGGCTAGGTTAGGGGTCATTTGTTGTGACTTGTATATAATTGGGGGGGGGGATTTAACGCGGCTAGTTTAGGGGTCGTCTGTTGTGATGGGGGGGTCATAACACGGCTAGGTTAGGGGTCATCTGTTGTGACCTGTACATATCGGGGGGGGGGACATCTGTTGTGACGTGTACATGATGGGGGGGGGGGGTCATAGCACGGCTAGGTTAGGGGTCATGCGTTATGTACATGATAGGGGTCATAACACGAATAGGTTGGGTTTCATTCACTATGACGTTCCCACTTAGGGGATCATAACACGGTTAGGTTCGGGGATAATTCAATTTAACGTCCACGGAGAGTGTCAGGTGGGGGGGGTCACATAAGGGGTCAATCATTATGATATCCACACGAGGGCGTACCTACATTATCACGTTTGCGTGAGTAAGAGGCGGGGGGGGGGGGGGAGCGGAGTATAATATGACCTGATTTCAACTATACAAACTGACAGTTGTGATGTTTTGTCCCCGTTTGCTGTGAGGAGGGGGGGGGGGGCACTTAAAAATCATATTTGACCACATTATAATATTGTTTATGAATTTTAAAATTTCTCAAACGTTTTCCAAAGGATGACCTCTTTCCAACGAAAGTAGAAACGGATTTAGGAAAACACAACAAGGATCAAGACAAAAATAACAATAAAGGTCAACAACCTGTGAGTATACGGCGTAGTACATGATGACAAGCAGGGCAAATGGCGTCACGGCTATGACGTCAGCCATTCCATCCACAGTGACGTCATCAAACGTCCCGCCAAAGCTTTTCTTCGCCCGGGCAAACAGACGACACTCCGAGCCTTCGGAAAGATCCGGACGTGTGGCAGGCGTGGGCTAAAAATAGAATCCACGAGTTGTTTGGTTACTATGACCCAATTTGTTAAAAGAAGAATCCACATTATGTTGTAAATATGTAGGGGTGGGAATGTGATTTTACTGCTGGTATTTTAATCTAAAGCCAGAGGTAGAAGACTTGAAGGTTTAACGGCAAGACAGATAGAAATTGTTAAACATGGCAGTTAACACTGGTTTAACATGACAAGTAATGACAGAGCAAGTAATGACAACACGTTAACATGGTTTAACACAGCATAAAGACAACAAGAGCTTACCTTACAACAGCCAGCTTGTCGTATAACTTTCATTGCTGTGGTCAACACACTACCTGTGGATGCCAGACATACTTGTTATAAGTCTTCGTTGTTTCATGCATACTTGTTTAAAGTCTTCGTTGTTTCATGCATACTTGTTTAAAGTCTTCGTTGTTTCATGCATACTTGTTTAAAGTCTTCGTTGTTTCATGCATACTTGTTATAAGTCTTCGTTGTTTCATGCATACTTGTTTAAAGTCTTCGTTGTTTCATGCATACTTGTTATAAGTATTTGTTGTTTCATGCATACTTGTTATAAGTCTTCGTTGTTTCATGCTTACCTGTTGTAAGTCTTCGTTGTTTCATGCATACCTGCTGTAAGTCTTCGTTGTTTCATGCTTACCTGTTGTAAGTCTTCGTTGTTTCATGCATACCTGCTGTAAGTCTTCGTTGTTTCATGCTTACCTGTTGTAAGTCTTCGTTGTTTCATGCTTACCTGTTGTAAGTCTTCGTTGTTTCATGCTTACCTGTTGTAAGTCTTCGTTGTTTCATGCATACCTGCTGTAAGTCTTCGTTGTTTCATGCTTACCTGTTGTAAGTCTTCGTTGTTTCATGCATACCTGCTGTAAGTCTTCGTTGTTTCATGCTTACCTGTTGTAAGTCTTCGTTGTTTCATGCTTACCTGTTGTAAGTCTTCGTTGTTTCATGCTTACCTGTTGTAAGTCTTCGTTGTTTCATGCATACCTGTTGTAAGTCTTCGTTGTTTCATGCTTACCTGTTGTTTCATTGTTGTACAAGACATACCTGCTATAAGTCTTCGTTGTTTCGTGCATACCTGTTGTAAGTCTTCGTTGTTTCATGCATACCTGTTGTTTCATTGTTGTACAAGACATACCTGCTATAAGTCTTCGTTGTTTCATGCATACCTGTTATAAGTCTTCGTTGTTTCATGCATACTTGTTATAAGTCTTCGTTGTTTCATGCATACTTGTTATAAGTATTCGTTGTTTCATACATACTTGTTATAAGTATTCGTTGTTTCATGCATACTAGTTATAAGTATTCGTTGTTTCATGCATACTTGTTATAAGTCTTCGTTGTTTCATGCATACTTGTTATAAGTCTTCGTTGTTTCATGCATACTTGTTATAAGTATTCGCTGTTTCATGCATACTTGTTATAAGTATTCGTTGTTTCATACATACCTGTTGTTTCATTGTTGTACAAGACATACCTGCTATAAGTCTTCGTTGTTTCATGCATACTTGTCATAAGTCTTCGTTGTTTCATGCATACTTGTTATAAGTATTCGTTGTTTCATGCATACTTGTTATAAGTATTCGTTGTTTCATGCATACTTGTTATAAGTATTCGTTGTTTCATGCATACTTGTTATAAGTCTTCGTTGTTTCATGCATACTTGTTATAAGTATTCGTTGTTTCATGCATACTTGTTATAAGTCTTCGTTGTTTCATGCATACTTGTTATAAGTCTTCGTTGTTTCATGCATACTTGTTATAAGTCTTCGCTGTTTCATGCATACTTGTTATAAGTATTCGTTGTTTCATACATACCTGTTGTTTCATTGTTGTACAAGACATACCTGCTCTAAGTCTTCGTTGTTTCATGCATACTTGTTATAAGTCTTCGTTGTTTCATGCATACTTGTTATAAGTATTCGTTGTTTCATGCATACTTGTTATAAGTCTTCGTTGTTTCATGCATACTTGTTATAAGTATTCGTTGTTTCATGCATACTTGTTATAAGTCTTCGTTGTTTCATGCATACTTGTTATAAGTATTCGTTGTTTCATGCATACTTGTTATAAGTATTCGTTGTTTCATGCATACTTGTTATAAGTATTCGTTGTTTCATGCATATTTGTTATAAGTCTTCGTTGTTTCATGCATACCTGTTGTTTCATTGTTGTACAAGACATACCTGCTATAAGTCTTCGTTGTTTCATGCATACTTGTTATAAGTCTTCGTTGTTTCATGCATACTTGTTATAAGTCTTCGTTGTTTCATGCATACTTGTTATAAGTATTCGTTGTTTCATGCATACTTGTTATAAGTCTTCGTTGTTTCATGCATACTTGTTATAAGTATTCGTTGTTTCATGCATACTTGTTATAAGTATTCGTTGTTTCATGCATACTTGTTATAAGTATTCGTTGTTTCATGCATATTTGTTATAAGTCTTCGTTGTTTCATGCATACCTGTTGTTTCATTGTTGTACAAGACATACCTGCTATAAGTCTTCGTTGTTTCATGCATACTTGTTATAAGTCTTCGTTGTTTCATGCATACTTGTTATAAGTCTTCGTTGTTTCATGCATACTTGTTATAAGTATTCGTTGTTTCATGCATACTTGTTATAAGTCTTCGTTGTTTCATGCATACTTGTTATAAGTATTCGTTGTTTCATGCATATTTGTTATAAGTCTTCGTTGTTTCATGCATACCTGTTGTTTCATTGTTGTACAAGACATACCTGCTATAAGTCTTCGTTGTTTCATGCATACTTGTTATAAGTCTTCGTTGTTTCATGCATACTTGTTATAAGTCTTCGTTGTTTCATGCATACTTGTTATAAGTCTTCGTTGTTTCATGCATACTTGTTATAAGTATTCGTTTTTTCATGCATACTTGTTATAAGTCTTCGTTGTTTCATGCATACTTGTTATAAGTCTTCGTTGTTTCATGCATACTTGTTATAAGTCTTCGTTGTTTCATGCTTACCTGTTGTAAGTCTTCGTTGTTTCATGCATACCTGTTATAAGTCTTCGTTGTTTCATGCATACCTGTTATAAGTCTTCGTTGTTTCATGCATACCTGTTGTGTCATCGTTGTACCAGACATACCTGCTATAAGTCTTCGTCCTTTCATGCATACCCGTTCTGTCATTGTTGTACCAGACATACCTGCTGTCTTCGTCGTTCTTAACATATCTGTTCTAAGTCATCTTGTTCTAAACATATCTGTTCTAAGTCATCTTGTTCTTAACATATCTGTTCTAAGTCATCTTGTTCTAAACATATCTGTTCTAAGTCATCTTGTTCTTAACATATCTGTTCTAAGTCATCTTGTTCTAAACATATCTGTTCTAAGTCATCTTGTTCTAAACATATCTGTTCTAAGTCATCTTGTTCTAAACATATCTGTTCTAAGTCATCTTGTTCTAAACATATCTGTTCTAAGTCATCGTGTTCTTAACATATCTGTTCTAAGTCATCTTGTTCTAAACATACCTGTTCTAAGTCATCTTGTTCTAAGTCATGTAGCGCCACAGAACATAGATATTGTTGTGAACAGATTTTGCATTTGTTTTGGAAAAGGTTCTCAGAACAATGCGCATTTTTCTGTGTACGCAATTTTTCCCGTATGCGTTAAGTTATGTTTGCATATTTTTTGGTGACATTTTTCCTACGCATATTTTTCCGGCCAACATTGATGACATGCGTGCATTGAGCTCACATCATACGATCAACCACAGAGTTTCTTCCAGGCATCTCTTCGAACAATAGTCTACTCCCTCCCCCGAAGGAAATGGAATTTATATAGAAAATATATACATTTAACAGTGTCCGCCCCCCCCCCCCGTAAAAAGTCTACCCCCCCCCCCCCCGAAAATTTCAACTGCCCCCCCCCCCCCCAAAGAAAAAAGTCTGGAAGAAATACTGATCAACCAGCCGACATAGTACTCATCCTGGGGCCTGGTGCAGGCGTAAAGGTTTCTCGGGGCCGTGAAGACTAGGATCTAGGGGGGGGGGGGGCATGTTGACCAGACGGTACTCACCCTGGGGCCTGGTGCAGGTGTAAAGTTTTCTCGGGGCCGTGAAGACTGGGATCTGGAGGGGGGGGGGGGGCATGTTGACCAGACGATACTCACCCTGGGGCCTGGTGCAGGTGTAAAGTTTTCTCGGGGCCGTGAAGATTGGGATCTGGAGGGCCGCGCTGACCAGGGCTGGCACAAGCCCCCACGTGAAGCTCACGTTCTGCTGGATGTAGGCCACGCCCGAGTAGGCCACGAGGGCGCCGATGTTGATCACCCAGTAGTACCTGACCAGAGGGGGGGGGGTAAAGTGGGGACTGTCAGAGGGGTGGCAAATGCCTCTAACTACCTAGCAACTGGAGGACTAACTACCTTAAACTAACCAACTGATGGACTGTATCCACCAGTTGAATGACTAACTACCCCTAACTACCCACCAGTTGAATGACAAACTACCCTTAACTACCCACCAGTTAAATGACTAACTACCCTAACTACCAACCAGTTGAATTACTAACTATCCTAACTACCCACCAGTTGAATGACTAACTACCCTAACTACCCACCAGTTGAATTACTAACTATCCTAACTACCCACCAGTTGAATGACTAACTACCCTAACTACCCACCAGTTGAATGACTAACTACCCTAACTACCCACCAGTTGAAGAACGATCGGACCGCACCATCGCCCAGACTTTCCAGTTGCTCTGCGCCAAAGGGGCTAATGTTGGCCTTGACCCCGCCCGTTCCCAAGGTCAGCAGGAAAATGCCCAAAAGATAAACGACACTTTTGCCTGTCTGAGATTGTGGAGAAAAGTGTTTGACAAAATGTTTTCGTTACAAACAGACATTTAGACAAAAACGTATAGCTAAATGTATACACTTAAAAATAAAGTTAGTTCATCAATGACGTCACGCCTTTTGACATTTTTATCCTCGTCACACGCAAGAGTTGGCCGCCATTTATGGACCAGCCCACTTTTTAAAATTAGACAAATAAAGATCAAAATTAGACTGGATTAAAATGTTTCCCTCCAATAAACTAATGTAGAAATCACATGTCACCAATGAAGATCCCGGAATTACGTCATAATTACCTGAGACAACTCCTGATCAAACCACAGATCGAAGTGTATCGATGACGCCTGGATCAACAGGACGGCTGGGGATGATCAGAAAATAGACCACTCATCACGTGACTGAATTTAACGGTTTGGAAATTTATTTTTTAGCTAAATTGTGAATATTTTTTATATTAGTTATAATTATTATTTTGAAGGGGTGCGGATTATCTTCGCGATCTCTCTTGGAGTTTTACTATCTTTAAATAGTTTTTTTTTGAGTTCATCAGTTATTTAATTTGCAATAACTTTTGTTACTTTAAGTAATAATAGATTTTAAATCTAATAACTTGAACTCACAGATTGTAATTTTTACTTTCTCGTATACGAAGTATAGAGAAAATATTGTAAAGTGATCATTAAAAAGTTGAACTCACCAAACAAATTAAGGAACAAAGAGAAACAAATGGTAGGAAACCTGCCAGTCCAACTGTCGGACACCAACCCGCCCAGGACAGGAAACAGGTTGGACAGGGCTGAAACAGAGGGTTGGTTGTGGTCAGTACTGGTAGACAGAGAGACATGAAACAGAAGGTAGGTAGGTTGTGGTCAGTACTGTCAAAGTGTGGCTGTATTTGTGTTGTTCTTATAATATGGTCAGCATTAAGTGCTCAGTACTGGTCAATACCTGGCTTTGTTAGTTTATTTTTATAACATAACATTAGACCGACAAATATTAAGTGGTCAGTTTTAGCCAGTGACAAGTGCAGTACAGCACCCTGATGATGGTAAGCCATTACCCCTCAGTCATCGCCACCCCCGTATCCCCAGGTCTCACCATTAAAGAGTAAACTGACGGCTGTGGCGTCCACAGTGCACCCCCCCCTGCCATTACCCCCCCCCCCCCACCAGAGCTCACCATTAAAGAGTAAACTGACGGCTGTGGCGTCCACAGTGCACCCCCCCCCTGCCATTACCCCTACCCCCCTGCCCCTACCCCCCTGCCATTACCCCCCCCCCCCACCAGAGCTCACCATTAAAGAGTAAACTGACGGCTGTGGCGTCCACCGTGCTCATCCCCAGCTGACTGGTGCAGTAGAGTAGCATGTTGGCGCTCACCGAGTAGAAGCTCAGCCTCTCCAACATCTCGGTCACCAGCACACACAAGGTCACGGTCAGCTTGCTCGTGGCGCTAAAAATAGATTGTACAACTATAGTGAACAACTCGCCGATTGTGTAAAAACACATAACAAAACATCTCGCCGAATTTCCCACTTCCCACAAAATAACTACTTCACACTCAAATTCCAATACAAATAAAAAACCCACTATTTTCCCACTTACCAACCATCTTGGAATATGGAAACTTTCGCCAACAAAAGCCCCAAATAAATCTACCCATTTAGACTACCCTTTCACACTAGTCGAGGTCTGAATCACCTAATGGTTGATAGACCAGCATTCGAGCAGATGAAATGTGAAGAAATATCATAGCTGATTTCCCATCATACAGGTCATGTGGCCTAACGGATAAGGCGTCTGACTTCGGATCAGAAGATTGCGAGTTCGAGTCTCGTCAGGATCGTGAATATGTTGGCCATCATATTTTGATAATTTCAATGGCTATTTTTTTACTATTATATCTCAATAAGCCATGAGGTCAACCGGTGGGGTACTGATCGTTGACCAATGGGCTACTGATGGTATGAGTGTGATCAACCGATGGTCTACTGATGGTATGCGTATGGTTAACAGATGGTAAGGTGTGCAGTGAATGATTAGGACACGTAAAAATATCACACTCACACTACTCGCAGGAAATAAAATGTTTCCTCAACACAAAAACTGGCGAATTTTCTAAGGTATCCACAAACATACCGGAAAATACTTGTGTTGGGCAGCTGGTTAAGATCTTGCTGACCCCTAGGGAGCTGACCTGCTTCAGAATGACCCTTAAACGACTTTTGCTGCTCTTGGTGACTGAATGGGATGTCCGCCTCTTTAACAGCCGGGTTGGTAACATGGTCTGTGTGGCCAACCATGGGGTTGTCATGCCAACCCTTTGTATTGGCGAAGGACAAATCATCTACTAGGTCAAGCGCTGGGTTGCTATAGCAACCAGTGCCCACTTGTTCTGTCATCTTACCTATTGAACAGAGTGTCTTTTATTTAGGAATACATTTGTCTAGAGCAGGGGTCTCCAAACTACGGCCCGCGGGCCGGATGCGGCCCTCAAAGTCCTCTCATCCGGCCCGCGGAGGTCTTTTTGTCCAAGGAAAAATCGTTTGTTGGTGATGGCTGAGGAACTTTGCCCAGAAAAATCAAAGACATGCCTGGAAGAAACTGGCCCCCGAACTGAAATTTGATAGTTAATGCGGCCCTCGGACTGAAAAGTTTGGAGACCCCTGGTCTAGAGTCTAAACATAGCTTTACTTTGGGTTTTGTTTAGCCGAACTATATATATATATATATATATATATATATATATATATATATATATATATATATATATATATATATATATATATAATGTACAATTTATAAAACGTAACAGTAAATATTCCTACCTGGGGTAAAAACACGGAAGATCACAAAAAATGAATACGAATAAGAAACGAATGAAATAGCCTACCTTTGTGACTTTTTTACCTGTCTCACCTGGAGAAGACTGACACAAATGTAACCCACTTCTAGTCCGGCTACACAGGGTCAGTTGCTACGTGTCAGCTATACCTCCCCCCTCCACCCACCTCCCCCCATCCTGTTTGTGACCCCTGCTGCCCCAGGGTAGGGTTAGATGACAGGGGACAGTACTCACATACCAGGATTTCCTACACGACTCCGGATCTAGGTGGGGGTAGTGTATTGGTTTAAGCTGTTGTTTTTTTCCTCTTAACGGAAGTGGCACGGCAGTTGATATAGACATAGGGGGGGGGGTTGAGTTGGTCTAGGCAGCTGATCTTTACATAGGAAGGTGATCTAGGCAGAATGCCACGAACCAGGTTTCGAAACACGGCGAAACTAGCGCTATGGCTGATCCGACTTGTTAAATATCGACTACGGAGAGACTGTGATCATTTGGGCATGTTATTGAATAATTGTTGATGGCTCATCCTCATTCAGTTGTAATTGAACAATGTTTGTTTAGATTATTAACAACATCATGCTATTTTTATGTGGTTTTAATAAATTGAAGTTGGTAATTGTGCTTGAATTGTGTTGGTAGCGTTCTAAATTGCTGAAGTTCTCGTTTCTAATTTTCTGCAATTCTGTTATAGGTCGGTAGGTCACATGTCAACGTACACAAATACCTGGCAAGTAATTAGTGTTTGTGCTGCTTAAAGGTTGTTAAGTCATCGTGTTGTATAAAGCCAGGTCACGTGGTCTCGACGGTCTCAGGTTGTTTTCCTCCCCTGGCTCTCTTTTCTAGAAACGGTCATCACGTGACTCTTGCTGGAACAGTAAACATGCATGTAGTGTCAGGCGTATCGTAAGATTTCTTTTAAATTTTAAAAAGTTTGCTGTTCAGAAAGGGATCCATGAGGGTTAGCAAATATTTACAGTCACATTGGGGTCGGATAATATTTTCTTGACACATTTCTCCAACACGTCTTTCCCAAAGCAGAAGAAATTATTGACTTCTAAAAAGTCAACTTTTTGTCAATTTATTGTCTACAATTTAATTAGCTAAATAATTATACGTTTGAAGACATTAAAATAGTTAAAATTATTGGATTAAGGATAAATTATGTTGTGGCTAATTAAGTCGCGTTAATTTTGTTCTAGTTCTTGAGTAGCGACAGGCGTGACGTCACTACCTTTAATATTTAATATCTAGGTCAACGTCGTCATTAACTGTAACTTTTGACAAAAATATTTTTATTTTGGTAATTTCATCGCTGTTTTCTTTTCCAAAACCGATCGCTTTTTTTTTCATTGGTAAGATTTGTGTTTTTTAAGAAATCCGCTCTGCAAGGGTTTCAGTTGGGGACTATTTATAGCGGACACACCCTAAATAAATCATATGATCTTGACCCCTACTTGAGCTACTGAAACGTACGACAAGCCAATCTTTCTCACCAGTTTTTCCTCCGTACCTCAACAGAAATTTTGCTAACCCACGTACAGGTATATATATATATATATATATATATATATATATATATATATATATATATATATATATATATATATATATATATATATATATATACACCTGTGAGAGAGGGAGAGAGAGAGAGAGATAATAGTACCCCACACCCAACCCATGCATTGTTACCTTGGATATCGTTGAACTGATAATTATGCCCATTCTTATTGTCCCACCACCAGCTTTTCCATGATAGAAAAGTAAATATGTAAATCTGTAATGTCAACTACAAAAATGGACGGAAAAACCTGAGGAATACCAGTTTTAATTTCTGGTAAAATCAATTCACCCACAACTGAAAACTGTTTACTTTGAGGGCAACAAAAATAATAACTATATCGAGCGTGTGTCATCATATTCCTTGACATCCGGGTCCTTTGTTGACAGGACCGTAACAGTTTACACCAGACACGTGGGAACAGACGTGACCATAAGGATTCCAGCAGAAGGTCAGCCAATCAATTCAATTCACAGCCGCCATTTTTATCCGGTGAAAATGACCAATGGGAAATACTCTCGCAACATCCGGGTGCCGACTGTTGATGGAACGAACAAACCCAAGTTTGTTTAGATAATTATTGACTCAATTATAAAGTAATTAATTAGTAATTAATTTAATTAATAGACGTTAAGGTCCAGGATCAATTTTAATAGCTTGTCTTACTGGACAACTGTGTAATATAAATGTTATTTGATTACATCATTACATAGTGGCTCTGTATTTACCACTAAAATACTTACACCATCGCTACGTTGTTTTCTAAATACCACAAACAATTAGTGGAAATAAATTACTCAACACAAACCTTTTTACTGAAGTATTTGAGTTTCAAGATTTTTTTCTAATAAAAACGGTGTGATGTTTTAATTTGTCAGTTGAAGAATCGCATGACAGAGATGGTCCCTGTCTGCAGGTTCCTTTCTGCAGGTCCCTGTATGTAGGTCCCTAAATGTAGATCCCTAACTGTAGGTCCCTGTCCCTGTCTGCAGGTCCCTACCTGCAGGTCTCTGTCTGCAGGTCCCTGCCTGCAGGTCACTGTCTGCAAGTCCCTTGCTACAGATACCTATCTGCAGATCCCGACCTTCCGATCCCTGAATATTTTGTTCACAGTTTTTTAACTCGTTAACTACTGGTTAAAAAAGAGGTTGTTGACCTCTGCTTTGATGCATAACGTAACCTGGTTACAAAGTCTTGACCCCATTTTTTAAAACAAACACAGTCTTTACACCAGGTATATCCAGTAAATTACGCAGGTGCTTAAATTATGTCATACACAGCGGGTCCACGAACACCTGAAGACGCATCATCCCCCACCCCCGCACCCTTCCTTTCACTTTAGTTCTGGTAATTTTTCAAAAATTGAGAGAGGAGATAGGAGCATCGAGAGTGATGGGTTTGGGTTAGAAGTGGGGTGTGTCTGTGTGTGGGGTGGGGTGTGGGGGGTCACAGTTAGTAGAGGTGTTGACCGGTTCAGTCCAGGATGACAAAAACACCTTTACAATTTTAGCGAATAGTTTTCGCTAGCCTCTCCCCAGATTTTGTTATTGACTGCCGGCAACATCCGCTTGTTGGGGCGCTATAAAGTCTCCTCAGCTTCCGACATGTTTCACATTTACAGACCCCAGTCCATACAATCACAATCACAATCATCAGTTGCTGTATCTAGCTGACATTTGGCTTTAGTCCATACAATCACAATCATCAGTTGTTGGATCTAGCTCACATTTGGTGCCAAGACTTGCAGATCTAGAATGAAAATTTTAATTAATCAGCTGAGGAACCAGGCGTCCTTCAAACATGTGTGTGAGTACCCATTAGTTATGTCTGTCTGTCTGTCTGTCTGTCTGTCTGTCTGTCTGTCTGTCTGTCTGTCTGTCTGTCTGTCTGTCTGTCTGTCTGTCTGTCTGTCTGTCTGTCTGTCTGTCTGTCTGTCTGTCTGTCTGTCTGTCTGTCTGTCTGTCTGTCTGTCTGTCTGTCTGTCTGTCTGTCTGTCTGTCTGTCTGTCTGTCTGTCTGTCTGTCTGTCTGTCTGTCTGTCTGTCTGTCTGTCTGTCTGTCTGTCTGTCTGTCTGTCTGTCTGTCTGTCTGTCTGTCTGTCTGTCTGTCTGTCTGTCTGTCTGTCTGTCTGTCTGTCTGTCTGTCTGTCTGTCTGTCTGTCTGTCTGTCTGTCTGTCTGTCTGTCTGTCTGTCTGTCTGTCTGTCTGTCTGTCTGTCTGTCTGTCTGTCTGTCTGTCTGTCTGTCTGTCTGTCTGTCTGTCTGTCTGTCTGTCTGTCTGTCTGTCTGCCTGCCTGCCTGCCTGCCTGCCTGCCTGCCTGCCTGCCTGCCTGCCTGCCTGCCTGCCTGCCTGTCTGTCTGCCTGTCTGTCTGTCTGTCTGTCTGTCTGTCTGTCTGTCTGTCTGTCTGTCTGTCTGTCTGTCTGTCTGTCACCAATTTTAAAACTTCTGAATCTCCCCAGCCTTGCCCCAACTGTGTAAGGGAGACTTTGACTACGCCTCATTCTTCGCTGCCAAGATTCAACAGAAGAAGTTAGACAACTCGTACCGTGTTTTTAAGAGAATCCAGCGGGACAACGCCAGGTTTCCGGTTGCCATGGAGACGAGCAAAGACCCGAAGAGCATCACAATCTGGTGCAGTAACGACTACCTGGGTCTCGGGTCTCACCCACGGGTTATTGAGACCATCAAGTAAGCTGGGTTGTTTTATAATACTTCACTTATAACAATATAGTAGAAGCTTTTTAGGGACTATCAAAGACACCATCAGAAGATGAGATTAATAAATGGCAGCCTTACATATATATATATATATATATATATATATATATATATATATATATATATATATATATATATATATATATATATATATATATATATATATATATATATTTATGTATATTTATACTGAGCAATGTGTTTACTCTGCCAGAGACGTGTTAACCAAACACGGGTCAGGGTCAGGCGGGTCAAGGTTAATCTCCGGAAATTCCCGCTACCACGAGGAGCTTGAGGTCGAGCTGGCCAAATATCACCAGAAGGAATCGTGTTTGGTCTTCAGCTCGGGCTATGTGGCAAACCACACCGCCCTGCACACACTGGGCACCGTGTTGCCAGGTAAGAATACAACATTCTGGTTAAATATATTTCATTATTGGAAAGTTTCTTTTGTCAATCCTGCATGTAGAGAAATATCGTTTGCATAGCCAGTTATACTTTAAACTTTATAAAAATAATGTTTAAAAATTATCTAAGAATTCACCAGAATATTCTAAATTCAAGTCAACATTCTAAACGTATTAGACGGTAAAACTAGACCAGCTTAATATTGCTAGTTCTGATTTTCTTTGGCCAACGATATGAATTTGTTCAAACGTAAACTTACTCGTAAACAGCTCCAGATAATTATGTTCAATATTTGAACTATGGGTGGATATTGTGTCAGTTCAACTGAGTTTCGTTCCCAGGCCCCACCTTGTGTATAAACTAACGCCTCCTCTCTACACCACCAGACCTCCACTACTTTTCTGATGCCGGAAACCACGCCTCCATCATCATGGGCGTGCGTACAAGCCCCGCCCACAAACAGGTCTTCAGACAGAACAGCCCCGCCCACCTGGAGGAAGTGCTGGGTCAAGCTGACCAGGGCGTTCCTAAGATTGTTGTCTTTGAGACGGTGCACTCCATGGATGGTAGGTCCAGAGAATTGAAAGACATTGTGACCTAGCTACTTTGACCAAAAATTATGACCTAGCTACATTAGCCGAAAATTAATACTTAATTACTTATGCCAAAAGTTATGACCTAGTTACTTTGACCAAAAATAGAGTAAAAGGAAAATGACGATTAAGTTTGATTCTGTTAAAGTGATATAAACTAATGAAACAATGACAAAAATATCATGTTCACTGTTCATGTGTTTTCCCATTGATTTCCCAGGGTCCATCGCCCCAGTAGAACGGATGTGTGACGTGGCACACAAGTTCGGCGCCCTGACCTTTGTGGACGAGGTCCACGCGGTGGGCATGTACGGAGACACGGGCTCCGGGGTGGGGGAGAGGGACAACTGTATCGACAAGATGGACGTCATCTCGTCAACTCTGGGTAGGTGTGGGGGACTATGGGGGTGGGGGAGGGACAACTGGGGGTGGGGGAGAGGGACAACTGGGGGTGGGGATAGGGACAACTGGGGGTGGGGATAGGGACAACTGGGGGTGGGGGAGAGGGACAATTGGGGGTGGGGGAGAGTGACAACTGGGGATGGGGGATAGGGACAATTAGGGGTGGGGGAGAGTGACAACTGGGGGTGGGGGAGAGTGACAACTGGGGGTGGGGATAGGGACAACTGGGGGTGGGGGAGAGGGACAATTGGGGGTGGGGATAGGGACAACTGGGGGTGGGTAATAGGGACAATTAGGGGTGGGGGAGAGTGACAACTGGGGGTGGGGGATAGGGACAACTGGGGGTGGGGGAGAGTGACAACTGGGGATGGGGGATAGGGACAACTGGGGGTGGGGGAGAGTGACAACTGGGGATGGGGGATAGGGACAATTAGGGGTGGGTAATAGGGACAATTGGGGGTGGGTAATAGGGACAATTGGGGGTGGGGATAGGGACAACTGGGGGTGGGGGATAGGGACAACTGGGGGTGGGGGAGAGTGACAACTGGGGGTGGGTAATAGGGACAACTGGGGGTGGGGGATAGGGACAACTGGGGGTGGGGGATAGGGACAACTGGGGGTGGGGGATAGGGACAACTGGGGGTGGGTAATAGGGACAACTGGGGGTGGGTAATAGGGACAATTGGGGGTGGGGATAGGGACAACTGGGGGTGGGGGATAGGGACAACTGGGGGTGGGGGATAGGGACAACTGGGGGTGGGGGAGAGGGACAACTGGGGGTGGGGGATAGGGACAACTGGGGGTGGGGGATAGGGACAATTGGGGGTGGGGATAGGGACAACTGGGGGTGGGGGAGAGTGACAACTGGGGATGGGGGATAGGGACAATCAGGTGTCAACTTCTCGACCTAAATGGTCCCCAATCACGTGACGTGACGTAGACCTTTTTAAACCTGATTTTGCTTTTTTCCAGGTAAAAGTTTTGGTGTGATGGGCGGGTATATAGCGGGTGGCGCCGACCTGGTGGATGTGGTGCGAAGCTACGGCAGTGGTTTCATCTTCACCACAGCGCTACCACCACACGTCATGGCGGGCTGCTTGCAGTCGTTAAAGGTGCAGTTGGTGTTTTTTTTAGCACTAGCACGTGTGCACACATACACACACGCATACACATATGTAGACACACGAACACATACACATACGCAACACACAAAGTGTTAACTTATGTTTTTCCACCCTTTGTGTCAACTTGTTGTTTTACCGCCCTCAGATTCTCCAGAGCGCGGAGGGCAAGGAACTTCGTGAGAAGCTGCACGACAATGCCGCCTACCTGAAGCGAGAGCTTGAGGCAGCCAACATCCCCTGTATCCCAGGCAACAGTCAGGTGATACCCGTCATGGTGAGCACTGGTGCACACGCACGTTAAAAACTTTAAACATCAGGCTTTAAGCAATAGTGGTATCAGATTATCTATGGCTCCAGGTTCAAATCTTGTCCCAATGGGGCCCCAAGTGTTTTACATGAACACCACGCGATCCCATTTACCGATGATGTTGGTTTCAGTTTGACCGATGAAAGTGAAGGTTAACCCCATTGGTCTAGTAGGAGCCTGCTTTGTTTTGATTGGCTCTGGTTATGTCGTTAGTGATCTGACTCGCTGACTGTCGTCTAGTTTGTTGTTAGTCACCGGTGCTGAAGTCTAGTTCCTCTCAGTCACCTGTCTCACGGTCTAGTTCCTCTCAGTCACCTGTCTCGCGGTCTAGTTCCTCTCAGTCACCTGTCTCACGGTCTAGTTCCTCTCAGTTACCTGTCTCATGGTCTAGTTCCTCTCAGTCACCTGTCTCACGGTCTAGTTCCTCTCAGTCACCTGTCTCACGGTCTAGTTCCTCTCAGTCACCTGTCTCACGGTCTAGTTCCTCTGTCTTTAGTCACATGTGCTGACGTCTAGTTATTCCCAGGTTATTCTCCCTAGCGCAGTGGTACTTAACCTGGGTTTGTCAGTACGTGTGAAGAAACTATTAAGAAGGATTCAGTGAATGTGCATATGAAAAAGTGGGGTTCGTTACCTCTAAAAAGCTAAGAACCACTGCCCTAGAGACCACACTTCAAGTTTTTTGTTTCAATTCTTCTAGGGCCATATCCCTCAAACATAAGTCCGTGTATTCCCACATTTTAAAACATGTAATAGTTACTTTAACCCATTCAATCAGTCACGTGATCTCATGCATGTTACCATGACAACAGGTCGGGGACGCCCACGCCAGCATGCGACTGACCAACGACCTGGTCGAGAGGTTCGGCATCTACGTGCAGGCCATCAACTACCCCAGTGTACCACGTGGTACAGAGCGTCTGAGGGTGGCCCCCACCCCCCACCATACCAAGCTCATGATGGACAGGTTCGTCGACTGTCTCTCGCTACTGTGGAAGGTGGGTACAGCGTTTTAATTAGCTCTAATTAATCAAGTCATTATAATAATTAGTTAATCTAATCAGTTAATTAGTCCAGGATTTGTCTCCAGTAAGTTGGTTATCCGCATGATAAGACATAGACGTGTTACTCGTCTGAATGTTCTAGTCAACCAATGACTGCCATCAACCGACGTGGTTCGCAACACGAAAACAAACCAGAATTTCTTCCCTCACCCCCGGGAATTTAGAATGTACCTCTCCCGACGAAAGTCTCGAGTGCCCCCCCCCCCAACCCTGGAGAAAAATGTCTGAAAGAAACCATGCGACAAACGTTTCCCGTTGCTCTGTTGACTGCAAGATAATTGGTGAACACAATTTGATAACGTTGCACATTTTGCTAGTGACCATAGATTTTAGTAATCTCAGAGTTGTTCGTAAATCGAGCTGTACGCTATTTGAGGTGCTCGTTACACTGAATGGCGTTTGCTCAAGATGTTAGTAAACTGAATTAAAAAACAATGTGTTCGTAATTAACAGAATTTTATTTATTTATATATGTATATATATATATATATATATATATATATATATATATATATATATATATATATATATATATATATGTATATATATATATATATGTATATATAATCTCGTATATGGAGATGCTCTCAATAGATCTTTACAAAAAATGCCATTTATTTCAAGTCTAACATTGGATATTTATGTTTATTTTTACAGGAACACAATTTACCTTTTGCCCAGAAAGATGCGTCTAAAGGCAGATAACTTGTGATTTAGAAATGAGAGTAGCTTCCCTTTTAAACTTAACTATGTGCGTGTGTGTGAAGGCGATGAGTTGAAGTGTATATGTGAATTGACAAAATGCAATAATTTTCGGGTATAGCTGTTATCGGTTAAATCTGCTTTACGAGGTTGATTAAAAATTACTTGTTGCTGTCGTTGTGAAGTGTAAATAATATTTTTATTTATTTCTCGAATGTACATCAAATGTAAATTGTGTGATAATTAAATGTCAATAAATGTTGATAAATATACAGTTATCTATACCTCAAAATGATTTTGTTTAAATGTTTATATTGTTTTAATCCAATTGTTTTCATGTTTGATAAAATAAAACAATAATTTCTTGAGGTAGTGTTGTGTTGTTTACTGTTGTATCTCACAACGTGAGGTAGTGTTGTGTACTGTGTGTGAGCTATCTGCTGTATCTCACAGCGTGAGAGAGTGAGCACTAGTTAAATAAGAGTTGCAGAGCTCATTTAAATGGGGGACACCGGCATGTGCCTATATACCCCCCCCCCCACACACACACACAGTAAAAGCCTTTACATAAAAGAATAGGCAGGCAGTTCTAACTTCATTTAAATTTGCCCTCAGACAAAGCACAGATATTCAGTTGTAATACAAACCCACGAACTGGGCTAGTTACAAATATTTTACAAGTGAAGAGGTCGTACCAGCCAACACAGTAAAATCTATACATAAGAGAATATTTTGTTAAAAGATTGAGAAATTTGAAGTGACAGAAATAATTAATTTTTGATGGTTAATATCCAGGCATAAGGATCTGGTAATCAGATTTTGACCGAGAAAACACAGTAAAATCTATACGTAAAAAAATATTTGTCCAAAGATTGGGAAATTTGAAGTGACACAAAATATTTTTTACATTTTTGATGGTTAATATTCAGCCATAACCATCTGGTAATCAGATTTTGACCGAGAAAACACCGGCAGACAACTCAACAGATTGTGGTTCTAATTTCTTAACAGATTGACATTCATTTTAAGCTGAATAGACGTCGCTTTGTTTTGTGTTTTTTTTTTTTTGTCGAAGGGGGAATAACTGCTGCAATATAGGTAAACTTAGAATATTGTGAGGTTATCTTTCTTGTTGTGTAACGTGCTGGATTAAAAAAAAAAAACAATTTAACCGACCCTTGTTTTAATGAAACAGTTACTCAAATACAAGGGTGGGCTGAAACATTTTCTTCGTAACAATGAAACTCAAGCTTTAAACTAATTTTAATTTCTCGGTATATCCTGGTAAATCTAGTCACTTCTCCCATTAATGCTCCTACCTCCCTGTCCATCAAACGTGAGCCTCGGGTTCGAGGTCAGCTTTCTCGTGCCTAAATCTTGTTTCAGTAGCAAACAAACACGTTCAACACAGATAATATTAAATTGCTAAAACGTGCAAACCTTACAAACAACACAAAAATTGTCGGTCACATTATATACAATTTATTTGTTGTCATCGCTTCATCCGCCGTAGTGAGTGTTGTGGCGGCTGTGGTGGTAGTTGGTGTTGTGGGGGTAGTTTGTGTTGTGGGGGTAGTTGGTGTTGTGGGGATAGTTCCTGTTGCTGCCATGGTAGGGCACCTGCTGGTAGCTGTTGTAGTTGGTGTTGGGGCGGTGGTGGTAGTCTTGTACATAGCCAGAGCTGTAGGGGGGTCGTCGGACGTAGCTGGGGTGAGACAAGGTGAGACATGGGTTAAAGGGTGAGACGTGTATTTAGAGATACAGACTTGGATGTGAGACAAAGTGAGACATGGTGAGAAGAAAGACGGAATTATGAAGAGATACAAAGTGAACCATGTTCTAGAACTACAGTGTGGGACACGTTAAACCAACACAATACCATCGTAACGTAGTTCTTTTAGTTGGGGCCTGCTCAACATAGGGCGAGGGCAGGGGGTGTTCTATGAATGGTGGTGGGAGGGGGGAGGAAGTTAATTTATGAAAAAATAAATACAACATGTTTTTAAATCTTTCGTATTGTAACTGCCATGAACTATTTCAGCTTTGTTTAATTTTTTAATTTGCTTGACGGTTATTTCAAAAAGATTTTTTTACTAAAGGTAATTCTCAGAAATGAAATATGTTCGTGACAATACAACAAATTTAAATGGCAACACCAAAACAAAAACTCAGTGCTACGCATGACTTACATCACGTGATCTGTATTTCTGTCTGTCAGTCCCTCACCAACCAGCGCCATCACTACCATGGTGACAAGGGAGAGAACCGAACCTTTCATTTATTGCTTTGTTCCTGAAATTTTAAGTGTTCATGTTTTTAATTTTCTGCTAAATAAAGTAGAAGACAGAGCGATACTTTGTGTAGTGAATAATACAAATAACCGTATACAGTTGTATGAAACAATCAATATTATATCGTAAACAAAGCTACAGTAGTAATTAAAGATTTCATGTCAAAAATAAATTCTCATTAATTAACAAATTACATCACTGACATTTAGTCTAACGCTTTGGGCGGTAAAACCAAACATCACAAATCAAATGAAAATAATTATTAAATGGATTTTCTCTGACTATAAAAGAATATGCAATTTGTCAATTAAAATTTGTGAAACGAAGCATTAAAAATGTACAAAAAAATGTTTTTAAAAAATGTACAAAACAACTCCCAAGTCGCATGTGACGGCTAATGCTTTCAATTACTGGAGACAGAAAATAGTAATAGTTTTGGAATATTTTTTAACAATTAAACTTAAAACCTGTTTAGTCTTACGTTGTTTTGTTGTTGTTTTTTTTTAGTTAAAACATATTAAATTAATTTATGACATTAAATCTCGCTACAAATAGAAACTGGCAACTTACGAGAGATGACAAAAACATACCTTAAACACCCGTAGCCCTTATTTAAAGATTTTAAGTCCCCTCCTATCTGGAATGTGAAAAAAAAACACTTGAATTTATACAAAAGTTGAGAAAAAACTTGAATTTATACAAAAGTTGAGCCAGTGGATGGGTCACGATCTTGTAAGACGGATCAGTCAAGCACGCCATTCATGATCTCTCACTTGTCAAAGGTGGCGGTTCGATTTTTTTTTCTTTGTTTCCTTGATGTTTGCTTGAAGGTTAGGTGTCCACTGTCTAGATCTGTCAGATCACATAGATACACAGATACACAGATACGTAGGTCCACTGTCTTAATGTCTTAGTCTTTAACTTACCTTTCGTTGACCTGATGAAAAGTGATACAATGTTTTTATTTATAATATAGTGTCTATGTTGGCTCAAACGGCCTCTACAAGAGATCAATATTTAAAGGTTCGATTTTGAGACTAAACTGTTTCAGAAAAAAATTTGACATCGGTCCCAGCTATTGAAACTGACGGTCACTCTACAATAGAAACATTGCTGGAACTTTTGACTGGAACTTTATTAGCACCAGCACCTTGTCAGGTCCGCCATTTTTCTAGCACCTTTGTGTGTTTGGCGTGAATTAGAACGGCTGCACTATACCTGCAAAAATGCCGCGAATCGGGAATAAATACCGAAAGATTCTGAAGAAACTAAGTACATGACTGTACTGTTTGGAAATATCTTGCTCACCTAGACTTAAGGTTCTTGTCTTGACTCGGTCAATGGTCCATGTTTGACACGATTAAGTACACTAGATCTAAAGAAAATAGCTGCAGCATTAAAATAATTACAAGTAAAAAAAACTACAACATTACTGTATGGATACACTATTTTCATTTAACTTTACACATATACGATTTTCTGGAATGTGCTGATCGACTGTAACAGTGTGGTGATCGACTAGTGTGGTGATCGACTAGTGTGGTGATCGACTAGTGTGGTGATCGACTAGTGTGGTGATCGACTAGTGTGGTGCTCGACTAGTGTGGTGATCGACTAGTGTGGTGATTGACTGTAGCAGTGTGGTGATCGACTGTAGCAGTGTGGTGATCGACTGTAGCAGTGTGGTGATTGACTGTAGCAGTGTGGTGATCGACTAGTGTGGTGATCGACTGTAGCAGTGAGGTGATTGACTGTAGCAGTGTGGTGATCGACTGTAGCAGTGTGGTGATCGACTATAGCAGTGTGGTGATCGACTGTAGCAGTGAGGTGATCGACTGTAGCAGTGAGGTGATCAACTGTAGCAGTGTGGTGATCGACGGTAGCAGTGTGGTGATTGACTAGTGTGGTGATCGACTGTAGCAGTGAGGTGATTGACTGTAGCAGTGTGGTAGCAGTGTGGTGATCGACTGTAGCAGTGTGGTGATCGACTGTAGCAGTGTGGTGATTGACTAGTGTGGTGATCGACTGTAGCAGTGTGGTGATCGACTGTAGCAGTGTGGTGATCGACTGTAGCAGTGTGGTGATCGACTATAGCAGTGTGGTGATCGACTGTAGCAGTGTGGTGATCGACTGTAGCAGTGTGGTGATTGACTGTAGCAGTGTGGTGATCGACTGTAGCAGTGTGGTGATTGACTGTAGCAGTGAGGTGATTGACTGTAGCAGTGTGGTGATCGACTGTAGCAGTGTGGTGATCGACTATAGCAGTGTGGTGATCGACTGTAGCAGTGTGGTGATCGACTGTAGCAGTGTGGTGATTGACTGTAGCAGTGTGGTGATCGACTAGTGTGGTGATCGACTGTAGCAGTGAGGTGATTGACTGTAGCAGTGTGGTGATCGACTGTAGCAGTGTGGTGATCGACTATAGCAGTGTGGTGATCGACTGTAGCAGTGAGGTGATCGACTGTAGCAGTGAGGTGATCAACTGTAGCAGTGTGGTGATCGACTGTAGCAGTGTGGTGATCGACTAGTGTGGTGATCGACTGTAGCAGTGTGTTGATCGACTGTAGCAGTGTGGTGATCGACTGTAGCAGTGTGGTGATCGACTAGTGTGGTGATCGACTGTAGCAGTGTGGTGATCGAATGTAGCAGTGTGGTGATCGACTAGTGTGGTGATCGACTGTAGCAGTGTGGTGATCGACTAGTGTGGTGATCGACTGTAGCAGTGTGGTGATCGAATGTAGCAGTGTGGTGATCGACTAGTGTGGTGATCGACTGTAGCAGTGTGGTGATCGACTGTAGCAGTGTGGTGATCGAATGTAGCAGTGAGGTGATCGACTGTAGCAGTGTGGTGATCGACTGTAGCAGTGTGGTGATCGACTGTAGCAGTGAGGTGATTGACTGTAGCAGTGTGTTGATCGACTAGTGTGGTGATCGACTGTAGCAGTGTTGTGATTGATTAGTGTGGTGATCGACTGTAGCAGTGTGGTGATCGACTAGTGTGGTGATCGACTGTATCAGTGTGGTGATTGACTGTAGCAGTGTGGTAGCAGTGTGGTGATCGACTGTAGCAGTGTGGTGATCGACTGTAGCAGTGAGGTGATCGACTGTAGCAGTGAGGTGATCAACTGTAGCAGTGTGGTGATCGACGGTAGCAGTGTGGTGATTGACTAGTGTGGTGATCGACTGTAGCAGTGAGGTGATTGACTGTAGCAGTGTGGTAGCAGTGTGGTGATCGACTGTAGCAGTGTGGTGATCGACTATAGCAGTGTGGTGATCGACTGTAGCAGTGAGGTGATCGACTGTAGCAGTGTGGTGATCGACTGTAGCAGTGTGGTGATCGACTAGTGTGGTGATCGACTGTAGCAGTGAGGTGATTGACTGTAGCAGTGTGGTAGCAGTGTGGTGATCGACTGTAGCAGTGTGGTGATCGACTGTAGCAGTGTGGTGATCGACTAGTGTGGTGATCGACTGTAGCAGTGTGGTGATCGAATGTAGCAGTGAGGTGATCGACTGTAGCAGTGTGGTGATCGACTGTAGCAGTGTGGTGATCGACTGTAGCAGTGTGGTGATCGAATGTAGCAGTGAGGTGATCGACTGTAGCAGTGTGGTGATCGACTGTAGCAGTGTGGTGATCGACTGTAGCAGTGAGGTGATTGACTGTAGCAGTGTGTTGATCGACTAGTGTGGTGATCGACTGTAGCAGTGTTGTGATTGATTAGTGTGGTGATCGACTGTAGCAGTGTGGTGATCGACTAGTGTGGTGATCGACTGTATCAGTGTGGTGATTGACTGTAGCAGTGTGGTAGCAGTGTGGTGATCGACTGTAGCAGTGTGGTGATCGACTGTAGCAGTGTGGTGATCGACTAGTGTGGTGATCAACAGTAGCAGTGTGGTGATCGAATGTAGCAGTGTGGTGATCGACTAGTGAGGTGATCGACTGTAGCAGTGTGGTGATCGACTAGTGTGGTGATCGACTGAAGCAGTGTGGTGATTGACTGTAGCAGTGTGGTGATCGACTGTAGCAGTGTGGCGATCGACTGAAGCAGTGTGGTGATCGACTGTAGCAGTGTGGTGATCGACTGTAGCAGTGTGGTGATCGAATGTAGCAGTGTGGTGATCGACTAGTGTGGTGATCGACTATAGCAGTGTGGTGATTGACTGTAGCAGTGTGGTGATCGACTGTAGCAGTGAGGTGATCAACTGTAGCAGTGTGGTGATCGACTGTAGCAGTGTGGTGATCGACTAGTGTGGTGATCGACTGTAGCAGTGTGTTGATCGACTGTAGCAGTGTGGTGATCGACTGTAGCAGTGTGGTGATCGACTAGTGTGGTGATCGACTGTAGCAGTGTGGTGATCGAATGTAGCAGTGTGGTGATCGACTAGTGTGGTGATCGACTGTAGCAGTGTGGTGATCGACTAGTGTGGTGATCGACTGTAGCAGTGTGGTGATCGAATGTAGCAGTGTGGTGATCGACTAGTGTGGTGATCGACTGTAGCAGTGTGGTGATTGACTGTAGCAGTGAGGTGATCAACTGTAGCAGTGTGGTGATTGACTGTAGCAGTGTGGTGATCGACTAGTGTGGTGATCGACTGTAGCAGTGTGGTGATCGAATGTAGCAGTGTGGTGATCGACTAGTGTGGTGATCGACTGTAGCAGTGTGGTGATTGACTGTAGCAGTGAGGTGATCAACAGTAGCAGTGTGGTGATCGACGGTAGCAGTGTGGTGATTGACTAGTGTGGTGATCGACTGTAGCAGTGTGGTGATCGAATGTAGCAGTGTGGTGATCGACTAGTGTGGTGATCGACTGTAGCAGTGTGGTGATTGACTAGTGTGGTGATCAACAGTAGCAGTGTGGTGATCGAATGTAGCAGTGTGGTGATCGACTAGTGAGGTGATCGACTGTAGCAGTGTGGTGATCGACTAGTGTGGTGATCGACTGAAGCAGTGTGGTGATTGACTGTAGCAGTGTGGTGATCGACTGTAGCAGTGTGGCGATCGACTGAAGCAGTGTGGTGATCGACTGTAGCAGTGTGGTGATCGACTGTAGCAGTGTGGTGATCGAATGTAGCAGTGTGGTGATCGACTAGTGTGGTGATCGACTGAAGCAGTGTGGTGATTGACTGTAGCAGTGTGGTGATCGACTGTAGCAGTGAGGTGATCAACTGTAGCAGTGTGGTGATCGACTGTAGCAGTGTGGTGATCGACTAGTGTGGTGATCGACTGTAGCAGTGTGTTGATCGACTGTAGCAGTGTGGTGATCGACTGTAGCAGTGTGGTGATCGACTAGTGTGGTGATCGACTGTAGCAGTGTGGTGATCGAATGTAGCAGTGTGGTGATCGACTAGTGTGGTGATCGACTGTAGCAGTGTGGTGATCGACTAGTGTGGTGATCGACTGTAGCAGTGTGGTGATCGAATGTAGCAGTGTGGTGATCGACTAGTGTGGTGATCGACTGTAGCAGTGTGGTGATTGACTGTAGCAGTGAGGTGATCAACTGTAGCAGTGTGGTGATTGACTGTAGCAGTGTGGTGATCGACTAGTGTGGTGATCGACTGTAGCAGTGTGGTGATCGAATGTAGCAGTGTGGTGATCGACTAGTGTGGTGATCGACTGTAGCAGTGTGGTGATTGACTGTAGCAGTGAGGTGATCAACAGTAGCAGTGTGGTGATCGACGGTAGCAGTGTGGTGATTGACTAGTGTGGTGATCGACTGTAGCAGTGTGGTGATCGAATGTAGCAGTGTGGTGATCGACTAGTGTGGTGATCGACTGTAGCAGTGTGGTGATTGACTGTAGCAGTGAGGTGATCAACAGTAGCAGTGTGGTGATCGACGGTAGCAGTGTGGTGATTGACTAGTGTGGTGATCGATTATTGTGGTGATCGACTAGTGTGGTGATCGACTGTAGCAGTGTGGTGATCGACTGTAGCAGTGTGGTGATCGACTAGTGTGGTGATCAACAGTAGCAGTGTGGTGATCGAATGTAGCAGTGTGGTGATCGACTAGTGTGGTGATCGACTGAAGCAGTGTGGTGATCGACTGTAGCAGTGAGGTGATCGACTGTAGCAGTGTGGTGATTGATTAGTGTGGTGATCGACTGTAGCAGTGTTGTGATCGACTAGTGTGGTGATAGTTTCCTATTAAACAGACACAACTCTTTATAATCGGTCGTTTCATAATGTTTGCAGTTTATTATTTTTTAGCAGCCGTTTTATGTTCTAAACACCGCTACTAAAATTAATAACTCAGTAGAGCTTGAAGACGTGAATAAAATTTAAACTATTCCATCATCTTTCAACTTGTTATGACGATCTGAATCAGCGAAGCGTTAACATTAATTTCTCCAATATTGATATTACATTTTTTTTTTCATTTTCATTAAAATATTTTTTGGTTCATTTGTTTTTCTTGCTTTGAAAAGTGCATTTTTAAAAGGTCCAATTTGATTTAAAAGCGGCTCATCTCCTGATGGGAGTCGATGCTCCGGTCTGAAATAGATAGCCAGTTCCAAACTTTTTGCAGTTTACTCACTCCAATCAAGATGCAATCAATAAATTAAGTTCGTTGGGGAATTACGTTAATTAAGAGAACAGCATGTGTTTAGCTGTGTGTTAAAAACAATTAGGGTAAATAAACAATGAGGAAAATTTTTATATCTTGATGGAAAAAAATATTACAGTTAAATTTTAATTTGTGTTTGTTTTCAATGGTTGTTGTTTTTTTGCTTGTAATTAAAATTGTTGGTCACGCGTGCTTGTTACGTGATCGGAAACGTCACGTCACGTGATAGTGACAAATGTCACGCTGGTTTATGGTAAGAAATATGTGTGTGGTGGTGATAGCATGTAGGGAGTAGCTTGTTGGGAGGGGAATGATGATGTATTTGAGGGGAATGATAATGTCGTGAGGGAATGATAATATAGTGAGGGGAATGATGATGTAGTGAGGGGAATGATAATGTAGTGAGGGAAATGATGATGTAGTTAGGGGAATGATGATGTAGTGAGGGGAATGATAATGTAGTGAGGGGAATGATAATGTAGTGAGTGGAATGATAATGTAGCGAGGGGAATTATAATGTAGCGAGGGGAATGATAATGTAGTGAGGGGAATGATGATGTAGTGAGGGGAATGATAATGTAGTGAGGGGAATGATAATGTAGTGAGGGGAATGATAATGTAGTGAGGGAAATGATAATGTAGCGAGGGGAATGATAATGTAGTGAGGGGAATGATAATGTAGTGAGGGGAATGATGATGTAGTGAAGGGAATGATAATGTAGCGAGGGGAATGATAATGTAGTGAGGGGAATGATAATGTAGCGAGGGGAATGATAATGTAGTGAGGGGAATGATAATGTAGCGAGGGGAATGATAATGTAGGGAGGGGAATGATGATGTAGTGAAGGGAATGATAATGTAGTGAGGGGAATGATATTTTGCAGGTCTCTGTGTATTTTGCTTCAGCTCCCCCCCCCCCTCCTGTTTAATCCTCCACTACACTTTGTTACATCCATCCATCATTAGCCTTGATTAGCCAGGTAAGTCATTCACCCCATAGCTAAGACTGACTCCACCATTCTCCCTGCCCCTGCCCCCCCCCCTCACTGTTTCTACTGAAAACCACGGAAGTTATAATTACACTCCCTACGGTGGATTTAGCTATAAACCCTGTCATACACAGAAACATGTTACAATTCTGAAATATGATTTATTTTAAAACGCGATCGTGTTCTTTAGCATGTTCTTGTTCTGAAGCTGATTCGTACATTGAGGCTAGTTGTTACCAGAGGCGAAGCGAGGGGGGGGGGGGGGGCGAACCGCACCGGGTGACACCATTTAGGGGGGGTGACACCAAGGCAAAAAATAGTAAAATATATAGAGAAAAATTTGAGAGGGGGGTTAAAATCGAAATTTCGAGGGGTGGGGGGGGGTGGAAATCGAAAATTGAAAGTTTGTCGCCGGGAAGAGTCGCTACGCCTCGTGTATTGAAACTGTTTCGTATACTCACAGGACTTCGTGTATGTACAAGATTGAGTACCATGCACTGAATCGTGTACTGAAAAAGTGTCTTTCTACCGACAGTTCTGCGAGAGAAAAACGGTCTCAATGGAGCAAGAAAGTGTGGCTTCAGAAAATCGTAAGTCAGGAATGCCTGGAGGGTTCTTCAGCGTGGGAGATGGGGAGAAACCTTAATGAATTCTACAGCAAATATGTGACAGTAAATCCAATCACTTAGTCACATGATCTCGCCAGATCTCGCGAGAAAAGTTTCACGTCTGCCCAACGTTGAATATTCATAAGAGTCGTCAAGTCTGATGGGAATCACCTAACGGCTGGCTGTCCAGTGCTGTTGGGGGCTCTTGTGGGGCTGTTGTGGGGCTGTTGTGGGGCTGTTGTGGGGTTGTTGGGGGTCTGGGGGGATGTTGGGGGCTCTTGTGGGGCTGTTGATAAATAAAAGCCCGAGGATCTACGAAAACATGACCTCCCCACGGAGAACATACCCAGTCCAATTTACACCAAGAACAGTCAGTGTGATAGACCACGTATTGCCTCAAATCGTTTATTTGTGGAGAATATACGTAGGGTTTTTTTTTCTTACACCAAAGGTTTTCGTTTTTTTCGGATTTTTTTTTTTAACAGAAGCATCTGACTACTGACGCTTAATCAGTTAATGCACTCACACGCACACACTCACACATGCACACACTCACACACGCACACACTCACACACGCACTCACTCACAAACGCACGCGTTTTTTTATATCAAAGTAACGCACACGTGTAATTTCACTCATATATATAATATATATATATATATATATATATATATATATATATATATATATATATATATATATATATATATATATATATATATATATATATATATATCCACTGCCTACATACACACACAGCATGCATGCACGTGCGCGTACTTTGACAGACAGACCTATATATAAACTTGACAAAACCACTGGGCCGTGAAGGAAATCAGTAGACCTTCCATTTCTGACTTTGTTAATTAATTAATGATGTAAAGTATGAGACATTTAATTATCTTGTCTGCGGTATTTCAGTTCTGTATCGTTTTTATTGTTGAATTCAACTTCAAGAATTGAGTTGTGTCACTTAATGATTTTTTAAAGTTAGTCACGCGCTATTTAAGTTTATCTTAATTAAGAAAAGGATATTTTGAGTTGGAGTCAGTTTCTCTGAAGTTGACTTGTTATTTGTGTTTGCCGAAGTCAGTAGAGAAACGTAGTTTCTGTCGGACACATGTATTATTGCAGTCATGTATTTTACATTTTCTGATATAAGCGTGTTTGTTATAGAAGCAAAGACGATACAAACAAATACGATGAAAGTAAAGACGATAGAAGTAAAGACGATAAAAGTAAAGACGATAAAAGTAAAGACGATAGAAGTAAAAACGATAAAAGTAAAGACGATAGAAGTAAAAACGATAGAAGTAAAGAATACAAACGTGAAAACAGAGCTAACTCTGACAGAATTCAACATGCAATTTATTTCTAGGCAAAGTTCGATCACAAAATTTTGCATAAAGATTCTATTTATTGCTTGAAGAGCGCTTGATATTTTATCCCTTAATCACTGTTGGACTTTTTGCCGGATGCTGCCATTAGACCGCGGGCCGGAGACGGCCATCAGACCGCGGGCCGGATGTGGTCATGAGACCGCGGGTCAAACAGCCATGGTTCAGTTGTTTACATCATAGGTCAGCTTAGCCTCGACAGTGAAAGTGTGAGCATGGTTCAGTGACTTACATCCAAGCCATACATTTCTGTGGACCTGGGTCAAACTAGAAGAAAATACCAAACATTTTTCCTGTTTTCTAAAGTCCTCCAAAGTTGAGCTAACGAATGCAAGGAAATAAACTGCACGTCAAATGGTGGATACTTGAGAAGGCGGGCCGCAGCTGACCACTGGTCAGTAGCAGCGGTACAGGATCCTGTTGTCCGTAATGTTGCAGCGACAGTCGTGGTGCAGACGGCCGTGCAGACGATAGCTGAAGGAGGCCCCGGTTTCATGGCAGTCCCCCTCCACATCGCGACACCCTGGGGGATAGAAACACGTGGTAAACAATGGCTGATCACGTGGTACATCACATGACATACTTGTTTGTCTGAGTGGTTTTTTTTCTTGTATTTGTTTGTTTTTGTAAACACACCATATTTGGGGTTTTTGTATAAATTAATACTACAACTAACAACATGATTTTATGCTCCTAAAACGTGTCTCATCATTCAGACTTAGCCCCTTAGAAATGACGACACACTTTCTCTTTCATACATTACAATTACAGTAAAAAAAAAATAGTTCCGTCCCAAGGGAAGATAACTCTCAAGTGAGACTAATAAAGGGAGATCATTTTATTTTTGACATTCCCGTCGTGCCTACGTAACGTTGACCTTTCTCCCAGCCTCCATTGGAAAACTGTCGTCTGCTGACGTGGACACAACAGTCGACACAATTTACTAATGAAGCAGAACTGATGTTTCATTGAGCCCGGCATTTTCCTGGCTCCTTCGATTTTTGTTTCCTTTGGTGTCAGTTGCCAAGAATAATACAACTATGGGTCTTAATTTAACTTGACATGAGTTGTCTCTGTATTCTTAGTCAACACACGACAGGTTAAACACACACGACAGGTAATATTTGGTTAAACACACGGCAGGCAATATTTGGTTAAACACACACGGCTGGCAATATATGGTTAAACACACACGGCAGACAATATATGGTTAAACACACACGGCTGGCAATATTTGGTTAAACACACACGGCAGACAATATTTGGTTAAACACACACGGCAGACATAGCTAACTCAAAGACACCTGAATAAAACACCTGACTAAAACACACCTTAATAAAACACCTGAATAAAACACACCTTAATAAAACACCTGAATAAAACACACCTTAATAAAACACCTGAATAAAACACACCTTAATAAAACACCTGAATAAAACACACCTGAATAAACCACCTGACTAAAATGCACCTACCTTAATCACACGTTACTGAAACACCGAACTGAAACATACCTAGCAAAGTGCCCTATCGAGAGTATCATTTAGTGAGCTCGACATATGACGGGATAGAGTGGTCAGCACAATACCCACACGCATTTACTTTTACTAGCGTGAGTCAGGTACCCATCAGAGCTTGGTGGACACATCTAATACACACCTGACTTAAACAATTGACTTAACTACGCCTATTACATAGTCTACCTGACTAAGACGTGAATTAAACACACCTTACTAGTAATACACAACTCACTTAAACACCTGACTTAAATACTTATGACTTAGGCACACCTGACAAACCTAATGACAGCTGGGCAAGACGGATGACTTAACCTGTATGACTGAGCTCAGCATGACAGATGACTTAACCTGTATGACTGAGCTAGACGGATTACTTAACCTGTATGACTGAGCTAGACGGATTACTTAACCTGTATGACTGAGCTAGACGGATTACTTAACCTGTATGACTGAGCTCAGCATGACAGATGACTTAACCTGTGTGACTGAGCTAGACAGATGACTTAACCTGTATGACTGAGCTGGACAGATGACTTAACCTGTATGACTGAGCTGGACAGATGACTTAACCTGTATGACTGAGCTAGACAGATGACTTAACCTGTATGACTGAGCTGGACAGATGACTTAACCTGTATGACTGAGCTGGACAGATGACTTAACCTGTATGACTGAGCTAGACAGATGACTTAACCTGTATGACTGAGTATGGCAGGTGACTTAACCTGTATGACAGATGACTTAACCTGTATGACTGAGCTGGACAGATGACTTAACCTGTATGACTGAGCTGGACAGATGACTTAACCTGTATGACTGAGTATGACAGATGACTTAACCTGTATGACAGATGACTTAACCTGTATGACTGAGATGACTTACGAGCATTCCTGACGATGGGCTGGAAGTAGTTGTATCCTCCGGTGGTTGTCTTGGTGCACGTGTACGTCACACAGCGCTCCTCCCACTCCTCCCCCACCTCGTGACACCCCCCAGCGCCATCTTCACATCCTGGAGGAGACATTGACAGGCTGGTCACGTGGGTTAATCAGCTGTGGTCAAGTCTTAATTAAATGCTCGTTTCCTTAATTGGATTAACCAGATAGAATATGTGCGTGTAGGGGGGGGGTAGAGTTCATTAATGAGCTCGTATGTCCAGGTGTGTGTGTGTGTGTAGATTGGGGGGGGGGGTATTTTACTTCAGATTTTAAAGAAAGAATGTCATCAATTGTTTGAAGTGTACGCATTGATCAAAGCCTGTGGCTAATGAGCTAAACTTAAGATAGACCCAGCGGAGATAAATACAAATTGTAAGTCCCCATGGGGGGGGGGGTATTTTAACAATGTATTTAAACTAAGTATTTGTGACTCAAGTATTTTAACTAAGTATTTGTGACTCAAGTATTTTAACTAAGTATTTGTGACTCACGTACTTTAAGTAAGTATTTGTGACTCAAGTATTTTAACTAAGTATTTGTGACTCAAGTATTTTAACTAAGTATTTGTGACTCAAGTATTTTAACTAAGTATTTGTGACTTAAGTATTTTAACTAAGTATTTGTGACTTAAGTATTTTAACTAAGTATTTGTGACTCAAGTATTTTAACTAAGTATTTGTGACTCAAGTATTTTAACTAAGTATTTGTGACTCAAGTATTTTAACTAAGTATTTGTGACTCAAGTATTTTAACTAAGTATTTGTGACTCAAGTACTTTAAGTAAGTATTTGTGACTCAAGTATTTTAACTAAGTATTTGTGACTCAAGTATTTTAACTAAGTATTTGTGACTCAAGTATTTTAAATAAGTATTTGTGACTTAAGTATTTTAACTAAGTATTTGTGACTCAAGTATTTTAACTAAGTATTTGTGACTCAAGTACTTTAAGTAAGTATTTGTGACTCAAGTATTTTAACTAAGTATTTGTGACTCAAGTATTTTAACTAAGTATTTGTGACTCAAGTATTTTAACTAAGTATTTGTGACTTAAGTATTTTAACTAAGTATTTGTGACTCAAGTATTTTAACTAAGTATTTGTGACTCAAGTATTTTAACTAAGTATTTGTGACTCAAGTATTTTAACTAAGTATTTGTGACTCGAGTATCCGTACTGGTTTAAAAAATCGTCTTTCTTTAGTCAAGTTTTCTTCGACCGGGATAAAGTTTTTGCTGAAATGAACAAAATTCATTTCTCTTCTGTTTTCGTAAAGGGGTAGGGGTGGAGAGCAGAGTTTCTTCCAGGCATCTATTCGAAGAAAGTCTACCGCCCCCCCCCCCCCCCCCACCCCGAACGGAATGAAATTTATATAGAAAATATATACTTTTAACAGTGCCCCCCCCCCCGCCCCCGAAGAAAGTCTACCGCCCCCGCGAAAATTTCAAGTGCCCCCCCCCCCCCCGGAGAAAAAAGTCTGGAAGAAAAAAGTCTGGAGAGGTGGCCTGTACCCCCCCCCCCCCCCCGGCACGCGTCGCTCACTGTTACTGGCGCGCAAGCCTGTTGAAATATTCTGCTCACACTAACACACGTCCAGTAGATATATCCACACAGTACCGGACATCTGGTGACGTCACGGCACCAGTTTATCTGCCACAGGCGAGAAAATAACTCAGTTTCCGGGTGCGGGAATTCCCTGTAGATTCACCAAAGTTTCACCGCTGTCCGTAGGTCTCCAGGCAGGAAATGATTGATGACAATCCAGATATAAGAATGTGTGTTTTAACAGGCCGTGAAACTTGTACCAGACAAGCACTTAGTTTGCTTCAACGTGAGACAACACGACGAATATCGAGAGATCTGTCAAATTTCGCCTATATTAAAAATGTTATAGTGCCTCCATGTGTCGATACCTCCAACACCAGGAGATCGTACATTAAAAACCTGGGTCCAAAATGTTGAATAGGTACGGCATGGCTATGTGATTTGTGTATGCGAATTGTGTGCTGCCAGTTTGAACGGTTGCACAATTGATAGGGAATACAAAATTAATGTGTACTCGGATTTTCGTACATATATATATATATATATATATATATATATATATATATATATATATATATATATATATATATATATATATATATATATATATATATATACATATATGTATATATATATATAGTGTGTGTATGTGTGTGTGTCAGTGTGTAAGTGTGTCTGTATGTGTCTGTGTGTCTGTATGTGTCAGTGTGTCTGTGTGTCTGTGCGTCTGTGCGTGTCTGTGTGTCTTTGCGTCTGTCTGTGTCTGTGTGTCTGTGTGTGTGTATGTGAATACCTTCAGAGTAAATAAAACTGTTGCCAAAAAAGCACTGGTGCTGTAGACATCTGGACATAGATAGGTATGTGTGTCTGTGTGTCTGTGTGTCTGTGTGTCTGTCTGTGTATGTGTGTCTTTGTGTCTGTGTGTGTATGTGATTACCTTCAGAGTAAATAAAACTGTTGCCAAAAAAGCACTGGTGCTGTAGACATCTGGACATAGATAGGTCTGTATAAATCTGGCCGTGGGGTATCAGTTCTCCATTAACCTCACAGTGAGCTCCTGAAATCAAAAACCAGTGTCACGTGATGCCCGAACTCCCACACAACCCCAGGACACAGGGTTGGCCAGTGATTTTTTTCCCCATCAAAAACCAACCAAATTATTTCGTAGAAAATGTTTCTTTTTAATCGAAGCTAGATCTAAATTTTAGTAATTTTAAATTTTGAGCTTAGATTCTTTATTTGTAACCTTTGCTTTAGCGACTCCGAAATGAAAAAAAAAATCATTTTCTTTGAAAATATCTGTTTTTGTTACTACTTAAAAAGTATTTTATTCAACGTAATGATAACAGTTAAAATTGTGCGTTAATTGGGTTAACGTCAAAAATCTTAGTTGAATGGATTTTTTTTCTCAATTTCAAAGCAATTCACAGCTAAAAAAAACATACTGAATTTATTTTATAACAAAAATAAAATACTTAATATCTTGTATGATAAAAATAAAACACTGGCTATCTTGTAGAACAAAAATAACACACTTAATTTCTTGTGGAACAAAAATAACGCACTGGCTATCTTGTAGGATAATGAAAGATAAGGAAAGACAACTCGGGGACAGTCGTGAAACAAATGACACTGACCGGGTCCATAATGGCCGTACATTAATTCCGCTGACCGCTTGCGCTGTCTGGGAATGCTATTTATAGCCCCGAAGATTGCGAAGAGCAGCGAGGACATGACCAACGCTTTCTGGAGCATGTCGTCTGTTGGTGTCTGTTGGTGTCTGCTGGTGTCTTCTGCTGGTGTCTTCTGGTGTCAGCTGGTCAGATGCTGATGTAAGAACCTGGGAATATAAAGACGGTCATGAGCGGAAACAGAATTATTTTTTCAATAACTTGGCAGTGCTTTAACGCCTTCCTGTGTACAGAGTTTCTTTCATGCATCTTTTCTTTGAACAGAAATTGAGTTAATATTATTATTCCAAAAAAAATTTTTACTAGAATTAGTGGTTTGAATTTGTTTTTGTTCCTTTAATTTATGGTCCAAATCGAATATAATTGGTGTTTTTTCGTCCGTCGTGACGTGAATGTAATCACAAATTTTACGTCATGATCTGATGTAATCACAAGGAATTTACGACGTGAGGTTAATGTAATCACACAAAAATTACGTCGTGACGTGAATGTAATCACAAAAAATTTACGTGTGACGAGAATGTAATCACAAGGAATTTACTTATGAGATCGTTATCAGGTTTACATTGGCTACAGAGCTTCAAGGGAAATGGGATAAAAAAATTGATTTTTTTTAAATAACTGGTTAAATTGTCGAATTCGTGCTAAATTTGATTAGACTATAAGGGCATAACTTATAATTACTTGGAGGGGGGGGGGAGCCAGCAATCCGATTAAAATAAATTGGAAATCAATACGGTTTTCTAATTAGCGAACACTTCATATATATATATATATATATATATACTAGCTGCATCCCGTGCTCCGCCACGGTAAATCTTTTTTAAATGTACCAACTTGGGAACAGAACAAAACAAACAAAAACACAACACAAACACAAACAAAACACAACCACAACACAACCACATTACAACCACAACACAACCACAACACAACCACAACAACAAAACAACCACAACACAACCACAACACAACCACAACACAACCACAACACAACCACAACACACGGTAAATCTTTTTTAAATGTACCAAGTTGGGAACAGAACAAAACTAAATACAACACAAACGAACGCAAAGAAAAAACAAAAACGAAAAAACAAACACAACACTCAACATAAACTCAATTTAAATGTAATCATAAAGGCATATTGCTCACAGTCTATCCCGTAGCGCCAAATCGCGCCCTTTCCGAGCGCCGGTGGAAAATTTCGATTTACACCCTCCCACCTCCCTCAAACTTTCGATTTCCATCCTCCCCCCCCCCCCCTAGCTTTTCCTCAAATAAATTAAAGGCAGTATTTAGAATATCCGTGTTTTACCTACCATATTGCACTTTATAAATTCATGCATTTTTTTCAGTACTTTTAAAAATTTACAATAAAGTTTCATGACTAAAACCATTGCGCACCTAATGAACGTGATGACTTAATATAGTAATGGAGAATAGTTGATTAAAAATTATAATTAGTAAACAGTACATTCAGTGAATAAAATAAATAACAGATAGCCTTTTATCAATCAATGCTAATAATAATATTCCAACAATAATGTACTCTTACACGTCTGCATAATTTGCATTCACATTTTGCTAATTATATTATTCCAACAATTATTCCGTCTTGCAGATTTTGCATTCACATTTTTAGCGTGAGTTCAATTTATCTTTGAATTACCTCCATTGGCAAAATTACTAAGCAGTTTAATTCGATTTTTCTACCGTACTGTTATTACGTTATTAAAATGTTTACATCTTTTCAAGGCATAAATAAGAAAATAATATTTGACATTGATCCTTTTAATATGTTTTAGCAATGTGCGTGTATTTAATATTCTCTTTACGTTATGCAAAATTGTACAAACAGTGGAAATTATAAAATAGCTCTATGCCACTATATAAACAAACCCTACTCTTTTACTTGTAATAAGACACTGCGGTGCACTGAAAAGCACAGCTTGGTGCGTAGCATACTTTTATAGTCCCAAAATCTATAGCGATGACGGACGGAAGGAAGGACACGCTCAGCCCGATTATATTATAGACTAGCTGTATCCCGTGCTCCGCCACGGTAAATCATTTTTAAATATACCAACTTTGGAACAGAACAAAACTAAACACAACACAAACGAAGGAACGAAAAAAAAAAAAAAAAAAAAAAAAAAAACGAAAAAACGAACACAACACTCATAACATAAACACAATTTAAATGCAATCAGAAAGGCATAGTGCTCACAGTCTAGCCCGTAGCGCCAAATCGCGCCCTTTCCGAGTCCCGGCGGACGCGTCTGACACAGTGAATGACTACAAAACAGAGGCCTAGCGACCCTTTCCGGCGCCCGGGGACAAACTTTCGATTTGACCCTCCCTCAAACTTACGATTTGCACCCCCTCCCCTCAAAATTTCAATTTCCACCCCACCCCCTTAAACTTTTGATTTGCATTCCCCTCAGACTTTCGATTTGCACCACTTTTGATTTGAAATTCCCCCCCGCTCAAACTTTTGATTTGCACCCCCTAAAACTTTCGATTTGCACCCTACCCCCCTCCCCCTCCGTAAAACTTTCGATTTCCAACCCCCCCCCCCCCCCTAGCTACGCCTCTCTTATAAAACCCCAGCTTGTCCGCAAACCGAAAGATAGAATAATAATAAATAATATACAATAAAAAATAGGCAATATTTAAAATATCCGTGTTTACCTACCATATATCACTTTATCAATTCACGCATTTTTTTTCCCAGTATTTTAATTTTAAAAATTTACAATTGAGTTTCATAACTAAAACCATTGCGCACCCAATGTCTATAATGGTGCGGAATAGTTGATTAAAAATTAGAAGTAGTAAACAGTACATTCAGTGAATACAATAAATAAAAGATTGCCTTGTATCAATCCATGCTAATTATAATTTTCCAACAATCCGCATCCGCACAATTTGCATTCACATTTTGCTAATTATATTATTTCAACACTAATTCCTTCTAAGAGGTCCGTAGATTTGCATTCACATTTTTTTATTAGCGTGAGTTTAATTTATTTTTAAATTACCTCCCTTTTCATAATTAGAAAGAGTTAAATTAATTTGATTTTTCTACCCTACTGTTATTATGTTATGAAAATCTATCCAATTTTTCTAGGAATATAAAGTAAAATGATATTTGACATTGATCTTTTTAATCTGTTTTAGCAAAGTGCAAATATTTAATATGTTCATAACGTTATGCAAAAAATTAAACACAGTGGCATTTATAAAATAGCTCTATGCCGCTATATAAACAAACCCTACTCTATTACTTATAATAAGACACTGCGGTGCACTGAAAAGCACAGCATGGTGCGTAGTTTACTTTTATAGTCCCAAAATCTATAGCGATGACGGACGGACGGACGGACAGAAGGAAGGAAGGACAAGCACAGCCCGCTTATATTATAGACTAGAATACCCGTCATCCCTTGGATAACTGTGGGTTTCGGGGGTCATCCATCAAAAAACATCACGTCTGTCACTCAGAGGCATAGCGAGCCTTCCCGGCGCCCGGGGACAAACTTTTCGATTTTAACCCCCCCCCCCCCCCCAAGATTTCGATTTTCAACCCCCCCCTCAAACTTTTGATGTGCACCCCCTCCCCCCCCCCCCCCCACTCAAACTTTCGATTTGAACCCCCCTCAACCTTTCAATTTATTTTTCCAAACCATTTTGGCGCCCCAACATACGTCCCCCCGCCCCCCCCTTCACCTCCCCCCCGCCTCCCCTTCCACCCCCGCCTCCCCTTTCCCCCCCCCTCCCCGCCTCCCCTTCCCCCCCCCCCCCCGCCTCCCCTTCCCCCCCCCCCCCCCTCCTCGCTACGCTACTGCAGTGTCACTTATCGTCACAAAAACAGAGCCCACATTCAAAAATATGTTTCTTATCTTTTAAAAACACCGAAAACACCGATTTCGGACTATCCCTTCATATACTGACGTCACATGTGACCTACTCAACTCTACTTCACCTGCCCAGTGTCCCGCCAAGTCTCAGACAACATGTTTTTATCGTTTAAAAAACGATTCCAGCCGAGCATGTCTCTGACCACACTATCCTTTCATATGGTTAGGACAAAGAAACAGATGAACTCTACTTCACCTGCCCTGTATCCTGCCAAGTTCAGATAGGCAACTTTATCATTAACATCTAAAAAAAAAAATTTGAAAAAAAATATCATTTTTTATCATTAACATCTAAAAAAAAAAAATTGAAAAAAAATATCATTGACATATTGGTCTAGAACCTGTACCACTCGCATGAGAGCGGACTACGCTACAAACTTAGCTATTTACTCGTGACGTCACAAGTGAATTTTTATACTATACTTTGATGCAACTTGATTTCGAGCGTCTAGTCTAGAAGTAGTAACTTTCAAATTAAATTTTATCTTAAATTAGCCAAACAAAGATTTATATAAAATAATTAAGGCCTGAAATAGATTCTAGATGTATTAAGGCCTGAAATAGATTCTAGATGTAGAATTTACATTAAGTCTAGATTTAGAATTTACATTGAGTTTAGTGACCTAGATCTAGATCTAGGCTAGATTCATAAATTTCCTTCGACAGCTCATCTTTAGATCTAGAGAAATTTATTGTAAAACTAAATGAAAAAAGACAGTTGAAAATTGATATAAGTGTTGGAACGTAATAAATACAGCAAACGGACGTATTGTTAAAGTTATGACCGACAGAAAATTAGATTTAGAACGCGTTAAACTTTGGAATGGGAACACAATTTTCTTCGATAGACGCCGCCATTTTATTGTACTAAAGAGTCAACAAAAAACTCTGACGTCACTATCAAGGGACGTCACTATCCCCACAAAGTTTATTCATGGTATTAACATTTTAAAAAAAATACGGTTAATTTAACTATGAATAAATCAATAAATTAATTAACGTCTTTAAATAAATTTGTGATTAACAGTCTGTCTTAAAACAAAATTTTTTCTCTACCTACATACTATTTTACAGCTTTCCACGATGAGTGCAACCATGCGAGATAGTCGATCAGGCAAACAAATAAATATTCAAACATGTAAACAAACTTGACTTTTAGTAGTATATAGATATATATATATATATATATATA